TGAAATATGTTTTTCCCTATTGTGTTTTTGTTTTTACAAAATCACATGTCTAAATATTGATTGGGAGTAATAGTAATTGTAATTTTGATACATCCATACATTTTTCATTATTTGTCGCTGGGTTGTGTATGCAGCAGAAGCATCCATACACACCTTCGTCTTCGGGGAAATCCACAGTTGCCTGAGCCACCACAGCTGGTGCTCCTCTCGATGTGGAGGAGCAGCAGCTCTACTCTGAGCTCCTCCTGTGTGACTCACCCTTGAAACCTCAATCTTATTCTTTTGGTCATTACCCATAGCTTAAACAAATTGGAATGCAAAACGTTAATACAAACGTTCTAATTCAAACAATAAATGATAAAACAGGTGGTGTTCATCTTTTAAAATACATGAAATATGTAAAATTCAAGAAATATAATCAGTAAAGACTTTCACATGGAGACCTCAGAGCGGCTCAGGGTGATATCTGTGGAGATCCTCCATGTGGCTGTTTGTAAAGAGCCTCATCAAATCTCATCCACTAAGTGACGCTCAGAGTGGTCTTTTAGTCAGACCAGAACATGTGGACAAACACCCTTTGCCGCGTGTGCTGTGAGCAGCCTCACCACAGCGGGAGTGCGGAGTGGCACTAGTGACACTTACAGATGTGGATCACGGGGCAGGGGAGGACACACTGTGCTGACTCAGTGGAAATGGCTGATGTGTTAACTTAATATTTACTTGATACAATCAAAAAGAATAATTCAAGGCGTTTCCACAGTAATTTCTCGGTGAAAGTAATCCTATGTTCTTAGTATTTTACAGGATATTAGGGTAAATAAACATATCTGATGTAATCTGCTTTCTGTCTCAGCCTCTGCCTCGGCCGCCCATCCCCTCACACCGGGTGCCCCCCTACAGGGCGGTGTCGGCCAGGTTTCGGCCCTCCGCTCTGTCCCAGAGCACCCCCATTGGCCTGGACCGTGTCGGACGAAGGAAACTCCACAGAGTTCTGAGTGGTAAGTGAAAGTCATGTGGTGAGAAGTCTGTCGAGTCTGTTTTCATAAAAACAATACTGTTAGTAGTATTTAATCCTTCTATTACAGATGGCGTGTCCGAGTGTTCAGCGATGCTTGATGACAGCGTGAGTGAGGAGGATGAAGAGGGGAGCTTTGATGAGCTCCCTGACAGTACGCCGTACCTGCAGCCGGGGGTGGAGCTCTCAGTGCTCAATGAGGTGAGGCACACGTGTACGAGGCAGCAATACAACAAAAGTGAAAAAGTTCATGTTTGTTTTGAAATGTTGCACAACTGCTCCACTCAAAGGATTGTGGCTAGACGTAATCCTTCATGTTGTACATGGGCTTCTGCTGCGTGTAATTGTAACTTTATCTTATCTGCATGTTTCTCAGTGGATAAGCTCTGGTCATGCTGTGTACGCTGAGGCTCTCTGGGACCATGTGACCATGGGGGAGCAGGAGCTGGCCTTCAAGGTTGGAGATGTGGTCCGCGTCCTGGATGCGTCCCACAGCGAGTGGTGGTGGGGCAGAGGTGCTGACAGAGAGGCCTGGTTTCCCTCATGTTTTGTCAGAGTAAGTTCACTGCTGACCTCTGTTTCTGTGTCTTTCTGGCTCGGCTCCAAACAATCCCATGTGGTCCTCTTGAAATGCTATTGAAAAGTTAATCTGGTTTTCAAATGGTTTCTGTGGAAGCAGGCTGACTGACAGACGGCTCAATTATACTGCGTAACCACGATGACTTATTTGACCATAGTTGATTGACAGTTGAAATGAGGTGTATTTTGCTGTAATTTCCGTAATTTTCAGGTTTTTCATTGTGCATGTAACCACAACATCATTCATAAAACTCAGTCATTCTTAAGTGTTTTGTTCGCCTCTTTAAGAACTGACTTGGAGAAACCTGGATCAACAAAACTGTTTAAACTTGCAGAAATGCCAAATATTCATGTACAAGTGACATAGAAACTTAAGTAAATATCAAATATCTCTTGGCTAAGTATTCTAGAGGCTTTGAATAAGGTCATGCACTGCACCAATGAGAAAGGTAACAAGGACAATGAGAGAAGTACATTTGAACTCAAATAAAATCTAAAATAAAGGATGAAAAGTATCCTATATTAATTGTCAAAAGTATCAAACTAGATACTTATTTAATTATAGAATCCAGGACTTTATTTATTTTAGGAATTGGTACCTAGTCGTTTCCGAAAATGAACAAATTTTTTGTGTTAACCATTCTCCTTCATTGTTGAGCTGAATACATGGTGATGACTGGAGCCTCTGTAATCCTCTTGTGGGGCAATTGTCAGGGAAAAACTGGTTCTTTATTTGAAGGGATTCCCAGTCTTTCCTCTTCTTTCTGCACCACACACATGGGCCCTCGCTTTTCCTAACTGTTCATGTTCTATTTTTGTTTTCAGGTGCGTGTCAACCAAGAAGGCTCTAGTACAGAGAGTGTTGAAAGTGTCGCTGACCAAGAAAATCCAGCTTCTAGAAAATCCAGCAGCTCCCAGCACAAGGAGCAAATGAGAACGAACGTGGTCCAGGAAATCATGAGGACAGAGCGGATGTACATCAAGCACCTCAAAGACATCTGTGACGTAAGCGCCGCTGTGTTTTACAATTCTATTCTGACATCTCAGAATCAGTGGCCTCACGTCTTGTCGTTTCCAGGGTTACATACGCCAATGCCGCAAACATCCAGATATGTTTACTGAATCACAGCTGAAAACCATCTTCAGCAACATTGAAGACATCTATAAGTTTCAGAGGCAGTTTCTGAAAGACCTGGAGAAAAAGTATAATAAAGACCAGCCCCACCTCAGTGAAATCGGCTCCTGTTTCTTACTGCAGGTATTGGAGGATCACTGTCTGTGCTGTTGAATGATTGACTGTGTATTATTATCTAGTTTGTAATAGAATTTGATCAACTTTAGGGGGAGGGCTTTTCGATCTACTCTGAGTACTGCAACACTCACCCAGCGGCCTGTGCTGAGCTGCACCGCTTAATGAAGTCAGGACGTTATAAGCTGTTCTTTGAGGCCTGTCGTCTTCGTCAGCAGATGATTGACATTTCCATAGCAGGGTTCCTATTAACGCCTGTACAGAAAATTTGTAAATATCCCTTGCAGCTGGGAGAACTGCTTAAATTTACTCCCAAAAACCACAGGTAAAGGACCACTCAGATTGCTACATTACCAATGTGAACTCGACACAAATGTTTGATCTTAAATATTACCGCACAGTGACTACGGCGGAGTGAACGAAGCCTATGAGACGATGAAGAACGTGGCCCGTCTCATAAATGAGAGGAAACGGAGACTGGAAAACATAGACACTATTGCTCATTGGCAAGTCTCTATTGTTCACTGGGAGGTGAGTTTAAGTCCTGCTGATTATTGTGGACCATCTCCTCCTTCTGCCTCTTAGTCTCACCTCAACATGTTTTGCAGGGAGCTGACATTTTGGATCTTAGCTCTGAGCTCATTCACTCTGGGGAAATGACTCGAATTGCTCGTTATGGCAAAATACAGCAGCGCAACTTTTTCCTGTTTGACCACCAGCTGGTGTTCTGTAAAAAAGACGTCTTGCGCAGAGACCTGCTTCATTACCGTGGGCGCCTGAATATGGATCAGACGGAGGTGCTCGATGTGCCCGATGGAAAGGACTCTGACCTGGGAGTGAATCTAAAGAACGCCCTGCGGCTCAGGAACGCCTACACCCTGGAGTTCACGTGCATGCTCTGCTGCAGAAAGGCCCAGGACAAGCAGAGGTGGCTGGAGGCCTTTGGCAAAGAGCGGCTTCGAGTCAAGGAGGATAAGGAGATGGGTGAGGAGATGTTTGTGTCATAATACAGCAGTAACTGAAAACAGTCTCATGCAAATTAAATGTCCTTTTTCAGGTATGGAGATCAGTGAAGAGCAGCGCAAACGGGCAATTGTGAATGCCAGAAGAGCCAAACAGGGAAAGTTTAAATGTAAGAAGTTCAATGTCAATAAGTATCATTAAGCTGTATTTGTGTTGTTTATTTTGACTATCCTAAAATAATATTTGAACAAGCAGTGTTATTTCTAGTGCGCTGTCATTCTCTGCGTCTTGTTTGAACTTACATCAGATACATATTGTTTCATCTTCACCTTTCAGCTCTTGGATACTCCGTCCTCCCTCACCATCAGAACATCCTGCCCCTGCCCCAGCGCCACGTCACCATCCCGCCCACAGTGCCTCAGCAGCAGGTCTTCTCTTTGGCCGAACCGCCCAAGAGGAAACCCTACCAGCTGCTCTACAGCTTCACCCGCAACGCCTTTTTCCGGAAATGAAGACCCACACTTTAGTCTGTCGCCTATCTCTGTTTTCCGTCCTCGAAGTCACACGAACACTTTATCTTTGTCCATTTTGCTTGTGAATGTATGTGAAGTTGTGCCTTTTAAGTGTTTTCTTTGTGTTGCTTGTTGATGTCCTTTATCTTAAAAAGCTGCTCACAAACTCCACACATCTCCCGTCCCATGTCTTATTATTAACCGTAGATGCAGTGTTTTATTGTTATCCTTTGGTTAGAGTGTATTTTACAAAGGCTGGATCCTTTTTAACTGTGAGTTTTCAGCTCTGAGCAAACAAAACAGCCAAAGGATGATCAATTTACTTAATAATTGTTAACAATGTAAATAAAACTCTTGTACAAACATAAATTGGTTTAAGTCTCTACATTTTACATTTACCAGAAGAGCATATTATGTCATTCTCCAGTGCGACTCCTTTAAATTAATCATTGGTAATACGACATAGGCCTCAACAGGTTTGCTACTAGGAGCTAGATCTTTTTCCCTGCTACCTGGCTGTGCTGTGCTGAAAGATCACGTTACACGCACCTGTTTTAGCTCAGACGGAAGGCAACAAGTCCACTGCTCAAGCTCGATCTAAAGGGAAAACATTATCTCTGTGAGACAAAGATGCTGTGGTGTCGGTGATGAAGGCTTGAGGGTTCTGTGTCATGTCCGTGTCATGGGTGAGGAGAACGAGGAGAACAAAGAGAATGAGGCCGCAAGTGGAGATGTGGGGACTTCACAACAGGAGTCAGCCAGTGTGAGTACAGCTGCTGTCCCACTGACCGCTCTGACCGACGGGACGATAACACTGCCTGGGAAAGCTTCAAAATGTGGCGTACTTTTCTAATGGAGGGTCCACCACCAGCTGCTTCTACCATAGTGTTGCGTTTAAACTTATGCATCCAGAAAATATTCAATTACAGGTGCCAAATGCTGAAACATAGGATACCCTCCACCAGAAAAGCTACTTGAGGAACCAAGTCAGGCTAAACATTTTGGGAAAACGTATATTGTTTAAATGATGATTAGATTTGTGTTGAATTTGTTGAAGTTAATTTGTCCTTGAGAAAAAACTGGAACAAGAAGTGCATTCACAATAGAATAGCTTAGACAAATGACCTGTATTTCATAACATGCCATAGAAATCGGGAGCTTACATAAGAGACATGTACTTTTTGGTTTTTATTTGATTAGGGACAGAAAAGACAAATATAAAACATAAAAAAAACATAGTCCAGAAGTTCGAAGCGTGGACTGTACATACTTATGATAATTTGATGTTTGTAAAGAGGATTTGTCGGCTAAATAATTGCAGTCATTGCGGTTATCTCATTGTAGCTATTCAGGTTTCAATATACAATTTTGCAGATCTAAATGTAATAACCAGTTTTGTCAATATAAACAACAGGGGATTTTAAATACTAGAATACACTAAATGATCATTACAAAGAATAAAAATGATTCTATAACCTAGAGCCAAGGAGCAGCATGGGATGACTATAATAGGTTGTGTTCATGTGACATCACAACTGTCCAAAGAACCTACAGTTTGTGGTGGAGGCAGATAACTAATCGTCAAAAGTCTGACTTCAAGAATCAGTTTATAGATAATTTCTGTATTTCCTGGACTAATCAATATGGAGCAAAAACAGTCTCAAAGTCCTCTTCAACTCTGGTCTAATGATTTTCTCATAAATGCGTCTAAAAATGGTGAATATTCAAAACCATCTGCATACACGATGAAGGCCATAGAAAGCACTTTGAGACAATAATATGGTGGGTTTGTGAATCTGATCTCTTTCTAATAATGATCTGGTAAATCATTTGTACTTTTTTTTAAATCAATCTTTTAAAAAATCCTTCTTTCTCATAGAGTTGTATCAGCTGCTGCCACTTCAAATGAAATACAATTCTGCAACATGAATGCAACCTGTTGAATTATGCATGTTTGTAATTCAATGACAGAGCATTGCATTTGATAGAACTGCTCTGGGCCTTTCTGCTCACAGAGATAAGGTCATCGCTGAGTTTGTCAAAATAACTGGAGTCATACCCTGGCACTTAAGGACTACAGCTTGAAGTTGATTATCATTTTGTGCAGCGTGCTGTAATGCTAACTGCTGGCCTGGATTAGTCTGTGATAAAACCAGCCAGTTTATACGCTCCAGTAGTCCATCTCATCCAGCGTTCTTATGGATGACCTTTGCCCAATGCAACACACAGCCGCTGGTTAAGACCAAGACTATATTTCACTTGTAAACAGAGAGAGATAAAGTGACTATTTGAACAACTTCATTAAACTGTAAATGTCATTGCCTCTTGCATGACCCTCTGTCTCCGTCTGCAGATCAAAGATGTGTCTGTGGAAGTCAGCACCGTGGACCGGGCCCCGCGGAGGTTCTACCGGAGGAACCGAAGGCGTCCCAAACTGACGCCCAGCGTCTTCGAGCAGCTGTGGCAGCCGTGTCAGCAGCTGTGGCAGCGGCTGCTCAACGTCCCACACATCGCCGTCATCATCGCAGCCGTGCTGTTTGTGGTGGTGCTCATCATCTGGTCCCTTCTCTGGTTCTTCATATGTAAGATGAGTACTTTTGAAGATGCTATTTTTGTTAACAATGCAACGTCCCTATGATTACGTTAGGGCTAGTTGTGATGGGTTTCATCCATTCATACTTCCCCTAAATCCATTTCTGGGTCAGTCAGAGCTGCACCCAATTCACAGAGCAGCCCCTGACCTCTCCTCCTGCAGGTGATGAGTTCACAGGAGGATGGCTGCTCAACCAGTGCATTAATCTGTCAGCGGGGGCTTCAGGCGAAGTGGGGTACACAACAACAGCAGATATCAGTGGGTGTCAGTGGAGAAGGTGGGCTCAAAACCACGACCTTCAGGATCAAAGGCCAATGCTCTTCCAACTGAGCCACTGTCGCCCCCTTTCATTATGTGATGTACAAAAGCCTCCTTTGGACTAGTGTTGAAAATGTTCATGGTCTCGCTATAAGACTAAGTGTATCTGGCAGTGATAAACTATTACTGTAGCCACAGCTGCCCTGGGGCACACTGACAGAATCGTGGCAACCAGTATGTGCCATCGGCTCCTCCAACCACAACCAACCATTCATGCACACACCGGACTCATTCTGGGCAATGTGGGTCTCTCTCCGACGGACACAACAGCAGTTTTTATTAGTTTGTTTATTTGATATACAGTAAACATAATAGTTAGATTGGACAAACCAAATGCTCATTTCTGAGGCTGACACAAATCACCACCAGTGCGGTTTGCCGGAGGATAATAGTTTACCTATCGGGGGAGAACTTTATAAAGATATGTGTCAAAAAATATGGCAAAATAGTTGAATCAATAGAGCAAACCAAATATTGAAATACTAATTGTTATGTTTATTATTTGAACAGGGACAATGCATTCATGTTTTTATTAAAGATTTGTTGAGTCCGTTTTTCGGTGGTCTGTTTTTCTTCAGTTCGCAGAGAGAGCAACAATGGAGCCTATTTCGCCGGCATGTTTCGTGTTGCTGACATGGAGTTCATCCCTGAGTACCGTCAGGTGGAGTCCCATGAGTTTGCATCCATGGCAAATAGAATACAGCACGTGGTATGCAGTGTGTGCGTGTGTGTGTGTGTGTGTGTGTGTGTGCTTTAGATCCACGACAGCAGGTAATTGGTGGTGTTTTGCAGGTGAGCTATGTGTACAAGCAGTCCTCCGTGTCCAGCCTCTACAAACAGGCCTTAATTTCAGACCTCAGGTACAGCACATGGTAATTTTAACTTGTCGTGTTGAGGATCCACCTTCGCATAAATGTTGTTTGTGTCGTCTTTGTAGTAACAACAACAAGGGTGGTGTCCTGGTGCACTTCTGGATGGTGTTTGTGGTGCCCCGTTTGAAGACACCTGCCGTGTGTGAGGATTGTGTGGGCGCCATTTTTAGAGACTCGGTCTACACCAGTGTGCAGAACCGCTCCTCTGTGGGGTACCTGCTTGGCCTACCTGTGGATCTGGACTCCATCCTCATCAACGGTGCCTTTTCACTAAACTATGACACGGATGATATGAATGATAAAAGATTTAGTATTAAAGCTGGCGTACCTAACTTTCAAACCACACAAAATGGGGAAAGAGAGAATCATCATCCCTCCAATCAGCTCTCAATTCAATAATATGTATTTTTGTATAGCCCTAAATCACAACTGCAGTTTGATCGGAGCACTATGCAAGGTTATGTATTCACCAACTATCAAAGAATTTAACCATTTGAATACGGGAAATGCAATACCAACGCATAGGAGCCATTGGTGCACAGGAAGTGGAATGACCAGAAATGTCCTTAAATGTCCCGAAATGTCCCGAAATGTCCAGTAATGTCGCGAATCATCACTGTCCTTAGACCCCTCTGCATCAGCAAGGAACGACTCCAAAAAACCTTGTGGGAAAAAGGCCCATATTGAGACAGGGATCTGCTCCTACAGTCAGATAGGGTGTAGATCCAAATTCAGGTTGTAAAACGAGGGCTGAGGCTGTGCGGTGCAGGACTAAGGCAGCTCAGTCCAAAGTGTCAAAGAGTGACTCACAAGGTTCTTTCTACAAGTGTGTAAAAAGTAGTCTCATGTTTTCAAAAAAAGACTGCCTGATATGGTTTTATTTCTCCACGTAGTTTTACCTTACAAGACTCTTTCTGTTTTGAGTGTGCCGAATACAAAGAAATGACTTTGTAAATGTATGTACTTGCAGCTGTCCAACGCTCTGATTATACATCCAATGCAGAAGGTAAAAAGAGATGTTTTGCAAAAGTGAAATGTGTCTTTACCTCTAATATTCTCTGTGCGTCCTCAGGGTCACAGTGCATTGAGAAGCTGTATGCCAACTTTCCCGGAATGGTGATCCCACTGAATGTGTTCTCGTCATGGGGTGGGGTCAGTTGCCATGTAAAACTGACCGCTGCTCCTGGGTTTTTGATCCGGCTGAGAGTCACCTCGTTCCTCATTGAGCCAACTGACTGTGTGAGCGACGGCCTGGTGGTGTATGACGCCCTGCTGCCCATGAGAGGGCGCATTCTGCTGCGGTCAGAGGACTTCCACGTCACATGTTCACATTATTACAACATAATAGTCTTCATGTGTGTGTATTTGTGTGTGTGTCTCAGATTGTGCGAGCCGGTGACCAAAGTGTTCTCCCTGGTGTCTACCTCCAATGTGATGTTGTTGTCGTTTACTATAACAAGTGGAAACAAGAACTTCAGGGGGGACTTTGAGGCCATCACTGAGGAATGTACGATGCAAGATCAATCTGTTTGCACTTCTACTCACCCCCTGTTGAAACTCATGCGGGTGTGCAGGTTATGTTCTGCTCTGTTTCAAAGCCGATAATAATAATAATAATGCATCGGTTTTATATAGCGCTTTTCTGGACACTCAAAGACGCTTCACATGTGTCATTATTCATTCACTCCATACACGGTGGTGATAAACTACTGCTGTAGCCACAGCTGCCCTGGGGCACACTGACAGAAGCGAGGCAACCAGTATGCGCCATCGGCCCCTCTGACCACCACCAATCATTCACACACACACCAGACTCATTCTAGGCAATGGGGGTGAAGTGTCTTGCCTAAGGACACAACGGCAGTTTGGCACTTTACAGCCGCAGCCGCCCCACTGTGGCTGGTGTTCCCAGAGGTTAAGTGTCTTGCCAAGGACACAACGACAGTAGTCAGAGGGAGTCGATGGTGAAAGTCTTGAGCGGGGCTTGAACCCACGACCTTCTGGCTCAAAGGCCAAAGCTCTACCAACTGAGCTACTGTCGCCTGATCTGCTTCTGTCATTTATAGTATGTCTGTCTCACATTGAGATCCCTTCACACGCCGACTTCCCCGGTGATCTCCAGAGTCCGTTCTACCCCAGTCTGCTGCCTCCACAATGCTCCTGCACCTGGACATTTCAGGTATGGTCCACTGCAATAACTCTGCAGACTCTTACTGTGTCTGTCTTTGCTTTAGTGTCTGTAGTGTTTGACTTTACAGACCTCCAGTTCTGCTTTGGGGGTGGCTCTTCATTTCAAGAACTATGTGCTAAACGTAAAGGACATGAAGGCTTGTGACCAAGGCTGGTGGAGAATAAATGAATTAATGTAAGACTTTCCATGTATTGCATATAGAGTTGTAACAGTTCCATGTTTAAGATTCAAATGTGATGTGTCTCTATCTAGTTACTGTGGGACCTATGTAGACCACAGCACAGTGTTCCGGATCAGTGACCCCAGTCCAGAGGTGGAGTTTCGCTGCAGCTCTCGTACCTCAGTTCAGCCTTTTGAAGCGTCTTACGTCAGTTATGACATCAACCAGCGTAAGTACCTCAAGAGGCGAAGATATACACTGTACGTATAGTTAATATGTCTCAATATGGCTGTGGTGTGCGTCAGCCTGTCCAGAGAGCCACTTCCTGTGCTCCACTGGTCTGTGTGTGGAGAAGGCCAGACGATGTGATGGTCTGGATGACTGCCAGGACGAGAGTGATGAAATATTCTGTCGTAAGTTTTACTAACATTATCGAAACATGTTGTTAGTAACATTAGATTCAATTGGAATAAAGATAGATTTGTTTGAGTATTAAATGTTTCAGTTTCTCTGCTCAGTATTCGTTGATATTGGAGGTCTATTGGGTATGAATACATTGATTTCACATGGAACTTCAAAATACTAGTATTAAATTTACTTATTTTTGTATCATTATTTTTTAAATCCTTCATATTTGGCATTGGAAAGATGGTCAAATGCAGGACTAACTCCTCTGAGTGCAATAATACAGTATAACTTGCCATAAAGACTCATAAAGACATGCTGTAATATAAAGTCCTACCAGTTATTGTTACTAATTGTTTTAGTGCATGTTTTTATAGCAAGACCATCAATAAACTGTGTGGGCAGCAGTTTTATTCACCCCATGTTTGTGTGTAATGGAGAAAGAGACTGTTCTAATGGAATAGACGAGATCAACTGCACTCAAGGTACTCATCTGACCTGTTATATTTGTATAATTATATATGGTTGTTAATTGTGTGTTATTTAAATATCTCTAGAGACCACCTGCACAGCCATAAGCTTCCCGTGCAGCAGTGGCTCCTGTATCTTGAAGAAAAATGCAAAATGTGATGGAAAGTTTGACTGTAGTGACCGGAGCGATGAGATGGACTGTGGTGAGTGGATAACATGGTTTCACTAGTGTCGTTAATCGTTGCATAAATACATTCTGCTTGTGAGATGAGACTTTTGAGGACTGAACAGTTTTAACTTGTCTTAAAGGAACTTCCTAAAGATTGCATATTGAAAATTTCCTAAACGGTATGCAGCACAAAACAAAGAGAGTAAAACAAAATTAAAATAAAATAAACATATATAGGGTATGTAAATTACCCTCTACATTTGGTTGAATTATCAGTCTTTCTCGTGTAACAAATATAAACAACTAAGGACAGTGATGATGCGGGACATTTAAGGACGTATCTGCACATTCGTATAATATGGACGTTGGTCGTCCCGCTCCCAGGAGCCAATGACTCCTATGTGTTTAATATTATTGCATTTTCTGGCTGTATGATTCTCTGATCTGTTGTTGGTGAATCGACAATGTTGTGATTTAGGGCTACACAATAATACATTTGATTGAATTTAACTTTTCTTCCAAAACTGCCTGTTGATTGTACATTTCTAAGGTACAATTTAGAAACATGTCACACACTTTAGGCTGAGAAGGGCTGTGATACAAAATGATTACTGTTTATCATTGCTGCAGATTGTGGCGAGCCTTCACCGCCGTCCGAGCGCATCGTGGGCGGAGTCAGCTCTGTGGAAGGGGAGTGGCCATGGCAGGTCAGTCTGTTGTTCTCTGGGAGCGTGTACTGCGGCGCCTCAGTGCTGTCGTCAGAGTGGCTGGTGTCGGCTGCTCACTGCTTCAGAAGAGACAGGTCAGCCTCTGTGGGAGTGATGTCACATGCAGCTGTTTCCGAATAGCATATTATGCAAATCCACTTTTTCTCAACATTACAACTTTGTTCCTTATCAGTCACAGACCGAATTGTATAATAGTGTGAAGTTATTGTATTTGTATGACATCACATTCAATAAAAGTATAGCCCATATCAGTGTTTTTGCAGCCAGTAGTTTAAAAATCTGGAAATATAACTCAACAAATTAAACGTCTTCCCCTGGTGGCAGCTGGGGGAATTACACAATGGAAGCATTGTTTACCCTCAATACTTGTTTCACTATATATTTCTACTTTTCATATTATTTCACATTCTAAAATATGAAGTGACAAATCAAAAAGTGATTTAATCATTTGTTTAAATAGCCAAAAATAATGCATAATATTTTTCCTTAACTTTTCCTATTGAACCTGATATTATATGTGTAAGATGAGTTGTTTGTTCTGCAGACTGTCTGACCCCCGCCACTGGAGGGCTCACCTGGGCATGCTGAGTCAGGGCAGCGCCAAGTATGAGGCAGAAATCCAGAGAATTGTAGTTCATGAGTATTACAACGCATTCACCTTTGACTATGACATCGCGCTGCTCCAGCTGAAGAAGCCCTGGCCTTCGTCCCTCAACTCTCTGATCAAACCAGTGTGCCTGCCCCCGCCGTCTCACACAGTCACTGATAGCCACCCCTGCTGGGTTACAGGCTGGGGGTACCGCTCAGAGCAGGGTGAGTCAGACACATGATGATACTGTCTAACATGTGAAGTTTTGTAATATTCACTCCTCTGAAAAGACTATTCATAGACTATTTAAATAATCAACTAGTTGCAATGAATTATTGTTGCAGCTTAAGTTTAAATATTCTGTGAATGAAGCGCTTGTTATCATCGTCTAATGAAGTTGTACATTGAATGACATGTTCTGCTTCTGTCCCATGCTCCTACAGACAAAGTGCTGCCCGCTGTGCTCCTCAAAGCACAGGTGTTTGTCCAGAGCCAGAGCGAGTGTAAGAAAAGCTACAGTCTGGCCTCTCCTCGGATGCTGTGTGCAGGTGTGCCCTCTGGAGAGCAGGACGCCTGCAGGGTCAGTCTGGATCCACAATACTGCTGTCAGTGTTTGTTTGTTTGTTTGTTTGTTTGTTTGTATTTTCCTTTCTGTTTCAGGGTGACTCCGGGGGTCCGCTCTCCTGCCAGGAGCCAGGAGGTCGCTGGTTCCTCATCGGCATTGTGAGCTGGGGGCTTGGCTGCGGTCGACCAAACCTTCCTGGGGTCTACACCAGGGTCAGCAAGTTCACCTCCTGGATCTACAGCCACATTATCTGACACAGCTGTGCAGTTTGAGACTTGGACTAAACAATAAAACGAGGGCTGGAACGTACACAAAACAGCAGAACAGAATACAGTGTCAAATTTGCTCTGTTTGTGCATCATATTTTTAAAGAAAATAAACCAATAAAATGACATTATAATGGACTTGGCGTATAGACTACGATTTGCCAAGATGAACACCTGTTTCAATAGTGGCTTTAGCTGCACTGCAGTGTGGCCCATTAGAGTTTGGATTCTAATACCTCGCACACGTTTCTCTCAAGCACTCTTTTGTTCCTCTGTAGCCATAGCCCCATACACATGGAGTAAGTTTGCCCACAATATCTGTCGCACGGATGGTTGTGCGGATTGTACTGTTCATAGTGCTCTCATTGTGCCGCGCTGCATTCTGGGGCTCCGTGTGACACCTGCCGCCCAGGTGAACGAGGCGGTGAATGCCCGCCGCATCCGAGCCGCTTAGGTCGGGTTTCTGCACTTTTTTCTGAAAGGAAGCAGCACCGGGGTTTTCCTCTCTCCCTCTCTCCATCATTTCTATGCCCAGGCTTTGTTGCCTAGTGCCTCTGTGGAGCTTCACGGGACAGTGCTATGAGGACTCTCCCTAAAAGTAAAACTTGTCAAGTCTACTGCGTCTCTGAAGATGGACTCTCAAGCCACACTACTGCACAGGTAAACTCTGTCATTTCCTCTGACACGCACTTGGAAGCCTGCACATTTGCCTCTCACCTTGTAGGGATTGTTTGGTTAATTACATAGTCACTACAACTATAGTGCTGCCTACAGTCATGGTAAGAATTTATTGTAAACCGTTGCTAAGGCATTTGCACACCCACTTCTTGTGAATGCACCAGAGTGAGCCACTTGATTGAGTACTGACATGGCATAGCCCAGTCGTGGGAAAGCAGACCCCATCAGCCAGCCGCTTTGTCCTGTCCCGCGGGGGACCCTGCCGGCCCTCTTATGTAGCAGGAGACCTTTGCGCCTCAGCATGCCCATCCTGCACTGCGTAAATCACTGTGCAGTCATAAACTTTGCACTAGAGGCATTTTCTTAATTGCCCTTAAAACACAGATATAAGGGGGTCTAAGTCCATGCACAGTGGTATGGTATATGAGTAATGTTCTTTTTTAATTCAGGGAGAGGGGAAGTTAAAGGAGCCCTCCCAGACATCAAGCCCCCCCACAAGGCTGGAGCAGCCGATAGCTAAGGGGGGGGCAACACCAGTTTGTGCCTCCTGGAGGAGATGGCTCTTAGGTCTTTCACTTTTCATTAATTCAAGCATAGCCATTGCACTGACGCTCCACTTCTGCAGATGTAAGTACTTCTCATGGATATCAGCCCTTTTTTGAAGTCTTTGTTTTGACTGGTGTGTCTCCTCACTGGTCCTACAGCTTCTCCTTCCTCAGTGTTCTTTCTCGGCGGCTGCGTGGAGTTCTCAAATTTGAGTTTTTCCTCAGAGCTCGTAGACTCCACATCTTCACGGTTTGGCCTGCAGGCTCAGGCTTTAAGCCATTATGTAAGTCTTACACATTTTCTGTTCTCTCAGTCTTTACTCAAGGACCTGTTTGGCCTAAGGATGTTCACAGTATTTTGACTTGGGGTCTGGAGTCTTTTCAACTCTGTCCATTCTGTTGTGTACGTCTGCATAACAATGTCTTTTCTTCTGTGTTTTTTACTTTTGCCTCACTGTCTCTCTGCCTCAATGGTGGTGTTAAATGTAAAGCTGAAACGAGAGATGGGCCCTGTGTGAGTGTGAGTCCGAGGACCCCAGGGAGAGGGGCCTTTCAGACCTGAGGACAAGCTGGCTGTTTGTAAGCCCCGACTGGGTCCAGGCCGCGAGAGTGAGAGGACGAGCAGCTTCAATAAAAACATTGTCTGTGGCTTTCACACAGTCGGCTGCTCTGTACCTCAGCATGGAGCTGGGTTTAGACAGAGGTTGGGGAGGCAGGACTATGAAGCAACTGGGGGCAATATAAGCCCAAGCCCTTACAATTACACTTTTCAAATTGTGAGGACATTTGACTGTTTTAAGATTTTAGGTTCCTGGATGCTGTTCCCATAGTTACTACTCTTGTGAGGGAAATTGACACAGTATCAGCTCATTAACAGAGAAAGGCCAAGAGTCTTTCCTCTCCTCGTGTCCGGCCGGGTTCAGCAGCAGCTCTCTCACAATGGCTCTCTGTCCTGTTCCTTGTCACTGAGATCAATGAGCAATGAGAGCCCAGGGTCCTGTCATCTCGCCTCACGCCTCATTTGTCTGAAGGACCAAATATAATGCCCTCGGACCAAGGGTGCCCCACACAGTGTCCACTCTGATGTTTCTTCTATTTTGTAGTTTTCCAAACTCTATGAGTCAACACCATGGAGCACTTACTATCTGGGCTCAGGAATCACTGCCTTCAGGTATGGCCTTCTCAGGTTTTAGTGCAATATGGAATCTAACTCTATTTAAAACTGTTTTTGTGACAGCGAAGGAGCAGCAGGACTCAATGTTTTCTATTGGAGTAAATTTTCTGCACCGGAGGATGTCGCTGAAGCTATTCGCAAATCCAACCCAGGGCGGTTACAACGTCGACTCCCAGGCCTCAATAAAGTCCTACAGGACAGTCGCCACGAGCAACGCTACTTCATGGAGCAGGATTCAGACATGCTTCACCTGCTGGGTACACGCTCTGCCTCACACTACACTCACACTATTCTCATGAAGCTTGTGTAATAACTACTACACCATGGTCAGGAAGTACTCTGAAGCTCACAAGCCTGGATTATTTATGTATAGCAATGAAAAATACATTCACTATTTGTTGTTTCTATGCTCATGGCGTAGCCATAGCCATGTACAGTACATATCATTTAAACAAACACATCACAATAACAGTATAACTTATACTGGGCACCAAGAGCATCAATCATTTCCTTAGGGCACAAAATACTGCAATATTTTGTATTTAGGAAGCTCTAATTTATTAGCTCTAATTGCTGCTATAAGCAGCGTAAATACATAAGCTCCTTAAACAGCTTATGTATATTTTTAATTTCTGAATGTATGTTATTGTAGGCCTGGATCCTGATGATTATGAGTTTGAAGAAAAATCTGACAAGTTTAAGAATCCAAATAGCATTCAAGGTGGAAAGTGGCAGCTTGGTTTCCAAGGTGAGTAGGCACCTGGATGTTTAGTGTTTCACACGTACCCCTTAAATGAGATGGATAACAAACTCATTCATATTTTACTGTTTGGATGTAGCCATGTCGTTTGACCTATATGCTAAATACGGGAATAACCGCACCCTGAGCCTGGTGAACCCCAAGAAGCCCTACTACCAATGGCGCCTGCGTGTACCCTCAGGGCATGTTGTCCGGCTGGTGGTCCTCACGCTTCAGGGAGCCGCCCCCGGCAGCTGCATCGCACACAAACTCTCTGCTTATGACTTCTTACTTCCTTTACAAAACAAGATCATTGCAAGGTACATACTGTAATTACTGTATATACTGTACATACTGTACAGAGAGCATGAGAATGCTTTCTGACTGCTGCTCTGTCTGCAGGTGGTGTGGACTGCCTGTGTCTGGTTCTTCTCCGGTCATGAAGTTAATGTCGTCTGGAAATGTCATGTTGGTTACTTTTTCTTTCAGCAGACAAAGAGATGGCGCTGTCTTTAAAGCCTATTTCCAGGCCATTCCAAAAGCAGGTTTGACAACTCAACCAAAACAAATATGCCTCTGGCATGACTGCATATTTGCCTAATCTGTCTATTTTTAGAACTTGTATTTATCTTTTGACCTTGCGACTTAGGTTGTGGGGGTTCAATAACATCCTGGAACGGTTCCATATCTTCCCCTTACTACCCATCCTTCTATCCTCCAAATATAGAGTGCACTTGGACTGTACGGGTGAGGCTGCCCTGTCTTTGATCAAGTCAGTTATGAGAAAAGTCCCATTTGAAGCATTTCAAAACATTATACTTTATCTTCAGACCCCGATGCCCGGATACCTGATCTCTATGACTATTGTGAAGTTTGACATCCAGGATTCTTCCTCATCTGAATGTGAGAAGGACTGGCTGGACATTGGAGGGGTCAAGTGAGTACTAAAAGTATATGTTAGCAGTAACAGCTCCATTTGATTTTCAAACTATATTTTGTACTCTCATTCCACATGACAAATGATAAATGATAACTCACCTGCATGCAAGTCCAGGTAAAATGTCTTTTAGAACAATGGACAACCCAATTTTAATGTAAATATGTGTAAATATAACATATTTACACATATTTAGTGCAGTTACATTACTGCTGTGAAAGCTATTGTCTAGACAGGGCCCTCTGCTGTCTAATTAATGATATTGCAACTATTGAATTTGAAAGCTCAATCCTGTGGACACATTAATATAATGTGTTTTTCTTATTTGTTGTTCTTATGTGTTTCTGCAGACTATGTAATCCTATTATGGAGAACAGTAAGAAGCGTGTGTTCTCATCTCCGCTGTCCATCCAGTTTCACTCGGATGAATCCATCACTCATCCAGGCTTCTATCTGATCTACAGAGCCTTCTCTCCAGAGGGCAGTGAGTAGACATGAGTATTTTAACACGTAGTTAATATAAATGAATAGACTGTACACTTCAAATCTTTCATTTAATAAATCAATTACATTTTATTTTGAAGCCTTTTATGATAATGAAAGTGACTTGAGTGCTTTCCAATAAATTAAACTAAAATAATATAAAAACAGAAACATAGATTAACAAGAATAAGAGTGAGGGACCCAGCCCCAACACTCACTCACACATTCACACGACACAATGTGAGTGACGTGTCTAAACAACGGTCTCCCATCACAGTACTGACCAGGCTGCAGGTACTCTGTCATTTACTTCTGTAATCAGCTAATAATGACAAACTGTTATATGCCAGACTCATTACATGCGAAGTGACATAAATCACGCTTCAATGTGTTTTAATGTTGATAACTGACTCACAGCTTGTAAAAACGCCAAATAAATTATCTCAGAAAATAAGAATATTTTCAAAATGGCCTGTAAGCCATAATCATCAACACTATGACAAACAAAGGCTTTCCATGCGTGACTTTCTTGTATTGAGTCTATATCATATATCGATTTCACATTTTGAGTTGAACTTTTTTTTTTAAATGACCATTTTTACCATTTATTTTTATTTTTTTAATACCATTTTTTCAGAGCTTCACTTGTATCTTTGATGCCACATTGACAACAAGTTTAGCATTACCATTGTCTTGTATTGCTGACATCAACATTTCTGGTGACCTTGCTTGTGTGCAGCGTGCCCACGGCAGTTTCGCTGCGGAGACGGTCGCTGTATTCCTCTGAAAAAAGTTTGTGACGGAGAAAGAGACTGCTCAGACGGACGGGATGAAGCCAAATGCAGTATTTCTCCTTGTTCAATCATGAGTGATCATTTTGACTTCTGTAATTGCCGGACTTTAAGTTCTTTGAACCCTGTGTCTTATGTAGAGATGCAGCCAATGTCCGTATCATTATTTTGTAAGAGCGCCTCAGATGTGAACAGCACAGACAGAGCCGACACAGGGAAGTGCAGGGAGATATTACACAGGAGCAGTTGTTATGTGATTAGGACTGTGTCAGAGGAGGACAAAGGGATTAGACGCATCTTTATTGTCAAAATAACAGTTAAAACAGTCGTCCATCTGCTTTGTTTTGCTCTACTTGCTGTTAGGTCAGTGTTACATTACATCGTAATAACCTGCAGCTTATATTCAATTGTGGCCCCAGTACTTTCTTTTCAAATGTAGCTGGTTTATATACAGGTGCACTTAATAGTCCAGAAAGTACTGTATATTGTTTCTCTGAATAGATTCCTGCAGGCCCGGTGAAGTCCAGTGTGCGAATGGCCAGTGTAAGACTCACAGCAGTCAGTGTGTGACCCAGAGCACCTGCTCAGACAGCAGTGAGGAGAGCCCATGTGGTGAGCTCACGCTACCTACCATTCATTTTTCACACATCTGTGGTAACTATGTTATAAAATCTCTTTGCTAACAGCCAGTAAGTGCTACCATGTGTGTCCAAATAAGCTGTGTTTGCCAAAGTCTTCATTGTGCGACGGTGTTGTTGACTGCAAAGACCGCAGCGATGAACTCAACTGCACCAGAGCATGTCAGTATTTATTCACATGGACACCTCGTATATACTGCATGACGCGGGAGACAAACCTGTCCATCATATGTCTGTGTTTTGTAGACGTGAAAGGCTGCTCTTCAAACTCTTTCAAATGTGCAAATGGTAAATGTGTGAGCAAGGTCAACCCAGAGTGTGATGGAGTGAAGGACTGCTTTGATGGCTCTGACGAACAACGTTGTGGTAGGTAGTTTTGACATTAGTCGTATAATAGATAGATTGATCAATAGATAGATCGATAGATTGATCGATAGATAGATCGATAGATTTATCGATAGATAGATCGATAGATTGATCGATAGATAGATGGATAGATAGATAGATAGACGAAAAAAATCCATCGTCCTAAAAACATCAATTCTACAACATTTATGGATATTGCTCATCTGCTCCTTATGGACTGTTACCAAAGTAATAAAGTGTTAATGTTTGTTAATGTTTGTCCCTGTCACTTTGCCTGTGAGCAGCGTGTGGGACCAGGCCTAGGAAACGCACCAAGATCGTGGGAGGCTCTGATGCAGGGACGGGCTCGTGGCCGTGGCAGGTCAGTCTCCAGATGGAGCGCTACGGCCATGTGTGTGGGGCCACTCTTGTTGGCAGTCGCTGGCTTATTTCTGCAGCCCACTGTTTTCAGGACTCAGATGTCATCAAGTAAGGACACACAGCATCCTTAATATTTTTCAGATGAATGTACTTATTATTGTGCATAGATATTCCGACACTCGTGCTTGGCGAGCGTTCATGGGAATGCGTGTCATGACATCAGGAATCAGCGGAGCAGCCAACAGACAGATCCGTCAAATCCTCATTCATCCAAAGTACGACCAGTTTACCTCAGATTATGACATCGCCCTGTTGGAGCTCAGCATACCCATCTTCTTTAATGACCTAGTGCAGCCAGTGTGCATCCCAGCCCCATCACACTCCTTCACCACTGGGACCAGCTGCTACGTCACAGGCTGGGGCGTGCTCATGGAGGACGGTAATTCTAGCACCACCCAAGGCTAAAATGCTTTTGCTATTATATTTAGTGAATATATATCAATTATGCTCCTCACCAGGTGAGCTGGCGTCTCGACTACAAGAGGCTTCTGTGAAGATAATCAACAGAAAAGCATGCAACAAGCTATATGATGAAGCTGTCACTCCCAGAATGCTTTGTGCTGGAAATTTACAGGGAGGTGTTGATGCTTGTCAGGTGAGGCCTGTGATGCTGTGGCTGCATGTGTAGTTCTATCAGTATGTCATGATGCTGTGCTCTCTGGCCTTAGGGAGATTCAGGGGGGCCCCTGGTGTGCCTGGAGAGGGGCCGTCGCTGGTTTCTGGCCGGGATTGTGAGCTGGGGCGAGGGCTGTGCCCGGCAAAACAGACCCGGGGTCTACACACAGGTGGTCAAATTCACTGACTGGATCCACCTTCAGACCAAAGGCCAAGTGTGACACTGGAGTCATGATGAACATTCACCTGTCGACCTGCTGTGCTACTAAAGCAGGGCTTTAACCACCTTTATGAAAATGACTTCATCATAACAACTGCAGCCCTGTCATTTAAGTACAGTTTTATGCTCACAGATATATTTCCCAAACTGTACCTCAAGATTACTCTTGTTAATTGACAGAGTTGAGTCCAGTCAAAACAAATCAAGACAATGCTTGATACATGTATTTAAAGTAATATATACATTCATAAGATTTATAAATACTATGCTGCTTGTTTCAGCAGTGTCCAAACATCCCCTTTGCTCTAACATGCAACTGTCAAATGCATGCACATTTTTTGTAATTAATGGAACATTTTCCCTTCATGTCCATGTACTGTATTATGTGACTTTTGTACTATATTATTTGATTCATAGAAAATAAACCACTCGATGTTTGAACCTTCTCTGAGAGACTGTGGCTGTGCTGTTTCTGGAAGAAACGATCATGGATGTGTCACATTGAAGTGTATTGTTATTTGTGTTGGATCGCAGATGAAGCGGGAGGGAGGCCCCTGTCAGATAATCCATCAAACAGCACCCTTCTCTGCCTACGTGCTTTTGAACCCGTGGGAGACGTGCGCATCCTCTGGCACAGAACAAGTGTGATAGACGCGAGAGTAAGTTCAGCTCTATTTGTGGGAATAGTGTTTGCGCGGCTGTGGAGGGTGTGTCAGGCGCGTCACGGAAGCCCGCTATCCGGTGGTCAAACTGTGGGAACGGTATAAATCAAGCGCAGTGGCCGAAAGCATGGGAACGCTGTTGACACGTCCTGTAGCGTGATCTGAACTCCCGCAGTTTTCCTCAGGAAAATCCATCTCCATTCACAGACGAGCTGCCCCAGAGAGAGCGGAGCCTGGAATACTGCCTCCTACACAAATATGGACCTGGCACTTTTCTGCCTCTTATGTGGATTTTATTCCGTTTTGGCCAGAGGTGAGAATCTATGTGACTTTGTGTCCAGATATGTCACGCAATTCTGTTGTTGATTCATATAGGGGTTCACGTGGAGCATCTCTTGGCTCAGTGCAGTGGCTGTACAGCTGTTTGGCCCCTGGGCCCTCAGGAGCCTTTAGGAGCCTCCGCGTGGCCATGATGGCTAAGATCAGATTTAGTCATTTATAGCAATAATAAGATTAGTGAGGTCTGTCGCATGCTGACAAGACAATGAAGGACGGTATTTTTGAGGCGTACGTCAGCGTACTTTTGCTTTGTTTTTTTGCTTTACCAATTATTTCTTTACATTAAAATTCTAAAAATTGTGTGTGAACGTAGAAAAGGTGAATAGTTTGGACTTTTTTAATTGCTCAGAATGAATTAAACAAGAGATCTATTTATATTAAGGCTGCCACAACAATATTTATAGAATAATAGAATAATAAAGTGAAATTAGATTTTCACTAAAGTTTTTGTCCTACGTCAGGCCTGATGTTGTATCAGACATGATATAGTTGCACTTTGTTTCTCCGAACGCCTGGAAGCGGCAGCTCAGGCCCGAGGTCCGGAGCCGAGGTCCGGAGCTGAGGCCGTGTGCGCTCAGCTACACGAGGGGACAATGAAGTGGACATTTCCGTCCATTAATGATTTGAGATTAATTAATTATTCTGGAAAGTAGTGTTTTTGATATATGTGTGCTAATTTCCATTATTCTGTATTTTATTGTAACTTATGTGCAGATTTGACATGAAGCATTTCAATGAGCTCATGTGTCATCTTTATGTAAAACCTGAAAAGACAAAGGCTTTCTAACTTCACTTTATGCATTCCACGGTGTCAACATTCCTTGCACTGTTATTTTTCAATGGCAGAGAAGGTCTACTTTGCAGCTTGTTGAAAGGAGGAGAAGTCTCACTTCCCTTGAGTCACTCTTCTCCTGTATCGTGCTTCTGAAAGCTGCCAAATATTAGGAAATAGTAAAGGAAGCCCTTTCCTAGCCTCTGCTGCACATGTCCCAAAGTGGCATCCACTGGAACAATGCTTCAGTAGCCTTCAGTTGTAGTGAGCACTTTTAATGCAGTGTTTTATTCAGGACAAACGTTGTGTTTGTAAATGTCCGTTATATAAGTAAGTGAGAACAGCCACACTTGAGAAATACTTCTCAACATAATGTTTCCTTGTTTTTCGGAAGGAAGGGTGGACAGTCAGTGTTCTTTATCACTCATTAATAAACCTTAGCCACAGAGTTGAGAAATGTGTATAAACAAGAGGTCCAGTGCTTACGCACTTCCACAAAGCTGTCAGACTGTGTCCTGGTGTGAGGCTCATCACATGCTACAATGATGGATGTCCTCTTCCTGAATCCTCACAGTGAGCATCTATAATCGTTCACTTAATATGTGTTCTATCAGGCTCAGACTGAAACTGTCGACACCCATAAACACAATGAGATTGTTTTACCATATTGCATTTGTTATTTTAGAGGGAAGATATAGTGCACCTGTCATGGATGTGAAATCTCAACATCTTGTCCTGAGCACAGACCAAACCCTGCTCCTCAACTGCAGGTAGGTTTAACACACCTGTACAAGACAAACAGTCTTCCATGTTTTTCTGTGAGAAACTCTTTGCACAGTATTTAACGGTTGGATCTGTGACAGGGGCCGCTGGAAGCTGAGGTGGACGTCCCCTCCGGCTCAGACCACAGAGCAGATCATAGAGGAGAACTCTCGCTGTGGAAGAACCAAACAGCATTACTGCAGTCGCCTGAGCGTCAGTGACACCACGGCCCAGAACACAGGCCTCTACAAGTGCTACTATGAGCATCGACCTGAGAAGAACACGTCTGTGTATGCTTATATCACCGGTAAGACACGGATTATCCACTCACTCTTCACCTCAGTCATTGTTTCAAAGTCTAAGTTCAACAGGATACGACAAGTGCTAAATACAGACCAATGCAACAGAGCCAATTATATTTAAACGTACTTTGCAACAACAACACATCCGTCTAAATGATTCTGGCACAGTGCTACGCCCCTCTTCCCCTCTCCCTCCTGTCAACCTGTAATTCCTTTTTTACTTTCGCTTACGTGCTACCTCTGAGCCAGGAATAGCTGCTCTGGTCTGGGCAGAGTTTCCCAGGGCATGAGCCTTATCTGCTGGCCTCAGGCTTCAGTGAGCATCCTGTGCTGGGGGACAAGTGGGGAGGGGATGTGTCTGTACTACAAGGTGCTCTGTTTGTGTGGAGGACAGGCACAGGAGGCACACAGTCTGCATGCCCAGTGACTCCTCCTAGTCCTTGGAGGCTGTGTCTGTGCCAGGGTCAGAGCCAACAGGACCCTGGGGTCCCATCTGTGCTCAGGTCATCATGTCCATTAAACGTCAGTCATGGCCCAGAGCAGCACCTACACTGTAATCCTCCTCCACAGTCTCCAGCACATTATCAAAGCTCTGGGCGGCCGGTCCTTGGGGTACTTTTGTTCAAATGTTCAGACATTTGCCTTCTCAGAATATCACCCGCAGCAAACAATGCTGACAACACCCACAACTTTTAATGTCCACCGCCATTACTCTGGTGGATGTGGGAGGAAGCGAGAGGCCAATTGAACAAGTGCTGTTTATTATCCACCTTTTTAATGAATTTGCTTTTATTTGTGGTTCAAATGAACTCTACATAGTTCAAGAGAGATGAGTGCTGCAGTGGGTCTGGCTCTGTCAGGTGCTCATCAGGATAAGCAGTTGTAAAAACACTGGAAACTTAAAAGAGATGAGAAAAATCCGAGGCACTCTTGACATTTGATTAGAATCCTTTAATGTACAGAGATATGCAACGCCTTCTTCACTGACCTGGTTTTTCGAACACTACAAGTATTTGTGCTGTTGAATGACTAGCCATAGTTACTGATGATCACTGACTAGTTTTTGACTTTCAGACAACCATCAGCCATTCGTGGAACATTCAGGGATGAGCCCTGATGTGTTGTACAAGAGAGAAAAAGAATCACTTGTCATTCCATGTCGTGTCACGCACCCGAACACCACTGCCACACTGGCCAAGGTGAGCAGCTTCAATATGTATACAGTATTTATATCCCTATATATTTGTGAATGTGTCATTCAGACTCGGGACTTGGGATATGGACTCCCTTGGCCTCCGTCCAGCAGCATTTCCACATTTGTCTGAGTCAGATCATGCGACCACTGATGCTCTCAGCAGCTGCTGAGGAAACACTGGCTGCTTCCCCAAAACATCAAAGTGCTGGGTCTAATCACAGTGTGCCACCTACGTCAAAGTGAGAGCTCCTGGACATTATCTGCCATCGTGATCATGATTCATTCTTTTCAAATTCCTTCAAAGATCCTCAGGGTTATGGAACAAGTCAAATCAAGTGCCCAAATGAGTACGCCTGAGGCTGAGCCAGAGGTGTCAGTGAAGACCCTGGACCCAAATGAAGGTTAGAAATCATACAGCATCCTTCCTGATGGCATGAAAAGGTGTTTTCTACACACCAAGAGGAGCATGCAGACTCCACAACAAGAGGCCCAGGCCGGCATGGGATCAAACAGTGCCTTCTTGGCCCTGTGCTCCTGAGTAGATGTTTTTCAAGACGATGCTGAAGTTCATAATTTTCATTTGACAAAGGACTCTTTTCAACCATCTTGTATCGTTCCCTGCTGGGGATGGATGGGCATGAGTTCCGGACAGTGGATTTTCAGCAATGTCTGGAGTAATCTTCCTAAGACGCATCTTGAGGCCTTTTGGCTTCTTACCTGGATCAAGACCAAACCAAACCAGACCTGCGCTGGGACTCCCTATTCCTGCCTTTCATTATATTCCTGCCTTTCATTTGAACTTTTGGACGATTGATTCATGAGAACTAACTCCAACAAGTGAAGTCCTCTTCATCACTTTAAGCAAGGTTTTTAAAAACACAAACAACAGTGGAGCTACTCATTATTGAATCTTTTTTATCTTTGATATTTATATTTTAGTTTTTTTTTTTTTTTTTACTGAATGAGAGATTATTTCATAGTATATATTTCATTTTAGTTTCACACTCTTTTCTTCTTATCACATTTTAAGACCAAACTGTGCTAAGTAAACTTCAAGTGTGAATCAGGTGAAAATTGTCTCATTTTAATATTATGTGAAGCTTATTTTATTAGTACTGTACCTCCACCTGAGAGTAATGGTCAATGGTGTTTGTCTGTTTGTTGTTAGCAATATAACTCAAAAGTATGGAAGTGGAAGAAATGTTTAGGAAACGTGTGCAAAAGCCCAGTGAACAATGGAATCCATTTTGGAGGTGATTTCTTTTAACGGAATGGATCTACATCTCCAGGTGGAGATCTAGGGCTAGTAAGAGAGAGATTGGTATTTAGTCTTCACTTTGCCTCGTTATTTGAACTGTGGAAATTAACTGATTACTGAACTTTTGGAATAGTTTTCATTTGGAAAGTATCTGTTCATAAATGACATTCTTCATTCTTTGACAGTTCCCAAATGGCCAGAGGCTAAGTCCAGATCGGAGGAACATTCTGTGGGACAGTACTATCGGCTTCACCATCCGCAGCCCCACCTTGTATTACACTGGGCCTTTTTTCTGTGAGATCACAGGGGATGGTCCCGTTTTAAAGTCACGGATATACATTATACATAGGCCAGGTCAGTGAAGTACTCATCCATAGCACATTTCTTATTTATTTGTTCCTTTGTAACTGGCAGTTTTACCTTTGACAAAAGCAATCATAAAGCTCTGCTTTCTCTGCAACAGTGAGCAACATTCTGGACGTGTACCTGAACAGCAGTGGGCTGGTGGAGGCTCTGAAGGGGGACAGACTGGTACTGAACTGCACAGCCACTGGGGAGCTGAACACCAGGGTCAACATCACCTGGGACTATCCAGGCCAGGTCAGGACCAAATGTATTGTAAAGCATATATCACACAAGACTGCATTTCTATTTGTGTTTTTATTTAAGTATAAACATCATTGCAAAAATAGTCAAAACACAGATTTTTCATAATGAAACAACTTACTTTTCATTCAGAACAACAGCTTCCACTCCATCACAAAGCGGATCCATAGACACAGAACCCACATACAGTTTTACAGCATCCTGACCATCCCAAAGCTGCAGCACTCCGACCGCGGCCAGTACACCTGCCGTGTGTCCAGTGGCCACAATGTCAAACAGAAGAAGGTGCCAGTCACCATTTATGGTGAGTTTCTTGTTGTTCTATTCTATTGCTGCTCTTAAAGTTGTATTGTATGAAAGGGGCCTTGCTATCGAGAAGACAGGAAAAAAACAATGGGAAAAACTTTCATAGAGATTTCAAATGCAATGTTTCGCTTGCAGCCCCAAAACATGTCCCTGTTTGTGCAACACGTCTGAAGTATTCTTGAAGACGCGTTTCAAGCCTGCTCATTCTGTTCTTTCAGACCGTCCATTTATACGCCTTAAGCCCAGACATGGATGCTTAATAGAAACAGAAGTCGGACAGAAATCCTACAAAATCTCTCCTAAACTACGAGCATTCCCAGCCCCAGAGGTCATGTGGTAAGGCAACGGTTAACAATTATTTATGTTGAAAAGATGACATGTGAAACATATGCAATCCTTCTGCCTAGCAACCAATACAATATTGGCCTATTTCGAAATGTTCGATTGTGAGTTTTGCTGCATATAAACGTATATATATTGTGAATATATGTGTTCTCCTCAGGTTAAAGGATGGCAGAGTTGCAGCAGAGCAGTGTTCCAGGTATCATTTAGAGGGGCACTCGTTGGTGATCCGGGATGTTGCAGAAGAGGACGCTGGGAAATACACTATCTTGGTCCGAAACCAGGAGCATGGACTTTGCCAGAATCTAACACTTACCCTGGTGGTGAAAGGTGAGTCTGCACAACCGACTGGTTGCAGCTACAATGGCGTTCGTCATGGGATTTCTCTGATCTGTGGTCGTGATTGTCTTGGCAGTGAAACCGCAGATTGGAGAGAAAGCAGTGTCATTACAGGACCCTGGGCCTGTCCCGCATGGAAGCCAACAAGCACTGCGATGCACATTACATGGGATCCCCCCTCCTCATATCCACTGGTCCTGGCACCCATGTCCAGCAAAAGGCCTGTAAGTACTCCTTCACCAGACTGATCCACTTGAAATCACATTCATGCTCCAGTTGTTTTGAAGCTGTAATATGTTTGGGTCGATGCACATTAGCAACGAAGATCTCAGGCTTAACGTGTCGTAATCAGTGGTGTTTGTGAGGGGTTTTGAAAGGGAAATGTTTTGTCTAGTTCAGCATGAGTTCAGACAGTTTCCTTTTAAACCAGAGCAGCTCCTTTTCATGTTGGTCATTGTGTGTGAGACAGTGTGTGCTGCATGTGTGTGTCTAACCCTTCTCCTACACTGTTTCCACCTGCCTCTTCTATATTGTGTCTTTATGATTGTTTAAGGCACATTTTTGTGTGAGAGTGTTGGACACACACTAACTGGAGCATTAAAGCCACAGTATGTAACATTATGGAATGGTAAATTACCTACACACTTTAATGGAAATAGAAAGAACGCTGTCGATCATTCCTTGTTGAAGTACATAGTTTTGCCCTAATGTCAAAGAATATAGCCAAAGATAAGATAAGATGTACTTTATTGATCTCACACAGGAACAACATTCCTGTCAACAACACAGAGAAGAAGTACGCTTCACATTTGTGATTCGTTGTTGTTGAAACAAGCTTTTATACTTTCAATGTCACCATTCTAATGTTATGGAGTATAATGTTATGGAACATTTACATGAAAACAATATCTGTAGAGACAAGTTCAATCAGATATTGATGGTTTCATAATAGTAGCATAGATGATATTCATATTCTAAAAAAAGAACAGTCCTTTTTCTGCTAAACGTGAAACTATTTAATGTGAAGGGCTTCCTTTGATGATTAAACAGACGCCACACACATTCTATATCCTGTATATTTGAAGCTGTCTTCAAAAATGACCCGCCCAACTGTGAGGAGCAGGAGTCAGGCTCCACTCAAGAGTCCTGGCACAGGAGCAGCAGAGCAGCTCTGAAGGTCAGCCTTGTATAGAGAGGTTAAGTATGAGCGGAGAGGAACACAGGCCACACGCTCCTCACCAGGCTCTGACATCATCACAGTCACAGACCCCTGACCCCTACTTTAGCATGGCGCCTCAGTGCCTCCTTTCATTCCATCTCTGGTGCCAAAAGTTGTGTACACCACTATCAGAGGCTGTGCCAAATCACTTAATGTGTTGCTTGAAGTGAGTGTTGTGTAGTCATTTGATAATCCAAAATATAATCAAAGTACCTGCACACAGGCCTCATAACTGGGTTATATGTGGAGCTCTGCTCTGGTTTGTATGGAGTGTTTCAGTTTAATGGCTGGATCCTGACTCGGCCCTTGTTCTTTGCAGCGAGGCTGCACCGCGAGCCTGACGCCGCTGTGGAGGAGGCCCAGAGGCAGTGGACCGTCCTGGGCCAGGCTGAGGAGCCTAGTGCCTGGGAACCGCAGCAGTCTTATCTGGCCCAGGCAGGAGGTGCAGTGGGCTTCCTGTACAAAAATCAGAGCGCTTTTCCTCTTGTTGTTTGACTTCCTCTTCGATGCGAGACGCTTCCCAGCAGCATGATTGTCCCTTCTTCTTCAAACGTGGCACAGTCCGCTTCCTCAAGAGCTTGATCTATTCTGGAGAGGCCCACCGCCCACTTTGCCTGCTCTTCCCCCACACAGCTCAGCAGCACCAAAACCTGTACTCCTATGGAGGGGCTCCTGCACTCCCCTGTGGGACTCTACACTCTCCTCTACTCAACACTGACGCTCTGATCCATGTCATACTAAACACTGCTGAGCAGTGGCAACAAAGTGCATTCAAAGGACACTTGTTTTTTCTTCACTTTTATTTATTTATTCTTTATTATGGCCACATCTCAGTCCAACCCACACATTCCTGTTATTTCATGAACAATTTGAGCCAGACAAAGTGCAATTGCACCCACTACCCACTTTCTGGAGCTGCTTTGCCTTGTGTCCTTGAGTGGTACTATAATGGGTGCTTGAACTGTAGCCGACATGTGCCCAGATCTGATATCTACAAAAGCTGTGAGTTTATAAAACTATTGTAGCCAGCGGAAGTGTGCTCGCTTGGACAGGAACGAGAAGTGTTCACTGTGGGATGCAGCAGTTCTCTATTTAAAGACTCAGTCCAAAGATACCTACTATGTAGGAAGTCTCACAGACGACAGACTATGTCATTGTAATATGTGTTAAATAATGTTTTCTGTTCTTTGTGTTTAAGGGCGTGTTCACACTTGTTGGTCTAGTTCACTTTTTCCTGGACCAATTCTGGTTCATTTGATCTATCTGTAAATGTAAGTGAAAATCTGCCACGTCCTTAAGTGAACCGGACTTGGTTCAGTCAAAGTGAACCAGACCGAGAAGTGTGAGCGTGGCCTGTGTATGCCAACCAAATACATGTGTAGAAATCCATTGTAAGAAATGAGTGAAATGTGTGTGCATGTTCTACGGGTGACATTCACTGTGATGTATTTCTATAGATGTCCAATGAGTAATATATAAATCTAATATTTAATAATTTTATACAACTAACGTACATATGACAATATTTTCTGGCCTTTGTGTAAAAAAATATTTGTTTAAAATGTGTTATCTTTGTGAGTATTTTGTATTAAACTTTGCTCATATTTGTCTGTTGATTTACCTGACTGAGGTTATTCTGAGAGCGGAACACACAGGGACAGAACAGACTATTTTAGGCTCTAGGACATGACGGAAGAGGAAGGAATTGCCCCTAATTCACAAATAATCTATTCCTTTTTCCTGAGTCTCTGTGTGGCTATGATGAATGTTTTAACACCTTTATGTCTTATAACTGCAGTATTCCTCTTCTCTTCTGGATCTTTGTCTTGAAGCGTTGTGTGAGTGTGATGTGCCCAGAGCAGGTCCCAGATCAGCCATGAGTCAGGGACAGGGGAGGACCTTTTAAATAACTTTGAATACCATAGTATCGTAAGTTGTTCTTCTTTTCAGTTCATTTGTTTAAGCAAATGACAAAATGAACATTCTTAGACTAGAAGTTATCCTTCCTTAACAAAAATGTAGATTTCATATCAATGTGAAAGTTGCTCTGAATTTGTTGTTAGAGACTGCTTTTGTCAGACATCAAAGTTCATAAACAAATGGCAGCATGAGTAAGGTTCAGTTGTGGTTTATTTTCTGAATGTAACTTTGAACAGGTCCACATTGGCTTGCATACGTCCTAGTTCCCACAGTCTCTGATGTGTAATCTATGGATTTAGACTTGTGAGAGAACGGCAGGAACTCATGTCTTGGAAATGTGGGATGATTTGTGCTGAATAGAAGGAAGTCCATGTACAAGACGACAATGGCACCTAAGCGTCCTCCAGAGATGAACAATCAGGTTGTTCGTAGTAGTCTAAAGACTGACTATTGTCAGCATGGGACAGTTTGGGGGGATTTGTAGAGTTTGTATTTTTAAATCACTGGCAGGAAGATGATGACTCATAGAATAGTATTAAAACGTCAGGTGGAGATGATGAAGGAGTGAGAGGTCTGCCTCCTGTAGTGCACAGACACTTGAGTCAACACAGCTGAGACCTGTGCCTGCTGCAGGTGTTCCACGTCCTCCTCTCGCTGGACCCCTGTGACTGCGGGACAGCCGGCCACCTCCACACAAAACCACATCCTGACAATTTTTCAGCACCACCAAGTCCTCCAGGGAAAGAACAAGGTGAGTGTCTGATTGTAACTTGGGTAGAGAGCAAAGTGTGATGTAATATTACTGATTGTTGAGCCTTTCATTGCAAAACCAGATTATACTAGAAAATACAGTATATACACTTGAATATAAGAAGTCTGTTGATAAGTGGAGGGACCTCCATTGTTGTTTGCTTCACCTTAGGTGGTAAAGGTAAAGGCTGTTTTTACCCTGCGGATGTTTGTGTTGCAGACGGTGGGGGTCCTGACTGTAGCAGAGGCCTCTGTTTCTGGAGTGTACCGCTGCTTTGCCTCCAACTCTGCAGGCGCTGACCACTGGGACATCCACTTCTACATCACAGGTCAGTCCCACCTCAGCCACGCAGGCCCATGACACCGGACGAAGCTGGAAAGCTGGATTCATTATAAATGATGCTCATGCTCTAAGAATGAGAATAATGTGAATAAGTTATGTTTTGTAGTCTGCAATTTGTGTAAAAATAAATCTATATAAAATAAGGTTTTTTTTTATATGTGCGATTTGGAGCTACAGTGGGCAAAAACAAATGAAGCAGAGATCTAAAAACCGAACATTGTCTGTTCTTCAGAAAGTATAATGCGAAGCTGTTAGTGCCCTCGTCTCCCTGTGCTGAGCCTTCCTGTGCGGAGTTTGTAGGTTTCCTTCGGGAAAACACTCTTTCCATGGGAAGATGTGTGCAGAGCCTAAAGTTCATGCAGTTACAAATATACTCTGCCTCGTAAACCAACAACCATCATCTAATACATTCCTTTGTCCTTGAGTCCTTCCAGATTGAACCGTACGTAGAAGCATCTCATTTGTCATGAGTGGAACCTGCAAATACCAGCCCCTAATGCTGCTCAAAGCACTGAGTAATATTTTCTGCTTCTGCTTGGGTTTCCGAAGTGACCAAACCACCTGAGTTCACCTTTGAAACTGGCTATAAAAAAGAGATTCAAATGAGGCTAATTCTGCTTTTTTGATGAACCTGAGAACCATAACTTCTACTGTAAATGTAAACCATGTGACAACCATTTCCAATATCTTTATAAATGACAATAGTTGTCGCTTTAAAGTTGCCATACAAATACTTAAACCCGGTGGCTGCATTTGACCCGTCTTCATCTTGTTCCATTTGTCTGTGGTTCAGATATGAAGGGCGGCTTCAGTGTGACGCAGGAGGCGTCCTGGGAGGGCGGAGTCCTTCATCTCACCTGCAGAGCCAACAAACACATGTACAGTGCGTTGTCATGGACACAGATGAGCAGGGCTCGTCCTCTGCCAGGTCAGCTCAGCGTGGGGCCGTTCTCTTCTGCTCTGAAGCTGCAGCGTCATAATGTGAGCGCTGCTGACTCAGGGCTGTACAGGTGCTCTGCACACAACCTGCTGACGGGACGTCCCGCTCACCTGGACATACAAGTCAATGTGTCAAGTAAGTCACTTCAGTTACTCACACTAACCCGGTTAGAGCAGTCAAACTAGAAAGTGTTCTTGCTGTTTCCATAAGATTTGTCGAACAATATACTGCTGTGCTTACTATAGCGAGTAGTGTTTTGTGCATTCTCTGATGCATTCATGCAAATAAACAAAGAACTACAGGGTTCTGTTGCACTTCCTGGGGCCGCACCCAGTTTTTGCTCTGCGCTTGAGTCTTGTACCTCTTTCACGTGGGAATGAGCACTCCTCAGGAGGAAAAGACACAATGGCACTTCCCACAATGCCACATTTACAGCCCTGCATAGACCCGGACGAACAATCGACCAATCAGACACTGTCAGGCCTCAGCCCCACACACAATCATCAATTGTTGTTTAGGAAGAAGATAGAGGAAACAACAATCAGACGCCTGGGCTCAGTGACTTTTCTTCATGTCTTTTACGGCTGTGCATTTCAATCAGGCCTGCACTTCCTCTCATGGGGCCTGACAAGAACTCCTCGAAAGATGGGGAGCACTGACAGAAACAAGAATCTTGGAATTTAGAATAAATTAACCCTGTGCAGAATCTGGTTCACGCCAAATCCATCAACCATGGACATCATCACCAGTCATTTTGGCCAGCTTGGTCTGAGCCAGAGCCATGCAGCTTCCATTCCATGTCACTGGTGAAAGGGGCAAATGTAATTTAGACGTGTGGGGATAATATCTACTAATATCTACTTTGAAACAATACACGTGTCATTGTTGCAGGGTCCAACAGTGTCATCAGCAGAATGTCTAAAACTGTTGAGTGGCTGCAGATGCAAATACAGAGCAGCACAGTTTCCCTTCCTCCTAAACCATCTTCATCTTATTTTGAATCCGGTTATTTCAATTTAGAAAAATATACAAATGAAAAAAATATTTTAAGCAAACTATTTATTTTATTAACTATTTACTTGAGTTTTATATTTTTCTGCTCGAAATGAATACATGCTTGGACTTGGACAAACGTGAGAATGGATGCGTTCTGGGTTCAATGATTATAATTAGTTACATGATGTGGTTGTTTTCTTTTGGAAATTTGCTCTAAAAGGATGTATATCAGTGTAACATGCAAACCACTACTATCAATGTTTGGATGTTAATTTCAAGTATCCCATATAATACCCTCACGTACCCCTAGGGGCCGTGCACCCCTGGTTGGGAAACACTGCAACTAAATGTTACAAAATTTTGAAAAAAAGTTTCAAATGTAATTGTTATAAACTGTTGTTATAGTTTTGGAGGCGCCTGTGTTTCTTCATAATTTGAGTGACAGCACGGTGAACTCCAGCAGCTCTGTGGAGCTCCAGTGCTTGTGTCACGGTGTCCCGCCTCCCACGGTCACATGGTACAAAGGGGAACACGCTCTGCTTCCAGGATCAGGTCAGCGCTTCATACCATATAAACCAGATCATACATGCATGAGACTTTGTTCACTTTCTTCTGTCTGTCATCAGGAATCATGATATCTCCAGAGGACGGTACTCTACACATTGAGCGTGTCCGTGAAGAGGACCAGGGCCTGTACACCTGCAGAGCCACCAACGAGAGGGGATCTACTCAGAGCTCCGCCCATATATGGGTCAACAGTGAGTGGAGCAAGCTTTACATACAACATGTGTTGGTGTAAATAAATGCATTAATGATTACATACAGGACTTACATACATGTATTCAGTATTCAGACTGATTTATGATAATATACATAAACACTGGGGGCCTGTATTAGAGGAGGCAGCAAAACACGCACTCCTGCCATAGTTAATCAGTAAGGATGAGTCGAGAGCACAGAAGGCCCTGGTCCGCCCTGTTGTGCGGATGCAGTTCCTGGTCCAGCCCTGACACCAGGGCTAAGTAGTGTTGTTGTGTTCTGACCCTTCAGGAAGGAACAAGTCTCCCACTTTTATTTCCTGTGGAAATGGCCCGGCCTGAAAGTGGCGTGGCCTTAGCTGGTCTTACAAGCACTTTTAATAAAAACTCAAAAGTGCAAGATAACTCATCCAATATTCTCATTATTACTATTTGTATCATCATTATTATTATTATTAATAATAAAACTATTATCAATATGTTCATAGAACATTCTTTCTTATATCAAAACAATCTTCACTTCTGTTTTATTTGCAGGTGTTTCAGAGTTTTCTTTCCTCGAGGTTCCCACTCTGACTTGCACCTGTGTCGTGGCCACACTTCTCTGGCTCCTGCTCACACTGCTCATTCGAAGATTAAGACAGGTAAAAGTTTCTTTCCATCTATGTCTTATTGTGGTTCATATTCCCTGCCTCAATCATGCAGAAACTGTGTTTAATTTAATTTAGAAAGTAATACTTTTCAAACTGGCTTTGTCTGTAAAGCACACAAAAGCAGACTACCTGTCCATCCTCCTGGACACTGATGAGAGGCCCCTGAGTGAACAGTGCCACCGACTGCAGTATGACGCCACCCAATGGGAGTTCCCAAGAGAGCGTCTCAAATTAGGTACATTTCCTTCATGGCTCATCAGGAGCTGTAGTGGTGGTGTGTCTGCAGATATCTTTGGGAATGCGCAATATGATGTGAATGCAGTGAGGCGTGTGTTTGATATCCTATAAGATACGCACTTTCTCATAGCTCTTATCTGCTGTTATTGGGAGTAGCTGCGTTTATCTGGCTTTGTGATGAACTAATCAGCTGAATGGGGATGAATGAAGCGTGTTTACTTGAGCTAATCAGCACTAAGGGCCTTAAGTCGCTCTAATCTCATGTTTAGGTGGATCAAACTAATTACTTACGGATAATTATTAAACAAAAAAATAAACTAGCTGAATTTAAAACAAAAACATTTATTGTGCCTTTCACAGGGAAACCTTTGGGTCGAGGAGCTTTCGGTAAAGTGGTGCAGGCTTCTGCTTTTGGCATCGACAACGAAACCAGGTGCAGGATTGTGGCTGTCAAAATGCTCAAAGGTACAAAAGCCTTTTCTTTTGTCCAAACTTGGGTACCTAACTTTAATTGTTCATAAATAGTACATTTTCTTTGTCTCTACAAAAAGAGTCTTGCAAAAGTAAATCGTTGTTAATAAATTAGAGCAAAACATGACTTACTAGAAAAGAAAGAGTCAATTACTATTTGAAGCTTTGGGCTGAGTGAGGGTGGTCCTCTCCTTTTTCATTTTTCTGATCAAAAGATGTGACACACTAGAAATAAAACCAAGCTGTTTTGAGCGCGAGAGTTTGATGAATCTTAGTTACAGTTTCACTGTTTTAAGGTTTGAAAGTTGGGCATCAGTCTCTGTGTGACCATGTTCTTTGTGTCCACTAGAGGGAGCCACTGTCAGCGAACACAACGCTCTACAGACTGAACTGAAGATCCTCAATCACATAGGAAATCATTTAAATGTGGTAAATCTGTTAGGGGCCTGTACAACACCAGGAGGTAAATGCAATGTTCTAAGAACAGCTGATGTTGTCATTGATTTGAATTATATTGTTGTGATGTGTTTCTCTAGGACCTTTAATGATCATTGTTGAGTACTGTCGCTATGGAAACCTCTCCAGCTTTCTCAAAACCAAAAGAAGCTTATTTGTGGATTATAAAGTAAGAAACTATCAATTATTTTCAACTTTCAAGAAGTTGAACCCACATGTTCACACTTGCAAACAGCCACACTTCTGGTTCTGGTCCAGACCTTACAAAACTGTACACTTCTGCAAACTGTCTGAGGCTCAAAAAGGTTGTCTTCTGTAAAGCAGGACTTATACTTCCTTTTTTTGGTCACTACTTAGAAAAACGTGTCAAGGTTTTCTCACAACTACAGTATATGCAATTGACAAGATGAGAAACCAGATATTCTTGTCACAAATGTTTGTGCCCATTTCTCCCATTTATTAGAATCAGTCTTATAATGACACATGTGGCTTGGAAACGGCACTTCATGCCTTTGATCAGAGAGATGCAGATGGTAAGAGTTTAATAAATGTGAAGCTCTTTAAACACAACAAAAACATGACAGGTTTTCCTTATTTTTTAAATTTTATGCAGAACTAAAGTTAGTCACAAATTCCCCTTTATTCCTGGAAGATCTCATCTCCTTCAGCTTCCAGGTGGCCCGAGGAATGGAGTTTCTTGCATCTCGCAAGGTACTTCATCTTATGTGAGAATGACCACATGTGAATATTGTGCAATAAGAGGCATTTGTCTCCAGTGCATCCACAGAGACTTGGCTGCTCGGAATGTGCTGCTTTCAGAAAACAATGTGGTGAAGATTTGTGACTTTGGTCTGGCCCGGGACATCTACGGAGACCCTGACTATATCCGCAAAGGTGATGTAAGTATTCAAAAATACTGTACATCCACAGGGAAATGTTTGTCTCAAGCACAGTTTTCAAATCAATTGCTATAAGAATAATAAGTTGGGGCACAATAAAATAAAGGGGGTCACTTTGAATTGTTTAATGTCTAAAACTGAATACAATCTTTTTGCCACGCCCTGGTTGGCTGAAAGGCTCGCTTGCCCCTGAAGTGGATGTCCCCAGAGTCCATCTTTGACAAAGTGTTCACCACACAGAGTGACGTCTGGTCCTTTGGGATCCTGCTGTGGGAGATCTTCTCTCTGGGTAGGCTATAAAACCGTCCTCTTTGAAACCACAAGTAATATTAAAAGTACTGCTGTAACAGGAGCCTCTCCGTACCCCGGCCTTTACATCGATGAAACGTTCTGTCATCGGCTCAAAGAGGGGACCAGGATGAGAGCCCCCCAATACAGCACACCTGAAATGTAGGTTGTAGGGTTTTTTTCTGCAAGATCTGGTCCACATTCCATGGACTGCTTTTGGTACAATGTTGACCTCGAGCTTAAAATTGGATTTGTTAGTTTACACTAAAACAAAGTTCGCCTTCTCTTCCCAAGTAGATCAACAAAGTTCAACCAGTTCATGCTAATTCTGAGACAATACTGTAATATCCTAAAATAAAATGTGATTTCCTAAAGGTTCAAAGATGGTGGACTTTGAAATGAAACAATGTCGTTTTTGTGCAGTTACAGTACAATGCTGGCCTGCTGGGAGCCGCGTCCTTCAGACCGACCCTCCTTCACCGAGTTGGTGCAGACTCTGGGAGACCTCCTCCAAGCACAGGTTCAGCAGGTCTGCTCTCATGATCAACAATTAGGACCATCGCCACAGGAATACACAATTTCAAACAATTGTGAAAAGGCAGCTACAATGGTGTATTTCATTTATCCAGTTAAATTTGTGAAAGACTTGAAACTTTGCAATAGTTTGTAAACACCATATTATGCGAGTACTACTACTGCTACTACTAGTCTGACGTGTTGGTGGTTCTTTGAGTGAGTGTTACTATGTTAAACTTGCACCTTCAGAAATTGGTATAATGTGTATCTGTTCTTCCTTCCCAAAATACAGGATGGGAAACACTACATTCCCCTCGGATCCATCGGCACTGAGGATTCACAAGGCAACAAAAGTCAAAGGGACAACCCACTGGCCGTAACTAACCTTAGGTACACACATTTAGTACCAGTGAAGGGACTTATTTTAATTTTGGTGATAAAATGAAGATGTTTTATTGTTGTGCTTGTAGTTACATGAGGGGAATGAACTCACTGCTGACATTTGAGGAACCATCACTGGAGGTGCAAAGCCGCCCAGATGTAAGAGCAGGCCTCAAACTTCTGCATCTGATGGCTGGTGACACAAAAACTGACACTGTGTTTACAGGAAGAACAAAGTGACAGTGGCATGGTCCTGCCCTCAGAGGAACTGAAAAATGTGACTGAAAAGAACAGCTCCAAATTTAACAGGTGACTTAAAACACGCATACATTCTACAGTGTTCAATACAAATACAGAATATATTTTGTTTCTTAATGAAGGGTGATAAGCTGCACGGAACTCCAGACAAAACACGGAGCTATTAACGACGCCACGAGTCACGGAAACAGATCGACTGATGGCGGCTCTCCAAGACAACTCAACCCTTCGTTTCTCTCTCCTTAATAGATTCAATTATAATTATTGTGGGAAATGCTGGAAAACCGACAAAGCCTCCTTGCTCGTCATTGTAGCTTATCGCAATTTTAGCCATCGATGTGCAAACGTCCTGGATCACTTTTAGTTAATGCCTAATAATTTTTGCCTGATCAATGACTTGCACCGTTTTTCACAACCCTTTCAGGAAAATCAGCGATATACAGTATTGAACGATGACGATATTAAGTTAATCCTATGTTATTAGTCGCATATATAATTGTGGTACAGGTACAGCTGGTCTATTTTGAATGCCGGAATCTTTTATTGCAATTATTTCAATCCCTTTAGATTTAGAGGGATCTGGGCTCTGGTTGTGAAGTATAATGGAAAGAAAAAATGTAATTGCACCAAATATTATACTGTACTGTAAAATGTAATATTTGTAATAGATATTCAGGAAAATTGATATTCCAATAACTACATTTCAACAGAAAATGCCTTCTGATTCTAAAGGGGACCGTTTGATCGTTATGTTAAAAGGAAATATTTAATGTCACCGATGTTCAGGCATGAAGCAACATCAAATGTCAAAAATGTAATAAGCTATGTACCCAGGGAAAAATATCTTAATTTTGGTATTCTTTATTAAAATACTGCTGTACACACAAATATTGCAAAATTTGAGACATTTGAACACAAAAGGGTCTTAAAACATACTAAGATGGTGATTGTAGTCGTGTGATGTGGGAAGGTCATCTAACATCATTGGAGTGTGTCAAAGATATGAACTTTTTGTCTGACAAGAAATGTTTTTGAAGTTTCTAGAGCACCACATTCACTAAAGATACTTGTCTGTTCACTTTACAAAAAAGGTAGGAATTAGAAGTACATCTTAACAGGAAATGTTGCCCCCAAGAACAGAAGATACCTACACATTTCATTTTTCCTGTGCAGACAATGTGATGAATGTCTTCCTAAAAATGTGTATCGGATATAACAATTTATATTAAAAAAATTATACTTTATTCTGCAGAATATGCAATGTGCTTAAGGGCAACATGAAATCTTTCCAATATGATCTCCAAAGCCATCCACAGCAGCTGAAGACATCCCACCCACACCACAGAAGCGCGCCAATTGGACAGGAGTGACCAGCTGACGGCCGAACACATTCAATCATTGGGTCCCTCCAGCTGTGTGATAAGAGATTCAAGCCACGAACTCCATCTCATGATTGCAAAATACTAAACAAACATCTGTTGAGTGCTCTCATTTAACTACTGCTTTTGGCAACACCCCTAAACTAACCCACATGGAATTGGTCCACCAAAAAGTTTGAATGAGGCAACAAAAAAAAAAAAAAAAAGTTAACGAGTCTTACAACTTTGCACATCTGAGCAAAGTCAAATCCCAGGTAGAAAAATAATTCATAAAGCATAATGTCTGTCACTCAGAGGGTGGGAGCAGATTCTGCAATGCCACTGAGGTTTGGATGAAGGCAGAGGAGGATGGGGTGGACACAATGAGAACATTCCACAAAGAGGCAGCTCTAGGCTCGGCGCCACACAAGTCCCACCCCCAAAAATCAAGTGCTAGAATTCATCCCCCCGATGCACTTTGTCACTCAAGTGTCCTGTAATTCCTAAGGGTCGCTACATATGTAACAAAACACCAAAAATTACACATTAAGAGAAGACACTTCATCCGACTCCGGTGCTGCATCATAAAACACAGCAAAAATCTGTCCACAAATGATGCCACAACAGCCAAAGTCAATGTCCTGAACATGCCTCCATCCAAGTGCTCTGTCCTTGTGAAGAGAAACCATCATCTTACGCAAAGATGAGCTTAGTTCTACCACAAATTATGGTGTTGATGTGTCTCATTTCCTAGTGCATCAAAATGAAGGGGTTTCTTCAGTTGGAAGAAGTCAACAGAGCTGCATTTTCATTACATCAGTCAGTTCTGGTAATTGTCCGGGTGTGACTTTTGCCCCCCAATCTGTACATGCTGTAGGCCACACATTCAGAAGAAAAACAAAAATTAAAATCTTAGTGCATCCTCCACAGAAAAATGACCCAGACAGTAGATTTAACCAATAAAAGCAGGAAAAGGTTCAAACCAAGTGGTTTGTGTTTTATTTGTTCCCCAAATCTAAAAAAGGGTCACAGCTTCTGTGTGTCTTTGTTTCATCAGTTTAAGCTGTGGGGTTCATGAAAAAATAAAAAAATACACTTTAGAAAAAGCCTTCCTTATGGACAGGGTCAGTGTATAAGACTGAGGTCCATGAAGCCCTGCCCTACTGCCTTCGCCATGCTGATGTCCCTCCACTCATCTGCTCCTCCTGTAGTGCAAACGTGTGCTCTAGGTCTGTGGTGCCCAAGGACAAGGGGCTACAGAGAACCAGAGGCAGCGGCCTGCAACTCCTGGAACGTGCTCTCAAAGCAGCGCTTCAGATCTGAGTATGTTACCACCAGGACACTCTTTTCATCCCGAGACACCAGGCTGATCTTCTCAGGAACGCCAGCGTCCAGCTGCGAGTGGTGGTAACACAAGTACATTACATGATATTAAAAAAAAGAACAAAGAATGTTAGAACTCAAAGTGTACGCACTTTGTTGAGGCAGGAAACAATGTGACTGAGGTCTATCCAGGGAGTTCCAGCTTCTGTGACTTGATGAAAGAGGTGATCTCGAAAAAGTTTCAACAGGTAACGATCCCCTGTCTCTGACCAAGTGGGATCTTTCTGAAACCTAAAAATAAACATCTGGGTCAGATCACAGCAAAATAGTTGTCTAAGCTGGAAATGAATCACTTACTCTGGCCTTTCATTGATGGTGCCCAGCTTAGCAAGCAGACGGAAGAGGCGGCCATTTTGCACTTCCTGTAAAATAACAATTATAAATAATGTATGGGTTTGGATTTGTTTGTTGTGCAGAAGGTGACGACATGTCAAACAGATATGAGTGACAGAAACACTGTACATGAAGCAGATGTGTACTGGTGTAGTTAAAGTCAATGAAATTGTAATTAGAGCAAAAAAAAACTCTCAAAGTTTGTCTAAACACAACTGTCTCAACATACAGTAAAATTCATCCATCTGAAAACAATAAAAAATAGTGTATGAATAGTTTTCCTATCATGCGCCGCGCTGCTGAGTGTCTATTTGGAAAACTGATGAAAAACTATGATAATGACTTAGCACAAGTTTGACACTGTTGCATAAATAGAGTTGAGTAAGGTTAAAAAAAGCAGGTAAAACAAACATAAGAATTATTGATGGATGACACTAGACGTGCACTGGCACTGGGTGTTTTCATTTATCTGAGCATCAAAACCAAGTCAGTGAGATCAGAGTGACAAAAAGATCATTTCAATGGCACTGGATTATGGGTCTGTACCTTTGCGAGGTCCTCCTCGATGACATCATTTCTCATCTGGGATGCATCCAGCTGTGTGTAAAAGCGAGCTCCGATCATCGGCATGATGTCATTGACACTGCGCATTCGCGACTGCTCAGTCAGCAGGTACCTGCCCGAGCAAAAACATGAACATTCATTTTTGTCTTAAAACAGGGAACATGTATAAATACAGGATACAAATAAAATAACGTGTAATAAAAAGGTTTGTATTGATTAATGTGCATATTTGAAGGATTATCTCACAGAATAAGATTCTTGAGGTCTGAGGAGTAGTTGATGGACACCAGCTCCATGGCTTTCTGCAGGTTCTCCCTTTGAATTCCAGCCAGAGAGTTACAAGCTAATGCCAGCACCACTTTCCCCAGAGAGACAAGGTCCGCTTGCTACAATAAAGATGCAGAAAAACACAATCTAATAAACTACCAGAGGGCGTGAAATGTCTTCAGACTTCAGTGGGTTACTATACCTGGTACTGAGGCATTAGGGCAAGATGATTGGTCTGACTGCTGTCAAATGTTAAGACATCAAATACTCCCACACAGTTCACCCGTAATCTGCACCAAAACAGGATTATATGGTTGTGAATAAAGGGAATAATTCTTTTAAAAGGGACTTTCATATGTTTTACTGGTCAAAATGTACACCTAAATTATAAACTCTTTGTACCTGGTTTTGCCTGTGATTACAATCTTGCTGGGATCCATAACCCGACAAGCCAAACCCGCAGTGTGAATGGTCCGCAGGGCAGAACTGAGTTGGACAATGTATGCCCATATTAAAGACTCAGGCAGTAGACCTGCATGCTGACGCGGAGGGGGAGGCTCATGTTGTCCTGCAGAGTAGATGGGGATTATCATTATCAAAAGATATTGTAAAACAAAACCTGTAGACGAGCGTGTGCACTACTGGTAGCACCTAGCCAAGGATCGGTTTCAGCCACAGTTTCCTTTAGGCTTTTATAAATAGCTACTGCAATCTCCAACTGTCAAAGCTAAATCACAATATTTGCTTCCAGCTAATATTTAATAGCAAAATATTTGTTCAATTATGATATTTAAATAGAGTATTACAGCGCACCCGGAAAGTATTCACAGCGCTTCACTTTTTCCACATTTTGTAATGTTACAGCCTTATTCCAAAATTGATTCAATTAATTTTTTTCCCCTCACAATTCCACACACACACACAATTCACAACACCCCATAATGATGACATGAAAAACGTTTGAGATTCTTGCAAATGTCCGTCCGTCCGTTTTCCTCCGCTTCATCCGTTGCTGGGTAGCGGGGGCAGCAGTGTAAGCAGAGACGCCCAGACTTCCCTATCCACACACACTTCCTCCAGCTCGTCCGGGGGGACCCCAAGGCGTTCCCAGGCCAGCTGAGAGACATAGTCTCTCCAGCGCGTCCTAGGTCTTCACCGGGGCCTCCTCCCAGTGGGACGTGCCCGGAACACCTCCCCAGGTAGGCGTCCAGGAGGCATCCGGAACAGATGCCCGAGCCACCTCAACTGGTTCCTCTCGACGTGGAGTAGCAGCGGCTCTACTCTGAGCTCCTCCCGTGTGACCGAGCTCCTCACCCTATCTCTAAGGGAGCGCCCAGCCACTCTGCGGAGGAAGCTCATTTCGACCGCTTGTATCCGCGATCTCGTTCTTTCGGTCACTACCCAAAGCTCATGACCATAGGTGAGGGAGGGAACGAAGTTTGACCGGTAAATCGAGAGCTTTGCCTTTCGGCTCAGCTCCCTCTTTACCACAACGGTCCGATACAGCAACCGCATCACTGCGCACGCTGCACCGATCCACCTGTCAATCTCACGCTCCATCCTCCCCTCACTCGTGAACAAGACCCCGAGATACTTGAACTCCTCCACTTGAGGAAGGACCTCTCCACCCACCTGTAGAGGGCAAGGCACCTTTTTCCGGTCGAGCACCATGGCCTCAGATTTGGAGGTGCTGATTCTCATCCCAGCCGCTTCACACTCGGCTGCAAACCGTCCCAGTGCATGTTGTAGGTCCTGGTTTTGCAAATGTATTAAAAATAAAAAACTAAGAAACCACATGTACATAAGTATTCACAGCCTTTGCTTAACTCATTGACTTCCATTGACGAATTTGTCTGAGACCCTCTGTTCCACTGGGGATTACAGGAGAATAAAAATAGCTAGAAATAAACTTATTTTTGCTGATGAAAGTAGACAATCCAGTCTTTCAGAATCTGGTTTCATATTTCACATATTCTTGGGGCGACAGTAGCTCAGTTGGTAGAGCATTGGCCTTAAGCCCAGAAGGTTGTGGGTTCAATTCCCACCTCTGCACCTTCTCCACCGACTCCCACTGATGACTGCTGTCGTTGTGTCCTTGGGCAAGACACTTAACCCCACTTTGCCCAAAGCCCCCACTGAAAGATCAAGGCTATGCTCACACTCAGAGAGCAGCCGTCCTCCTGTGGACTCACCACCTGCAGAGGGTCAGTGAGGGGCTGGTGCTATGAGACTTGGGTGGCATCTCTGACTGTCACCCCCCTGACCCAGAAATGGATTAAAGGGTAGAAAATGGATGGATGGATGGATGGATTTCACATATTCTTAAGAAATAATATTCTGTGGGTCTTGAGAATCAGTGAAGTCATCAAAAACGGCTGGCAGTCAATGGCTTAATACTTTGTTGATGCACCTTTGGCAGCAATTACAGCCTCAAGTATTTTTGAATGCCACAAGCTTGGCACACCTGTCTTTGGGCAGTTTTAGCCCATTCCTCTTTGCAGCACCTCTCAAGCTCCATCAAGTTGGATGGGGAGTGTCAGTGCACAGCCATTTTCAGATCTCTCCAGAGATGTTCAATTGGATTCAAGTCTGGGCTCTGGCTGGGCCACTCAAGGACATTCACAGAGTTGTCCTGAAGCCACTTCTTTGTTATCTTGGCTGTGTGCAGGTCGTTGTCCTGCTGAAAGATGAACCGTCGCCCCAGTCTGAGGTCAAGAGCGCTCTGGAGCAGGTTTTCATCCAGGATGTCTCTGTACATTGCTGCATTCATCTTTCCCTCTATCTTGACTAGTCTCCCAGTTCCTGCCACTGAAAAACCTACCCACAGCATGATGCTACCACCACCATGCTTCACTGTAGGGATGGTATTGGCTTGGTGATGAGCAGTGCCTGGTTTCCTCCAAACATGACGCCTGGCATTCACGCCAAAGAGTTCAATCTTTGTCTCATCAGACCAGAGAATTTTTTTTACTCATGGTCTGAGAGTCCTTCAGGTGCCTTTCGGCAAACTCCAAACTAAAGAGCGGCTTCTGTCGGGCCACTCTACCATACAGGCCTGATTTGTGGATTGCTGCAGAGATGATTGTCCTTCTGGAAGGTTCTCCTCTCTCCACAGAGAAACGCTGGAGCTCTGACAAAGTGACCATCGGGTTCTTAGTCACCTCCCTGACTAAGGCCCTTCTCCCCTGATCGCTCAGTTCAGATGGCCGGCCAGCTCTAAGAAGAGTCCTGGTGGTTCCAAACTTCTTCCATTTACGGATGATGGAGGCCACTGTGATCATTGGGACCTTCAAAGCAGCAGACATTTTTCTGTACCCTTCCCCAGACTTGTGCCTTGAGACAATCCTGTTTCTGAGGTCTACAAACAATTCCTTTGACTTCATGCTTGGATTGTGCTCTGACATGCACCGTCAACTGTGGGACCTTATACTGTATATACTAGGGTTTAATATTTTTCCCGAAAATGAGACGTATCATATCCCGGGAAAAGACGACGCCTTTCCCGGGAAATCCCGGGAAATAGCTGTTGTTTGTAGTTGTTGTTTTTAGCCCAAGTAATGTATGATATCACTCAAATATATAATCCAACAAAAGCTGCCATCTCCACTAGTGTTTCACCAAGTGACTTGCTAGCTTTTATAAAGTAGCCATAGCGTTTTCAGACGTTTTGTTGATGGGCTTTCTTCAGGAATTTCACTATTATGAGATTCTAAATGTCTGCACAATCCACTTGTCGAAAAGTGACGTGCGGTGTGGTTTGGAGGCACTGACTTCAGCCCAATCAGATGAACATATATCATATAAATCAACATAACCTACAGAGCTGCTTATTCACAATTAGTTTGGCTACAGCAGAATGTTTTCCATGGCCCGCATTGTTTGCTCAAACAAAACGCAAAAGTTCGTAAAAGGCACATTTCCAATTGTGTTATGGGTCTTACCTTAGTTATTAATGAACAGCACAGACCACTTCAGTTCAGACCAGTTTCATGTTTAAGTCCATATAATAGTTTGAGCGCAGATATGTAATCCCCCATTTGGAAATAAGCCCAAAGAGTTTTAAAGCGTAAAACAAAACGGGTGCCACCTCCATAAACTCCTCCGTGTGTTCGCTGCAGCCGGCTCTCGGGCGCATCCAATTTCTAATATCAACCTTCTTACCCTTCTCCTCTCTTCCTTATCATTCCTATCGTCATTGTAAGCAGAACATTACCCTAAATGCATTTTATATGATTTTAAAATGTTTTATATGTATGTTAGCCAAACCTGTTGCTGCCCTTAGCAGATGGAAAAAAAGAAAGGAGCTTTCTGATAGAATTGGACGTAACCACATTCTGGGCTCACATGTGCCCCGTACCCTGAGCCTGGCCTCATTACAAGTCGTGGTTTAGCGCGATTAAGACCCATATTTGTTGTCAAAAACACAATTTAGGAGCCATCCTCTCAGCTGTAGACATGTTGATTGTAAATGAAATATGTTTGAACTTTGAACAACAATAAACGTGCTTTATAATAGGAGCGCACTGTATTTTTTTTTTTACTTTCATTTCCCGTTTCCCGTCATAACATTTCCCGGGAATCGGGATATAGTTTTCATCAGATTTCCCGGGAATCCCGTATCCCGGGATTAAACCCTAGTATATACAGGTGTGTGCCTTTCCAAATCAAGTCAAATGAACTGAATTTACCACAGGTGGACTCCAATTAAGCAGTAGAGGCATCTCACGGATGATCAGTGGAAACAGGATGCACCTGAGCTCAATTTTGAGCTTCATGGCAAAGGCTGTAATTACTTACAGTGGGGCAAAAAAGTATTTAGTCAGCCACTGATTGTGCAAATTCTCCCACTTAAAATAATGACAGAGGTCTGTAATTTTCATCATAGGTACACTTCAACTGTGAGAGACAGAATGTGAAAAAAAATCCAGGAATTCACATTGTAGGATTTTTAGTCCTCCCCCCACCGCTCGGGTTCAGATCAGGGGGGCCGTTCTTCCCGATCACCCCTCTCCAAGTGTCACTGGCATTTCCCACATGGGCGTTGAAGTCCCCCAGGAGAATAACGGAGTCCCCGGGCGGTGCACTGTCCAGTACCCCTCCCAAGGACTCCAAGAAGGCCGGGTACTCTGCACTACCGTTAGGCCCGTAGGCCGTCACAACAGTGAGAGACTTGTCCCCCACCCGGAGGCGGAGGGACGCGACCCTCTCATTCACCGGGGAGAACTCCAACACGTGGCGGCTGAGATGGGGGGCAATGAGAATAGCCACCCCAGCTCGCCGCCTCTCCCCGTGGGAAACACCAGAAAAGTGGAGCGTCCAACCCCTCTCAAGGAGTTGGGTTCCAGAGCCCAAGCTGTGTGTGGAGGTGAGGCCGACTGTCTCTAGTCGGTATCGCTCAACCTCCCCCACAAGCTCGGGCTCCTTCCCCCCCAGTGAGAGCCAGATGTTGGGGGTGTGGACTGGGTCGTCAAAGTCTCCGCCTTCGACTGCTGCCCAGTCCTCTCTGCACCTCGCCACCACGGACCCCTCTGCAGGTGGTGGGCCCACAGGAGGGACTGCCCACGTCATCCCTTCGGGCTGAGCCCGGCCGGGCCCCGTGGGCTAAGGCTCGGCCACCAGGCGCTCGCTTGCGAGCCCCGACCCCAGGCCTGGCTCCAGGGTGGGGCCCCGGCTGCGCCATGCCGGGCGACGTCACGGTTCTCATTGTCGTGCTGTCCATGGTTGGCTTCGGACTGCGCTTCGTCTGACTCGTCACTTGAGACCTGTCTGCCATGGGAGACCCTACCAGGGGCATGAAGCCCCTGACAGCATAGCTCCCAGGATCATCCGAGTGCTCAAACTCCCCCACCACGTTAAGGTGGCAGTCCAAGGGGGGAGATCAGTTGTTGGACTTCTGTGCCAGTCACGGCCTGTCCATCACGAACACCATGTTCGAGCACAAGGGTGTCCATCAGTGCACGTGGCACCAAGACACCCTAGGCCGGAGGTCGATGATCGACTTTGTAGTCGTATCATCTGACCTTCGACCGCGTGTCTCGGACACTCGGGTGAAGAGAGGGGCGGAGCTGTCAACCGATCATCACCTGGTCGTGAGTTGGATCCGCTGGCAGGGCAGGAGGCCGGTCAGACCTGGCAGGCCCAAGCGTGTAGTGAGGGTTTGCTGGGAACGTCTTGCTGAGCCCCCTGTCAGACGGACTTTCAACTCACACCTCCGGGAGAGCTTCTCCCAGGTCCCGGCAGAGGAGGGGGATATCGAGTCCGAGTGGACCATGTTCTCTTCCTCTATCGCCAATGCGGCGGCTCGTAGCTGTGGTCGCAAGGTCTCTGGTGCTGGTCCCGGCAGCAATCCCCGAACCCGGTGGTGGACACCGGCAGTAAGGGATGCCGTCAGGCTGAAGAAGGAGTCCTATCGAGCAATGATGGTTTGTGGGACTCCTGAGGCAGCTGTCCAGTACCGGCAGGCCAAACGTGCCGCGGCCCGGGCTGTTGCAGAGGCAAAAACCCGGGACTGGGAGGAGTTCGGAGAGTCCATGGAGCATGACTATCGGTCGGCCTCGAAGAGGTTCTGGCAAACCGTCCGGCGCCTCAGGAGGGGGAAGCAGTTCTTTGCCAACACCGTGTATGGTGCGGGTGGAGGGCTGCTGACCTCGACTGGGGATATTGTCGGGCGGTGGAAGGAATACTTCGAGGTTCTCCTCAATCCCCCCGTCACGTCCTCCGTCCAGGAGGCAGAGGCTGAGGATGTTGGGGCGGATACTTCCATCTCCCTGGCCGAGGTCACCAAGGTGGTTGGCAGCCTCCATGGTGGCAAGGCGCCGGGAGTGGATGAGATCCGTCCTGACTATCTAAAGTCTCTGGATGTTGTAGGACTGTCTTGGCTGACACGTCTCTGCAACATCGCGTGGGGATCGGGGGCGGTGCCAATGGAGTGGCAGACCGGGGTGGTGGACCCTCTCTACAAGAAGGGGGACCGGAGGGTGTGTTCCAATTATCGTGGGATCACACTCCTCAGCCTCCCCGGTAAGGTCTACTCCAAGGTACTGGAGAGGAGGCTACGTACGATGGTCGAATCTCGGATTCAGGAGGAGCAGTGTGGTTTTCGTCCCGGTCGCGGAACACTGGACCAGCTCTATACTCTCCATCGGATACTTGAGGGTTCATGGGAGTTCGCCCAACCTGTCCACATGTGCTTTGTGGATTTGGAGAAGGCGTTCGACCGTGTTCCCCGGGGTGTCCTTTGGGGGGTCCTCCGGGAGTACGGGGTCCGGGGTCCTCTGCTGAGGGCTGTTCGGTCCCTGTATGACCGGAGCCAGAGCTGTGTCCGCATTGCCGGCAGTAAGTCAGACCTGTTCCGGTGCATGTTGGCCTCCGCCAAGGCTGCCCTTTGTCACCGGTTCTGTTCACTGTATTTATGGACAGAATCTCTAGGCGCAGCCAGGGGCCGGAGGGGGTCCGGTTCGGGAACCACAGGATTTCATCTCTACTTTTTGCGGATGATGTCGTCCTGCTGGCTCCAACGAACCAGGACCTGCAACATGCACTGGGACGGTTTGCAGCCGAGTGTGAAGCGGCTGGGATGAGAATCAGCACCTCCAAATCCGAGGCCATGGTGCTCGACCGGAAAAAGGTGCCTTGCCCTCTTCAGGTGGGTGGAGAGGTCCTTCCTCAAGTGGAGGAGTTCAAGTATCTCGGGGTCTTGTTCACGAGTGAGGGGAGGATGGAGCGTGAGATTGACAGGCGGATCGGTGCAGCGTGCGCAGTGATGCGGTCTCTGTATCGGACCGTTGTGGTAAAGAGGGAGCTGAGCCGAAAGGCAAAGCTCTCAATTTACCGGTCAATCTTCGTTCCCTCCCTCACCTATGGTCATGAGCTGTGGGTAATGACCGAAAGAACGAGATCGCGGATACAAGCGGTCGAAATGAGCTTCCTCTGCAGAGTGGCTGGGCGCTCCCTTAGAGATAGGGTGAGGAGCTCAGTCATCTGGCTCGGGCATCTGTTCAGGATGCCTCCTGGACGCCTTCCTGGGGAGGTGTTCCGGGCACGTCCCACCGGGAGGAGGCCCCGGGGAAGACCCAGGACACGCTGGAGAGACTATGTCTCTCAGCTGGCCTGGGAACGCCTTGGGGTCCCCCCGGACGAGCTGGAGGAGGTGTGTGTGGATAGGGAAGTCTGGGCGTCTCTGCTTAGACTGCTGCCCCCGCGACCCGGCAACGGATAAAGCGGAAGAAAATGGATGGATGGATGGATGGATTTTTAAAGAATTTATTTGTAAATCATGGTGGAAAATAAGTATTTGGTCACTTCAAACAAGGAAGATCTCTGGCTCTCACAAACCTGTAACTAACTTCTTTCGTTGTGTTTGGAGGAAGAAGAATACTGAGTTGCATCCCAAAAACACCATACCTACTGTGAAGCATGGGGGTGGAAACGTCATGCTTTGGGGCTGTTTTTCTGCTAAGGGGACAGGACGACTGATGCGTGTTAAGGAAAGAATTAATGGGGCCATGTATCGTGAGATTTTGAGCCAAAACCTCCTTCCATCAGTGAGAGCTTTGAAGATGAAACATGGCTGGGTGTTCCAGCATGACAATGATCCCAAACACACCGCCTAGGCAACGAAGCAGTGGCTCCGTAAGAAGCATTTGAAAGTCCTGGAGTGGCCTAGCCAGTCTCCAGACCTCAACCCCATTGAAAATCTGTGGAGGGAGTTGAAAGTCCGTGTTGCTCGCCAACAGCCCCAAAACATCACTGCTCTCGAGAAGATCTGCATACTACTTGCACTTGCAGGTTTGCACACACTACTGTGTGTGCAAACCTGGTATAGACCTATAGTAATCGTTTGACCTCTGTTATTGCCAACAAAGGTTATATTACAAAGTATTGAGTTGAATTTTTGTTATTGACCAAATACTTATTTTCCACCATGATTTACAAATAAATTCTAAAAAAATCCTACAATGTGAATTCCTAAAAAAAAAAAATCACATGCTATCTCTCACAGTTGAAGTGTACCTATGATGAAAATTACAGACCTCTGTCATTATTTTAAGTGGGAGAACTTGCACAATCGTTGGCTGACTAAATATTTTTTTGCGCCACTGTATGTACATGTGGTTTTAGTTTTTTTAGTTTGAATACATTTCATGTCATTATGGGGTGTTGTGTGTAGAATTGTGAGGAAAAAAATTAATTGAATCCATTTTGGAATAAGGCTGTAACATAACAAAATGTGGAAAAAGAAGCGCTGTGAATACTTTCCGGATGCACTGTATATATTCAGTGACAAGAGATCTCATAAAAATCTCTTTAAAAAGGGTTATCATTAATAGGTGATAACAGTTTAATTAGGTCTTACTCACCCCACTTTCTCTTCGTGAAAAACGAGTCTGCAGTTGGGTCATTGAAGTGCCTGCTGTACATTGTCTCTGCGCCCGCGTGGAAGTCATATGAGAACACCAATGCTGCAAGAAAGCATCAAGCATTAGACAGACAAATATGTCTCTATCAAAAATTTCTACTCTCGTCCTGCAGTTGAGAGCAGAACAGAACTAACAAGACAAGTGAATGCTTCGGCCAGATATTTTTACATTAAAAAATATATTTGAAGTCTTACAGTGGTCTCCAAAAGCTTTGGTGGTGAAAACCTCCCTCAGTGTTACAGAGTTTGAATGTTGAATCTTCTTCCACATATCCACAAGCATCATGCACTTTGTGTTAACAAGGCGAAAACCTAAAAACATTTGGAAAACATTACATTTCTGCAGCAGTAAATGCCTAATTTTATTGAACAGTACGTTTACCATGTATTCTCCGTAGACAATAAGGAAGATCGTCCTTGCTGTTGACCGCTTTGTAGCAGGTTGTGATGTAACTGAAGTTGCTGGTCTTCTGCATGCGGTTTGGAGTTGGGAGCGCCTCTAGTGGGAAAAGGCTGTGGTAGCTGTCTACCTCAGATGGCACATCTATAAAAAATATTTTAAAAGATTATGCAGAGAAAAATGGTGTTCTGATCCATCAAAACATCTGCCATGTTAATGAAAAGGCAGCGTGTATTTAACATTCTAATAATAACAAAATAATATTCTAAAACTTTCAAAAGCACAGCTTGACTAAACGTCACTATGAATGGACTTACCTGCATTCTCTGAATGGTCAATCTGCGCCATTGTTATCAAATGTCTATTTATTAACTCCTAAAAGGAAAACACAGCATCATTATAGTGTTTTTTTTTAAAGCTATATTATATTATATTATATATAGTATTGAAGTGGGTGGAATACCTGTCTAAGTTCATCAGCCATGAAGAAGGATGGGGCATTGGCTTTAGGCTGCATGTAGGCCACATGGGGCGCTGTAGGGGGATAGATATGATAGGAAGGAAACACCTGCAGAAAAACCATAAAGTTAGTTACACATTTAATGAAATGAAACCTGTTGTATTAGGTGCATAATACATACCATTCCAGCCATTGGAGCTGGTGTGTTATCTGTATAAAAGTATGTTGTCCCCCCCACAGTCTCTTTTTGTATAATGTGAGAGGCTGGGTCAGTTGCAGGACTGGGCACCATGTAATTGGCTGGGTTTGGTGTGTGACTGCGCCGCCGAGGAGCAGGTGAAGTGTGAGGTGTAATTTTGGGAGAGTGAAGAGGAGACGAACCCGCGGATAAAGACATTCCTAAAATGCAACAATTAACACTTTGTCATAAAATATTTTATGAATATACAAAGTCATTATTTTATATTAACGAAACAATAAAGTCTTGTTGACATTGTTTATGAGAGTGCCCTGAAAAACATTTTATGTAAATATGTACATGTGCCCCTCACTGTGTGAAGGAGAGGTTCCGTAGGTCTTTCCTTCCTGCTGCTGTCAGACTGTACAATAAGAACTGCTGAGCCTGTAAATTTCATTCATCTGTAAATAAATAAATTCTTAAATCATGTGCAATGTGCAATACTGCAACTTCAGAATGTCACTGAACAATGTCACTTTACTTATCTACTTATTATCCTGCACTATACGACAGTACATAACTCTGAACTACTACATGTATATATTTTTTGACTGGTATTGAAGCATTTTCAGCATCTACAGCTAGTTATGATAGTTAAGAAACATAGCTACTACGTATTTTGTATATTGTGTGCTCCCTGTGTGCTCTTACTACTGTCCTGTCTGTGCGCTGCAACAATGAAATTTCCCCACTGTGGGACAAATAAAGGAACTCTTACCTTATCTTATTCTTGCAAATGTATGTTTTCATTGTTGAATATGTGTATAGTGTGTAGTCATGTTACCACAATCCCAAATTGACCTGACAAATACATTGCTATTGAAATGTGTCGGTTTTATGATTTGTAAATAAATAGATAATTCTTTCAAAACAAAGTATTTTTAATACAAAGTGTTCTGACCTGGTGCCAGAGCTGCAGCTGTGGAGCTGCTGAGGGCAGGATGAGGAAACATAGTTGAAGGGAAAGCTGGGACCGGAGACTGGGCCATAGTCATACGCGGCGTTCCTTTAGGGATGAACTCACTTGCTGCCGGGTTAGGAGTCTGAATATATTTAAAAATAAACATTACTTTGGATGTCGTATGCCTTTTGTTGGATATTTCAGGCAAAACATTTAATTCACAACCATTAATATATGTGCATATAAATGTTGAACACTTGCCTTCCTCCTCTGGGAAATGGTAAGAGCACCAAAATCACTGAAGAGTGATGATGTTGGAGAGTTTACAGGATCTGCAGAATTAGTGTAATTAATACATGCATTACATGTTGTTATAAACAGTATCAAATACTAATAATAATTATTTTTCTCACCATGACTGCTGTGGCTGAAGTTCTTGGCACCGTCATTAAGGAGACTTGGAGAACTGCTGCTGGTAGTCATACGCTTCAAAAATGAAAAATAATACCATGTGTTTATAAGGAAAGATAAAGAACTTTTGCATACAAAGAAAAAAACACTGTATTAACCATATGTCATACCTGCATCATGGAATACTTTGACTCTGCTGGACTTCCAAACCCATTTACCCCAATAAAGCTGCTGCTGAAATAGGAATTGGTGAGATTGGCATCACTCAGGTTTGCTCCCTCCATTCCTGGAACTAAGTATGACAGAAAGCAAGATATTATAAGAAAGATCTTCAAAAAGAAAGTTCCAAATAGAAAAGTTCCAAATAGAATAGGAAAGTTCCAAATAGAAAACCACAATGACAAAGAAACCAAGAAGACACAAAGGAGGAGTGTTGAGAGGGATTTAAAAGTTAAAATATTTGTCACAAATGATAGCGAATGGTCAGAAGCAATAGCTCCCAAAGCTAACGACGAGGGTCGCAAGCTGGTGCCCCAAATGCAGCTGTCACAAAACATTTAGCCCACGGACTGCAGACTACCGCGTTTTTTCTTTTTCTTTTTTGTTTAGACCAAGTTTAAACAACCAACACCATCGTGCATACTCATTGTACTATGCAGGGAATATCTGGTGGCTTTCGGGTTATGGGGCCTCGATGAATCCTCGGACTAGATTTAAATATAGCCACGCAAGGCCCACGCTAAAGTTCCCCTGAGTACTGAGCAAAAGGCCCGGGTTGCTCCAGACTTGCGTGACTCACTCTGTAACAGCTGTCCTTCCAGAGACGCCCCAGATAGCCCAAGGGTCTCGGTCTTTTTCGGGCCAGTTCCGCCGTTTGGACCAGTGGCCGCGGGTCCACTGAGCGCATATGCCGCTGGGGTCGCTCCTCCTCCGGCCATGGACATCGGGACAGGACTGCTGCCACCGTGAAGCGACAGGTTAGCCATGGACGGCTCTTCGTGCAGAAACTGGCACTCGTCCCCATAAAAGCAAGTTTTGTCTTTTGCATAGTACCTGCAGAACTTGACCTTTACGGGTATCCCGGGACCTCCGGCTGGGAGTCCACTGTTCATGGCACCGCTGCTGCCGCCGAAACACAGTCAAACATAGAGACGAACGGAGCTAGCGCTAGCAGCTAGCAGCTAGCATGCAAATTGTCCCCTCAAAACACAGCTTCAGTCAATTCAACGCCAACAACTCTGATGTGCGCAATGGATTTCACGTCGTAAGCCTGGAGTGCATTTTTGTTTCTGAATTGTTACATTACAACATGAAATCCCCGCTCATCGTTCTTTTCGGAGTCCATGCAGCTTCCTGCAAAGTGTAACGCTAGCCTGTTGTTGTTTTGCTGCTCGGGTTTAGCATGGCTTTGCATTGTGGGTACTTCAAGCACTTGCTGCTGACAGCAGCCTGTGAAGAAAGTCTTGAAAGGAGTACAAATTGTGGTCAATTCCACAAGACTAATGGCATATGACATTTTTATATTATAACTGGGACGTTGTCTACCCAATATAACAATATTTAAATATCAATTATCACAAAAAGAAATCTTTGTTGTTTCCCCCCATGGTTGTTACGTCATGGAGGTTCCTCTTTTAAAATATAAAACCACCGATCTTGGTCAAATTGTTTCTGTCACACAGCTCTTGTGAAAATGTCACTGTAATTTAGAGAAACGCAGAGATGATTGTTTTCGGTAAGTCATTGGACTTAGTCTGCGCCTTTATATATATATATGTTTGGAGCTAGACTTTTCTGCATTAATCAATCATACAACTAATCAATTAAAGATAAAGGTTAAAAAAGATAAACAAAAAATTTAATGATTAGACTATATTTCTCTCGTAGATTGTTTTGTTATGCATGTCAGTAACAACGGTCCTTCTTGTTAGCTTTAAAATGACTCAAATTACTTGTTTAAAGGTACTCTCATGCTCCTTGCTACTGGAGTGTACTCTTCTATGAGTTCAGCGGAATGTGAACCCAGTCACAAGGTGACACATTGTGTTTGATTTAATGTTCTGTAGTTCCATATATAAAAAAACAAGTTATTGAAAGTTAAGACTATACGAAAATATATTTCCAGGTGAAATGCATTACATCAGCTGATATTCTCAATGCCTCTGGTCATGTCAACATTTATGTTGGTAAAGTTCTCACCATTTCCCTGGCAGTTGGGCAAACCTGTCAGTGGATTAAGAGGGGAATTCTGATCACGTAAGTGTCTCAACATCTTATTTTTTGTCATGTCACAACCTGACCAAAGCAGTAATGTGTTGTTTGTCCTCAGAAACAGTAGCCACATCCTGAACATACAGACCATGTCTGAAGCAGACTCCGGGGAGTACACCATGGTCTGTCGATCCCAAAACGGCACCTCAACCTCCACGACTGTGCATCTTCATGTGATCACAAGTAACTGACAGCTAAAGCTTTTGTTGATTGAAGTTTGGGTTGTAACTAACAATGATTTTGATAATAGATGAATTTAGCTATTATTTTTTGTTGATTAATCAATGAGATTTTTTCAAAGAAACAGATACATCTTTAAACATAGACATTTACACATTTCCTCATTTCCTATCTTATGTTTTATGTTTACGTAATCTGTTTGAGCAGATACATACTTTGAGAGTCTGTATATAAAGCAGTTAATTATTTATTAATAAACAATCAGAATAAAAACATTTGTTTTCTTCCAGAACGACCCATAAAACCACATCTGGTTTTGTGTAACTTTAGCGAATCGGCATCGCCTGGGTTTAAATGCTTCACTGATGGATACCCAAACACTTCTCTAAAATGGTCAAGGTATTTATTGTAATTCATATGACAAATAGTTATGATAATAGTCCACACAATTCATGGGTAAAATTCAATTTTTTTCAAACAGAAATAAAGGTGGTAAAATTATTACTACAATTGATGGACGTGTTGAAAGTCAAATATCCTCCGTTGACTATTACCAAATGCAAGCAATGTGTTGTGCCTCCAACAAAGCTGGACAGGAGTGCACCCAACTCTATGACATCGGTAATTAACAAGTAATAATTTAGTTAACAAAGTTAACCATACATTGATTTTAAAATGTTACAAATCTGTATTTTATAGACTTGACAAACTCCTACAAAGATTTAACAAACAGTGACCATTTGAATGTAACCCTGAGCCCTGGAGAGTCCTTACTGATGCGCTGCAGTGTAACGTATCCAGATGTCTCTGAATGGTGGAAAGACAACAACAAAATTAAGAATGCAGTCTGCTCCTCTGCTCACACATACAAGGTTCTGCAATATTTGGAAAGCTTCTTTAATATATTATTATTGTATTATTACCTAATGTGTTTTTTTTTATATATTTGAGGCTTGCGTTTTGGAGGATTCCCATTATTCTACTGACATGGTGTATGTCTCTGTACCGTCGGTCAATGTTCATGACAGCGGCACGTATACATGCAGAAGTGAAAAACAAACCAAATCAGTTCATGTTTCAGTTCAAGGTGGGTTAATAATAATGACTCAATTTTTAATTCTGATTCTAATTCTTATGTTCTCTCGCAGCTGAAGGGTTTTTATCTGTTAAGCTGGAGACGAGTTTAATCATAAAAAGGGAACAATTTAATACCACATGCTTGCAAGCCAATGTCTTCTATCACCCGTTTCTTCAAGACTGCATATGGGAGACACCCGATAATATGAAAATCAAATGTCTTACTGAACCATGGGTCACTAAACATAGGTTTGTGTTATTAATATAGTATGATAAACTGCATTATTCTACTTACATGCCAATAATAAGCATGCTATTGCAGGAACGTAAGGCTGTGTGAGACTCTGAAAACAGGGGAGTACAAGTTAAATATTGAAGCTGGTGGAATTAATGAAACAAAGTCTATATCTGTATGCATTGCTGGTAAGATATGTTTGAATATAGGTGGAATGCAAAACTTAAAATGAAAACTCTTGATGTATGATTTTGTCCCATGGATCTATTATAATCTGATTTTCTGAAGATACACCTGATATAAAGATGAGGGCTGTAAATAATACCTACAGCGCAACAACTATGAGTCTTGTTCCAGCCAATTACTCATGGATGTCTTGCTCGAATGACAGGTTTGCCAATATCAATGTTCAATGGATAATCTGTAAAATTTTTATTGGTATATTTTCTACATGTTACAGCTGCGAGGAAGATTCTGATTGGGAAGTACTAGCCCAAACGTCAAAGATAGATTTGGAAGTATCCTGTAAGAAGACAATTATGAGTTCTTTGCGTGGTGACCAAGTGTCTGGACTTTTTGTGAGGTTTTGTCTCACTAACTCTGTCGGACACTGGTGTAAAAAGCGCCCTGTACATTTTCAGCAAGCAACCCTGGCTTTTGTTGGTAAGAATTTACAGTAATTGTTGAGAAATCCATTTTTCCGTGTACTATTTTAAAGAGATTTTGTCTTTATTTAAAGGTCACCGTTACGATGCCAACAGTACACTTTTGAAAACTGGCTGTGTGTTTTTACTGCTTGCGTTGCTTGTTGTGACCATTATTCTACGTTATTATGTAAAAAAGAAGGTACAGTTGTGTGAGTGTGTGCGTGTGTGTGAAAAATTACTAACCTTTGTCACATGGTACCCAACAGAAACCAAAGCCTCAACTTCATATGATCCAGATGGTTGCACCAAATGACAATGATTATATCTACATCAACTTTAAGGATTTTGCATATGATTCAAAGTGGGAGTTTCCCAGAGAAAATCTAGAATTAGGTATCCAAAATAAACAGATGCAGATCATGTAAATATACTGAGAATCTAACTATTACTGCTGCAGGTAAAGAGCTAGGTTCTGGTGCTTTTGGCATGGTGCTGCAGGCTACGGCATATGGCATCGACAAACCTGGTGTCTCACAACAGGTGGCTGTAAAAATGCTCAAAGGTCAGTGAATCTGCCAATTCTCTGAAATGCACATTATACAGTAAAAAAATAAAATTAAAGTGGGTTATTGCTGTAGAAAAACACCAGGCCGTAGAGAAGGAAGCTCTCATGTCGGAGCTGAAGATGCTGACACACATCGGTCAACATGCCAACATTGTTAACCTGCTGGGTGCTTGCACAGAGACGGGTACTTCTTCTAATATATTGGCAGATGTTTTTTGAAAACAAAAAAACACAACATAATTATTTTTTTTCTAGGCCCGATTTACCTGATTTTCCAATACTGTTGTTATGGTGACTTACTGAATTATCTTAAGGACAACAGTCAGCACTACCACAAGTCTGTGACTGATGCATTCATTAAAGAGCGCTTTAGCAGCCTGTACAACAACCATCCCTCCAGCAAACCAGCCAGGTGAGAGCTGCAGACCTGCTGAGCACTGATTTATATTCTGTAGGCGCTAAGGTTTATTTTTTGACTAAACACACTGGATTTCACCACTGAAACTGGATCCCAAATGAGAGCCCCACGTGAGACTCGTTCTTCTATCTGAATTATTTATTAGCTCTAAATGTGTACTATAATTTCTTGTGCGCAAAGGGGATTGGCACCTTAACATTGGAGAAGACTTTGGCAGTCTATGGTTTTGGCCCATATTGTTTAACAGAAACATTTTTTTTTTTTTTTTTTGCAAAATTAATGACTAATTATGATTAATTCTATTTGTAATTGTAACTACATCCTTCACTTACTTGGCAATACAGGGAGATGCCGTCTCTGGATAATTACTTGCCAATGCACGCGTCTTCCGCCAGGGGGCAGGAGAACACCGCGCTGCTGACTCTTACCTCTACTGACGAGATAGATTGCTTTGAAGGTAAGAAATAAAATATTTGATTAAAATATGTCCCCTGTCCTAACTTTCCTAAGTGTCCTTAGACACAAAACTTTTTGAAGGTCAAGAAGAGGATGTACAAGCCCTTACATTTGATGATCTGCTGAGCTTTGCCTATCAAGTGGCCAAGGGCATGGAATTCCTCTCCTCTAAAAATGTAAGACATTCATTGCAATTTGTAATAATATTAATAATAATATTATTGTAGTATTAATATAATTATTTAAATAATATTTTACCTCAATGTAATTTGTCAAATATAGTGTTTTAATGTGCAAATACAATCAAATACTTTAAATAACTATATAATTATAGTGCATCCACCGTGACCTGGCTGCTCGAAATGTATTAATCACAAAGGGTCGAATGGCAAAAATTGGAGACTTTGGATTGGCACGGGACATTGATAATGATTCAAACTATGTTGTACGAGGAAACGTAAGTAATTCCACCACTTATGTTTTATTCTACTTTCATTATAATTTGAGCAGAGTTGTTTTTAGGTACGTTTGCCTGTTAAATGGATGGCACCTGAGAGCATTTTCCAGGGAATGTACACAATGAAGAGTGATGTCTGGGCTTATGGCATCTTGCTGTGGGAAATATTCTCTCTTGGTATACTCATACAAAGGTTGCATTTCCCATTAGAAACCTATAGATATGTATGTCATAGTTATTCCTATATTTTTAATAGGTGTTACTCCATATCCTGGCAAGAAGGTGGATCACACTTTCTATGCAATGATTGAGAGAGGCTTTAAAATGGATTGCCCATACTATGCCAATGAGTCTGTGTAAGTGTGTAGGTCCAGTAACGAATAACATGAATACATAAATAACCTTTTTGTAATAGGTACAACATGATGTGCAAATGCTGGGAACTTGACTCATGCGACCGACCATCTTTCTCCAAGCTGGCATCCTTTATGGCGGCTCAGTTAACAGAGATGGAAGAAGAGGTTTGTGCCACAAAAACAGCAATATTATGTTTTTAAAGGGCAAAAATTGAAAACGTGTGTTATTCCTCATGCAGCTTTACCACAATGTGCTTAACTCAAACTCCAATGATTACCAAAACGCACCCTCTCTTTTGATAAAACAAGATGAAAACAAGACAGCCATAGGTAATGACTACAGTGCAGCCTACAAAGCAGACGGGAGCGATGGTAACATTCACATCACAAACATCACACACGATGGAAAAGTACAGATGTGATGCAGTTCTCAATTTCTTATCTGGGCAATCTTGCAATCATATGAGTTACAATGTTATTTGTTATTTTAAGTCGCCATTACAACTAAATGTCTTTACCTTTCCAATGCACAAGATGCCACAGTGCAACTTTATGACAGTGATACAGCTTATATGTGAATGCAAACCCTATGATAATGTGTGAAAATAATCATTTTAATAAAGAGTCAATTTTTGTGTGAAAAAACATTGTCCCAGTTTTATTGTCTATAGAGCATAGATTCATTGGACCTAGGAACTATAGGCCATTGACCTTTGTGCGCAAGCATTTGGCAAGTGAGCACACAAGAATTTGAAACCGAGAAGGCGTTGCCAAAATACAATCCTTTAACATGGACGTAACTGCTTTGAATACTCTGGAATATGAAGATTTTGTGGACATTTTTGGTAACGTGGTGGAGAAATGTCCTTTAATAACTGCTGCGGTCTGGTCAAATCGCCCTTTCGCCAACATGTCTGCTTTAGAAGCTGCTTTCCAGGAGTTTATAGATGCGCTTCCTGACTCAGGTGAGTTGTAAACCCGCAACATTATTTTGGGCATGTCCTTACAGCGCCCTTATGTCCAGGCAAAGAGGGAATCCTACGTTGCCATCCTGATCTCGCAGGAAGGGACCTCCACCGCGGAACATTGACCCCAGAGTCCCATGAGGAGCAGGGAGGAGCTGGACTCGATTCTTTGGATCCATCTGAAGCGTCGCTTATGGCTCAACTCAATCAGAGATATAAAAGGCGCTTTGGCTTTCCATTTATCATCTGCGCCAAAATGAATGACAAGGGTTCAATTCTACAGCAGCTCAAGGAGCGTGTGAACAAAGATCATGCGGAGGAAAGAGCGCACGGGATAGAAGAGGTGAAGAAGATTTGCCACCTGCGCCTGCAAGCCCTCACGGTGCATAAACTGTGAAACCCAAATCCAAGGCTTTCAGAATGTTGACAGCTGCCCTAGAAAACTACACTTTAAAACGAACTTTATTCTGAATGAGAAAAATCTTGAAAATGTTGCATATTAAGAAGTTATATGAGCTTCAATTCACATTACAATTAGCTGCTTTGTATGCATAGGTGCAGCACACATTATTTCCAGAATAATAAAGAAAGACCTGTCCTTTCTTGTGTGTACTGTCCTCCAAGAGTTAACATAACATAGAATGTAAATTGTTATCGAAAAGCATGTCCTTGACTGTCTATGCAGGCTCAGTGGTAACCGTGAGCCCTTGCGGTGAGGCCGGGGATGAGGGCCTTTGAGGTCCATTTGAGGAGAGGATTCCTCCGGCCTGGTCTCCGGACGAAACGGAGGAGTCCTGGTCTGCGCCTCGGGATCGACGGCGGTCCTCCTCCTTTTTCCACTTCATTCGTCGATTTTGAAACCAGATCTTGATGTGACGCTCTGTGAGGCTCAGGGTCAGCGCCAGCTCCACGCGTCTTGGTCTTGAGATGTAGCGGTTAAAGAGGAACTCTTTCTCCAGCTCCAGCAGCTGCGCGCGTGTGTACGCCGTCCGCGTGCGCTTGTTCTCCTCGGTCTCCCCCATCACATATGGCCCTGTAGGAGAGAGGCTCTTCAGATGTTTGCCATGAATAAGAAACACTTTAACCCTTGCGTAAAAATACAATACACAAGCAATATTACGGACCTAATGAACATTTCCTCTCTGTTTTATTATAAGCATATATCTGCGTATTTACTTAGGCCCATTACAGCTGAGGAACCGGACTGTTCCAGCTCTCAAACCACTAGTTTTCAAATGCATATACTTTTTGAGCTTTGAGCTTTTTCACAGACAAGCCCAACAGTTTAAAGTTTACGATTAAAGTTGGCACACAAAAAACACGTTTACTTGAAGGCAGCCTGTTGATTAGGTCACAATATTATGCTTAAACAACAAGACATGTTGTATATTCATGAAGGGAATGAAATACCCCAGCTTTAAAATATTTTACTAGCATCTATATGTGTGTGCATGTGTGTATAATTTATATATATATATATATATATATATATATATATATATATATATATATATATATCTATATATATATATATATATATATATATATATATATATTATATATATATATATATATCTATATATATCTATATATATATATATATATATATATATATATATCTATATATATATATATATATATATATAATATATATATCTATATCTATATCTCATATATATATATATATATATATATATATATAAATTATACACACATGCACACACATATATATGCTAGTAATATTTTACACCCACACAAACATACAATTATTAAACAATCAAGTTGCATACCTGTCCACTGGCCTCTCCAAGTATGTGAGTGAGACTTGGTAGTCTTCATCCAAGGGAAGGGCAGTTGGTACCTACATTGCTCCATGGGTTCTGTAAAGACCGTGGGAGGCTGCGGAGACTGCTGGAGGACCTGCGGGTGGTGGAGGGGGGGTACGGCTTCATCTCGGAGTGGTGCGGAGAAAGAGGATCTTGTGGGCAGACTGGCCTGCTCTAGGCCTCCCATAGATGGAGGTGTGAACACTGAATGTCCATGCCGGTTCATGTACAGGCAGGGTGGTGGGCTGCTGCTGTACTCGGGCCCTTGGGGCCTCTGGTAAGCACAGGAATCTTTAAAAACATGTGTGGGGTAGAAATGATCTTCCCGATGCATGACTGTCAACCTAGTGCTGCAGAGCTGAGCTTCTGCACTTCACCTGCTCTAGAGTCCAGAGAAACTGAGGGCCACGCAGAGTCTTACAGGTGTGTCACCCAGGTAGTACCACGTGACTCCCCGAGAGCTGATCATTGGCTTCAGGGCATACGCCTGAAAATCAATCCCACTCTGTAAACACCACTTTAGCTCCAACAGAAAAGTCAACATGGAGGAATATGCGAGGGCTGATTTGTGTGGAAGAGGGCAGAGATGCGGAGACCCCGGTCACACATAACTATCGACACCAGTCTATTCCTAAATGTGTCTTTTATGTGCCGGAGCTGATAAATCGGTATGGCCGCAAACATTGTTGACCTGTCAGCGATAAGAGGTGGATGAATGGAGAGACAGTCGTCGTGGAAACTAAAATGGGCATTATATTTTAATGTCCCTTATGGCGCTCAGAATTGGGGTGGTAACCTAATTGTACCATTAAAATGCATCATTTAACACCACTTAGCGGGCATGGACACAAGACTTTACAGGACAAGTCAGTGACGATAACAAACACGCTGGTGGCCCACTGCACTCTCCCGTGTTTGCTGGCCATTAGCGTTTGGCGGGTCGCACTCGCCCCATTTAACCATCGCTCTTGCAGTAAACCAATTAGGAAAATCCAAACGCGCGAAAAAGGGAACTTTTTTTATTTATTTTTTATTTAAATCTCTGAAGAGGTTACATGTTTGTTACAGGATGTATCTAAGGTATACACGCTTCCCTGTCGGTCTGCACATGATAGAGTTGGCATTATGAATACCAATCCTGCCCTTAAATAGTGATTACAGCACTTTGGGCCATATCTTAATGGGCACACTCGGCAACGCAATAAAGTTCACGTAAACCAATTCCACATGAATCACCTGCTGCACTATGGCTTAATGGTGTTAAATATTGATCAAAGTTGCAATTTCTTGCAAAGAGGAAGGAAACCGTTAACCTGAAGCTATTTACCACCAAAACTGCGATGAGCGTGATTAACCATTTTAGTTTAATATATAAATTCTAATAATGTCAAAAGTATCTACCATGAAGTTCCCAATCAACAACGGATTTATTTAAATTCAGTTTAAAAAGGAGCACAATGAAACTTTTCAGGTGGAGATCTCAATCGTTACATGGAATGTTTCACCTGGCCAAAAAACACATTCAGAATTGGGATGTGTCAGCCCAGCTACTTTTTAGTTATAAAACATCTGTAATTGAGGGAGTGCAAGAAAAAAAAAAGTTTGAAATCCACCGTAGAAAAGCTGCAGTGTACTCCAAAATTATTTACAAAAGGAAACATACTCATGACATTTTTTTTTACAAGAACTTATCTTGTCTAAGAAACAACATTTAAAAAAGAAACAAGAGGGAAATAACTATATTCTGTTATAACAAAACTTAATGTCATATCAAATTCAAGTAAGAGCAACTTTTTATTTATCTAAAAAGGTAGTCCTTTTTCCTATAATCAGAGCTCTGTGAAGGTTCACTTATGTCTATGTTTCCTATGACCACCATTCTCTTCTACATGTTTTCTTTCTCGTCCGTGCCCGTCACGCCTCTCCTTCTCTTTCTTGCATTTCAAATCTTCCATAGAGCGGTCTTCCCGGTTGGACTCGTCTCTGTGGCCCTGGTGTCTGTCACGGCTCCTGTGAGATGGTGATCTGCTGCGGTCACGTCTTCGCTCGGAGGACTCGCTCCTGAAGCGCCGGCTTGAGGAAGACTCTTCATCTGAACGCCGCTTTAGGCCAGTGGAGCGCAGTGTATTCAGAAGAAAGCGCTTGTTTGTGCTCTTGAGAGGACACTTTAACCTTCAAAAACATATCAAATATATATATTAATTTATCAAATCTAAAAAACTAATCCACTACTAGTTGTTTACAGCACAAAAAAATAATGCGTCACTTGCATTATTCCATGAGATAATTCCCCAGATGAGCTTGGACGGCTGCCCTTGCAACCCCGGCAACGGATTAAGCAGAAGAAAACGGATGGTAGTTTGAAGCCATACTGTGGAAGTTTTTAGCTAAAGAATAATTCAAGGGCTGCATTTAAAAAAAAAATCTATCAAAATGTTATCTTTTGAGTTTAATTGTATTTTAAAACTATTTCTTAGAAACAGCTGAATATTCTCATTTGTCTTAAATTAGTAAGTAATAAACAGTAATAATACAAAAAAGAGAGTAAGGATTATCTAAAATATTCTGAAAACAATTTTCCATATTGAACATTTTTACCATGTAGGCTTCAGTATCCTACCAGCAGGCTGTAGCCTTGTCACAGTCAGTCTCTTATGGATGTTTGACGACCGAAACCACATGGATATTGCAGCTGTGGTTCATCTGCATTGTCCGTGACGCACTGCACATATTCCTCCACTCGGAAATGAAGAACGAGCCAAGTTTGTGGACATACACCCCCCACAAAAACAACATTACAAAAGTTTTATTTATCTGTTTTTTGTTAATTAATTTCTCAGTGGGGCAGCAAATGATATATGCGGGGGTAGTGCATTATACAGGTGCGCCTCAAGGGACAATTCTGTCTCCTTTGCTTTTTTCTATTTATACTAATGCATTTCAAGTTCATGAGGAATCTTTTAAACTTTTTAAATATGCCGATGATATGGCTCTTGTTGCCTTACTACAGAAAGGGAACACTGTTTTGGAGAGTCTCTATTTTAATCATTTGTCCATGTTACAGCAGTGGTGTGTGGACAGCTTTTTAGAAATCAATGTTTTGAAAACAAAAGAGCTCATTGTGCACATTGATAAAGAGACATTGATAGAAGTGAAGATTCATGGTGCCAATGTTGAGATGGTCGATGACTTTAAATACCTTGGCACATACATAGATGGGAGACTTACCTTTTCTACGAACACAGACTTCATTTTTAAGAAATGCTCACAGCGACTGTATCTGCTTCGCAAACTGAATAATTTTGGGTGTGAGTCGTTCTATCCTTGAGACGGTCTACAAGAGCCTGGTGGAGAGCATCCTCACCTTTAACATGCTGATGTGGTTTGGCAACCTCAGCATGAAGAACCAAAACAAACTCCAAAGGATCGTGAACCAGAGCTCGAAGATCATTGGGCAGCCACAAAGATCTCTCCAGTGTTTGTTCGAGGAGCGCTTGGGAAAGAAGGCTGAGCTCATCATTAAAGATGCTTCCCATCCGCTAAACCCAAAGTTTGAACTTCTGCCGTCAGGACGGAGATATCGAGTGATATCAGCTAAGAAAAACATTTTTAAAAACTCCTTTGTGCCCAGAGCAGTGAAAGCGGTAAACACTCTTAAGCTTTGAGCAGTCCTGAGCTTGACTCTTGTCTTTAGGCCGGAGGTGGCCTTGTTGGTTTGTTCTTCCAATTGTTCTGTGAATGTAGTGCCACATGATATTGTGCTGGATGTGTGTCTTTTATATATTTTAAGGTGATAACCAAAGGCAATTTTCCACCTTGGTGGACAATAAAGTTTTCTTAATCTTAATCTTAATCTTAATTATATATATGTATCCAGGTGAAGAATTATTCCTTGTTTTAAGAAGCTTGTAGTGTTATATTAATTTGTGTCACAAGGGGATGCCAGTGAAACTGGCTAACATAGAAACGCACAGATCACGGTGGATTGTTTTAACTGAAAGCTGGTGGGGCGCACTTACTGTCACACAACATCATATTCAGCGATGTATTTGGTAAAAGACAATCTGTATTGTTGTATTCAGTTTTTTCATCTTGTTTTATATTTTAATGTATGGAATTTACCCAGTGGACTGTATGTACCGGTATTGTTTTGTCCTGTTATAAGCACCTCTATAACAGGACAAAACGATTGCTTATAGGTTAACTGATGTATATAGTTTGGTGCAAAGAGGAAGAGAAGCCAAGCGAAATAAAGAACCCCCCGTTTATTTTGGAGCACAGTTTCCTTATATCCTGGCTTCATATATGTGAGGTCATTATAAACATACATTTAACTACAGTATGTGTGGTTCTTAGATCTCACCATCCCGTTGGACCCATGGTCTCTGCCCGCACTCTCGCTCGATCCGTCTCTCTGAGGAGTTCTTCTATTGCACGCCTATATACACACAAAATACAAAACATGATGAGGTCAGTGCAAGTGTTAACTATTTACTCAATGATGAAGTTATGTGTAATTAAAAAGTTCAATGCATCAACAAGAGGAATAATGTACTCGCTCGCCAACACAATTATAGTTAATTTGACTCTATTTAATGTCGATTCGCCTTTTTCGGCGCTAGAGTGAAAAAAAAAAAAAAAAAAAAAAAAAAAAAGAGTTAGAACTAATACAAAAAAAGAGATTGAGCTCGCCGCATTTCTGTGACTTCTGCCACTTAAGAGCTATCATTAGAAACATGAAAACCACAGCGCCCATGTCCAGGAGGACTCACATTAGAACTAGCGTTAGCTACAGCCTACTATAATCTGCTGACCAGAAATACTGTTGTGGCGTTAAGCTAGTTAGCAACACAACATCGTTAACTTAACGTCACTAATAAATAAAGAAACATAGTTCTTACTTTTCCAGATCATTGTCTTCTCCCATAATTGTTGTGGTTCAGAACAAGCTACGGTGACATTTATTTCTACCAAATGTAAGAACAACAGAAGAAAATATAATGCTCAACAGTTTTGTTTATCTTTCCTTTTCTAGTCCAGGGTCCTTTACGAAGGACCCAGACTTATGGCATTGACAAAGCCTGATCAATTCTAATAATAATTAGTCGGCTCTATTATATGAGGGGAAAATCACACAATATATACCATTACATATTACAAACACTTTTATAAGGCAAATAAGTACAATCTATATGATGAGTTTATACCATCATCAGTATCTACATGCAGGCATTTGTCGAACCTGCCCCTCTTGCCAGAGCACAGCTCCTGAGCCCCGCCCCCTCAGCCTGACGGACAGCCAGGGGCGGGACTTGCGTCTGGAGGGGCACGGGGGCGTTTACGTGCGAGTTTGCGGAGCGGTGTGTCGCGGTGAATGGGTGACTGAGGTCCCGCAGCGAATCGTGCCCTTCTGGGGCTGGAGTGCACGGTGTCGTGGAGCAGTCGGCACAGGTAAATGAATAAAACACTACCTATGTGTAGGCCTAGAAGTACGGGAGCGGTGTCACTGCATTTTTGCTTTACACTGATAGGCTACTGCTGTTATCGCTACATCAGGGCGCTGAGATGGTGGGATGGACATACATGGACATTGGGCAATGGTTGAAACAGGGAAATTTGTACAATCAAACAAAGAAACACAATCTGGGAGTTTGGAGCGCTGCTTTTGCACTATTGCCAATTGTAACTGTGTACCTTAACCCACAGAAAACTGAATCCATTCCTCATTACATGTCGGTGTCATAAAACGACAAAACACACTCATAAAATGGGATCTTCTCTCATTATAAAATTATGCAGTTGTGGTGTTTGTATTGTGGTAGACATCCTCAGCTTTTTTGAACAATTGAAACTTCGCAGGCCCATTTGGTCTGAGACTGTTTACTAATACTAAGATACGCTTTGTTTGGGTGGACAACCTGGCGTTTTTATGCATATGGTATTCATGAAATGTATTGATCACAAGTATAAATATTTTTGGAAAGCATTTCACGCACATTTAACAAAAATATGCATTGTCCTGTTTTATATAATTAACCGAAGTAATCAATGTCTAAGGAACAGTGATGCTGGAAGTAAATGCATTGTAACATCAGGCCTGTACAAAGACTCTGCATGTAGTGTTTACTTTTGTGAACGCGTCTGTGGTCGATGTGGTGATGTCACATCTTTGTTATAGAAACAGACGAGCCTTGTGTCCTCATGTTTAATTCATGTCCAGCTGCGGGATAGAGACAGAAGCAGCCAGTCACCCGCGGACAGAGGCTCGTCCCTGAAGGATGCTGGACTCAGTCACTACCGGTCCGGTTGTCAAGGCGACAGAGGAGACTGGTTGTCTCGGAGATGGGTATCCAGGGAAACGGATGCAGCGAAAATATACGAAGGAGGCAAATCACATTGTCTAAAACGGAAAGATTTTGCGGCCGTTCCATCAGAGAAACAGAGAGGACCATAGAAAAGATCAGAGAGGACCATATACAAGACCATACAGGACCAGACAGGACCACAGAGACGACCAGTCAGGACCACAGAGAGGACCAGAGAGGACCAGAGCATCTGTTGTGCGGCTACACTCTGAATGTCAAGGCCCGCTGAGCAGCACAGGCTCCGGGTCGTCATGGAGACAGACCTGATGTGGGTTTAGGCACTGCCCTCTATTGTCAGATAATAGTATCGCCAGGTTCACTGCTGTATGATCGGCTAAAATCATGACTGCTTTGAGGAAATATTTGAAAAAAATAAAAAATGAATAGACTAATTTTAGGGAGACTCATGGTGACATGTTTATGACTTGGCGCTGCATACTCTATTTTCCAAATTTTATTTTCTTCTCTATCAGCCTTTCCAATCCAGACTGTGCTAAATTCACTTCAGCTTCTTTTAGAACCAATCTTCGTCTCTCTTGGATTCTCCATCCTACTTCATCTGATCTTTGTCCTCTCTGTGCCTCAATCCTAGATAATTCCCTCTATGTGGAATTGGAAGATTGCAGCAGGCGAGAGCAAAAGAGAGATTATACTTACAGATTAGTGGACAGGAACAGCGAAACATAATCTCAACACATAGACACTAACATTCGGGTACAAGTGTTCATGTGTAGAAATCTTTAGTTGCACAACATACAGATATTCAAAATAAAAATGTTTTTAATCATTAGTTTAACCTATTGCTACCTTTCCTTCCTGCAGAGACATGTGAAGTTCATTCATGCTGTCCATTCGCCCCCAGATGCTCATGGGATAGAAACGTTTTGTAACCAATCCCAGCACCACCACCCTGGAGTCTTTTGTGCCAAGAGTAAATTGTGTTGAAGCAGCAGAGATGAGCAGCCCAGGCTGTGAATTTGCTCTCCCCAAGTCAGTGGATGCACTTGTGGACTCTGTTTGTTTAGAGTGTGGGCAGCTGCACCGAAGCTGTGAAAACCACTTGTACAACTACCGTCTGGAGGTGGACGATGACCTGGTCTGCCACATCTGCCTGCAGCCACTGGTGCAGCCTCTGGATACACCATGTGGACACACCTTCTGTGCCCGCTGCCTTCGCAGTTTCCTCCACGACCGGGACTTCTGCCCCCTTGACAGGGCTCACCTGCAGCTCCAAGCCTGCCGCAGGTCCAGCATCCTGGTGCACAAGCTGCTAGATAAGCTGTCTGTGTCGTGCCCTTTGACCCCAGTCTGCTCACTCAGCATGCCACGATGTGATTTGGAGGCTCACCTCAAACACAGGTAACTAGAGAAGTATACACTGATAAGGGGTATTTTCTGCCGTAATGTTATAAATCCAGTCAGAATTCATTAGTCAAGTTCACTACTATGCGTCTCCATTTCAGCAACCCTATTTCACCAGATAAAATTCTAATGAAAGTGAAAGTATCCAGAAAAAGGTTCACTCAGGCCCATTTGGACCAGGTGCTATGGGATTATTGGGCTGTAGGTCATGTGACGGGGATTAGTGTTTCCCTACCACAGTCATGGGCTAGCTGACCAAACGCTGCATGTTCTCATTCTGTAACCATGCTGAGCAACTTCAACACCAGAGATCTCTTCAACCATTTCTTCTGTGAGACGGCTAAGGGCAACCCTGGGCTATGGTGAGTCATTGTGATGTGGGGACAAAATCCATCGTTAGAGTAACCTTTCTCTCTGTGAATTTACACTCCAAATGCTTTGTAGACTTTAGTTAGTATTTGCTATGCGTAGTGCTTTGTATGTTAGAGATGGTGGGAGTAGTCCAAGTATTTTAGTAAAACATTCAGTAGATTCAAATGTCTATTTTTGTAATTAGAGTAAGTTAAACATAGTATTGTAATTTGGCAGACATTTTGAATTTACAATTAACATTGCTGTGATGCTTAGCTATTGACTTAAAGAGCAGCCATCACATCGGTAAAAGAAAATGCCATAACAAGCTCAGGATAATAAGCTATACCTTTCAAGCTGCTTAAACCTGGTATGAGGCGGCACATTTTAAAATAAGCCCTGTCTAGATGACAACTTGATATCATTTCGTCAAGGTGTTCAATGACTACGGTTCTGCTTGTAATTTATAAAAACAACATACAGATTATTACAAAGTCCAAAAAGTTATAATTGTTATTTATAAAAACAACCTACAGATTATTACAGCAAGGAAAAATTGTATGGAAGAAATAGCGTGTCAGGATCAAAGGGAAAAGTTCAGATGGCTTGGAGTAGATCCGAACAGGTCACTGAGAACAAGCCCGAAACTCTATTATAAAGATTAACCCACGTGTCTGTTCTTTCAACCTGCTCACTAAGATGGAAAAGCATGAGAGAAGTCTGAGGTTAGTACAGCACATCAAAGTAAATTATTTATAGATATTATTAGAGACAAGGCAACGGTGAGGAGCGTGAGTAGACAGAAAATGCCTTCATTCATAGTCATTACTCATTTCATTATATTTCTATGCATTTTTGATATGTGTGGTCTTTTTGCTCAGAAAAGTCTATGTTATGAAATAGCTTGAGCCATAAATGCTACCGGTGTTCTAAGAGCCAATTAAGTGAGTGGGAAACACACTGATCCATTGAGTCTATGTTTACCTTTGTTCTATTTCTGTGAGGAGAATCTATTAATAGGATAGAACTGAAGCTGCTGCAAACAAAGTATGTACAAGACCTTCAGCTCTATAGACTATTTTTAGGAAATAGAGAAACATTTGTTAGTCATTTTTGTCACTAAAGAAAAATATATTGTTTCCTGAATTGATGAAAAGGTGTCCTGGGACAAGATGTCAGCAGACCAGTGTGGATGGTCCACGTAGTGAAAGTGGGGATGAACAAGGAATGATGCCAAGCCCTCCCAGTTCGCCACAGTCTCCAGAGACAACTATCAGAGAAGGCAGCCCCACCCCACCCACCAGAACCAGTAATGCCTCTGACAACGGCCCAGTGTGGACTGAAGACGCTGGCCTTGACAATCCTGCCTTTGAGGAGAGCACTGAAGAAGACAGTGAGTCAATACGGCCACTGTTGTTTTAAGAACGAGAGATTTGGCTTGTCGGTTTGTTTTAGCCTCCCACTGTTTTCAGGTGTGGTGGGCTTGGAGTGCATTGTCCCCAGGGTGAAGCGGCCCCTCAGTAACCCTTGCATCCACCTCCTCCGTTCAGTCAGCTCCACTTCATCGGGCTGGGACTGTCCAGAATCGCCACCACTGTCAGCTGAAGAAGGTCTTTTGTCTGTCTATTTGATGATTATGAATGTTGGACTGAAGTGGTGAAATATAAATGTTTGGGCATTAGGCTGTGTGAAGCTGCCCTCTCTGCCTGAAGGGGAGATAACGGCTATAGAGGTGCACCGTGCAAACCCATATGTGGAGTTGGGAATAAGCATCGTGGGTGGAAATGAGACGCCCCTCATCAACATTGTGATCCAGGAAGTCTACAGGGATGGAGTCATTGCACGGGACGGTAGACTGCTGGCTGGGGATCAGATTCTGCAGGTACTTAAATAAGTAACTGTTTATTGTCAATGTAAGGGTCATTGTGTTCCCTCAATATACATAGTGGGCATACTTGAACGTGAAAGCCAGATCACGGCAGACCACTGAAGCTAAGGAGGGCAGGGCCTGGGGAGTAGGGGTGGGAACGATTTTATCACAATATGACGATTATCGATATATTGGTCAGAAATATACAATATGCCAATTTATGGGATAAATAAAAAATAAAAAAAACTTTATTTCATGATAAATGGAACGGAGATGCGTAATGTAGCCATATATTAAGTCTTGATACCAATTCAAAAAAAATAATTTGTAAAAAAAATATCGATATTGATACTTGGCAAATGCATATTGATAATCGAATCTCGAGAAACAGTAATAGTTTGGAGTGAAAGAATAATGACATGAGAAGCATCTTTGAGTGTCCAAAAAAGCACTAGATGCATTATCATTATTAAATGAGTGACTTCAAATGAGCCATGTATGTGTGAGGAGTCCAGCTACAGTATGTCCCACGTTTGATTAAAAGTAAAAGTCTTTTAGTTTTAAATATTGCACACTCTCTCCCCCAACCACATACAGTGCGAACTGGGTCATTACATACACCATGTGAAAATACAGACCTCACTGTAAATTATATTTTCATATTGTTTCTATTGGCCTAATTACACCATATTGAGAGGTGTGAGGTTTTAGATTAACTTCACAAAGCACTTTACAATTATTGAATTGTAGAATAGTTGAATAACACACATTTCTACATAGTTAGAAGTTACACACATCATTATTTTTCCACATTGTTTAAAAGCATACAAATATAATTTTCAAAATGACTGACCTAAAATGGATAGGTCTGTCATTTTGTCATGTTGATGACTAATTAAATAATCCTTATGTGTAAATATTAAATGAAATAGATGTTTTTATTTCGTAGTATCTATATTTTATTTATTTATTTTTCTTAGGATTTAAAATAAATAAATCATATTTTACTTATTCTTCAAAAAAATGAAACATAAATGCATTAATAGTGCTTTTATTAAAATGGGGCGAAGCCTTGGAGAAGGGACCAAACGCCTTTATTTTTTACTGGCCCGTATTGAATCGTTAATATATCAAATCAAATATTGAATTGAAAGTGTGTATCTTATTGGCTGTGTATGTGAAGTCCCCGCTTCCGCTGTACATTGACATATTGTTGTAAACATGCATAGATATCTTTGCTTCTTTCAGGTGAACAATGTGGACATCAGTAATGTCCCTCACAGTTTCGCCCGCTCTACTCTCGCTCGGCCATGCACCACTTTGCAGCTGACTGTGCTGCGCGAGCGTCGCTGTGTCTCAAGGACCCATCCCTCCTCCTCCTCCTCCACCCCCGCTGTCCCCCAGGCCCCCTGCTCCACTCCGGAGGGCACCCCTGCAAGCCCCACCACCCTACGGATCACCCTGCACAAGCAGGATTCCTCTGAGCAGCTGGGCATCAAGCTGGTGCGCAGGACCGATGAGTCAGGAGTGTTTGTGTTGGACCTTCTGGATGGAGGGCTGGCTGCAAAAGACGGACGGCTGCGAAGCAATGACAGGGTGTTGGCTGTTAACGACCAGGACCTCCGGCACGGGACCCCCGAGCAGGCCGCACAGATCATTCAGGTTTGAAAGTGTTTGACCTAAATAAATCACTTAACTGAATGCTTGCAATCATCCGACTAAATTCTTCTTTAGGCTAGTGGAGAGCGAGTCCATCTGTTTATAGGACGACCAAGCAAACTGTCTCCACCCCCACCGCCAAAATCTAGCTCTACCAGAGACCTCTACTGCCTTGAGCACTTCATGCCAAGTCACAGTGCGACCCCAAGTCCTGTCCCCTCATATCTGTCCCACAGCAGCACCCTGAGAGTAAGGACACGGCACTTCTAGTGAATGTACTTATCTTATTTTATTACACTTATCTGTAATGTGTCTGTACTGCCAGCAGGAAATGTCCAAGTGTCTTTCGTGTAAAGAGAAACACATCACCGTAAAAAAGGAGCCCCTGGAATCCCTGGGCATGACCGTTGCAGGAGGCCGGGGGAGTAAAAGTGGGGAGCTGCCAATCTTTGTCACCAGTGTCCAGCCTCATGGCTGCCTGTCCCGAGATGGACGTATCAAACGAGGTGTGTTTTCATTGATAGAAACCTATGCTTTTGCTACGATGGTATGTAAATACACAATGTTGATACTTTAGGTGATGTCCTGCTAAGCATCAATGGCCAGGACCTGACCTGCCTCAGCCACAGTGAGGCGGTGGGCACTCTGAAGGCGTCGGCTGCGTCTGCATCAGTGCAGATGCGAGTGCTGGAGGTCAGTGTGGTGGAAGAGCACGACCAGCTCCTGTCCCACTCACACGACACTGACTTCGACGCCAACTGGTCCCCTTCTTGGGTTATGTGGCTTGGCCTTCCCAGGTAGGTTTTCTCCCCATTTGCTTCTTTTTTCAACTTCCTAATTAAAGTTTCAGGGAAAGGACCCCTGAAATGTGTGTTCATTGTTTTCAATATACCCTGTGCTTGAGTAGTTTTAGCACAATTTTATAATAATATAATTTTGAGGGGTACCTGTATAAGACCCTTGCATCGTCTTTTCATATTGACCTTAGCATCAAATTTTATAATTAACAAGATCCTGCATATAATCTGATTAAAATTAGTATTGTATCTCCACTACTGCCTTGATAATAATATACCCTATGAGGTTTTTATTTGTTCCTCTCTGCTTCAGTTACCTCCACAGCAGTCATGAGATTGTGCTGCGCAGGTCTCACCCCGGGAGCTGGGGCTTCAGTATTGTTGGTGGATACGAGGAAAGCCATGGAAACCAGGCCTTCTTTATCAAAACCATTGTCCTCGGGACACCGGCGTACTACGACGGACGCCTCAAGTCAGTAAATTATTACAATTATTACATTCATTTTTACTGTATCTGTTAAAAGTGAATATGTTGTAATTACGAGGATTATATTTGGGTTAGGTGAGATTAAATGTTAGAATGAGATTACATACTATAGTAGTATATGGTAATAGGCCATTTTGAAAAACCAATATATTGATGGAGGCAATTCATCTCAAAAATGAACCTTGAATATAAATTTCCCTGATGCATTTTTCCTTGACTAGTGTTGTAGGGAGTTGTAGTCCTTTTGATCCCAGCCTTCTGTTTTGTGGCTTTATTACAGGTGTGGAGACATGATTGTGGCAGTAAATGGCCTGTCGACTGCGGGAATGAGTCACTCTGCCTTGGTGCCCATGCTGAAGGAGCAGAGGAGCCGGGTGGCCCTCACAGTGGTGTCCTGGCCAGGCAGCCTGATATAGCTGAGACCGGGTCTCTGATTCCTCTGAACACAGAATGACCTGGAGGTGCTGGGCCAAATTCAGGACCAAAAGCATTGAGACTGTTGTAAAGCCACAGGACCGGTCATCTTAGGACCTAATCCAGATTGTGCCACATCAGACTGCAGTCACATTTAGCTGTTAGCGGTTTGCAGTTTCATTTCACTGGGCAGTGCAGACCCAGGGGCTCAAGTGGATGCACAGCTGCCGTAGAGTTCATTTACATCTACTATAAAATGTGCAACCACAAACAAGTGCTGTATTCAGCCATGTTAGCCTCACCCTGGAGCTCACTGCCTACAGCCTCATCATGAACCAGCTCCTCACTCAGATGCACTTTTATACATGTGTGAATGTGTTGCTAATAAAATAATCCTTAAAGGATCCCTGATCTTTGTCATTTTTCACCCCTCAAATAGCAAAAGTACAATTTTCAATGGACTAACCAGACAGAGCACGAAGACTGACTTTATTAGATACTTACAAACAAATGTAAAGTAAGGACAAAAGTGTTTCAATGGGCTTTAAGGTTGCAATTGTCTGCAAGTTCAAACTTTGCAGCAGCTTGTGTTACCTTCTCTTGAATTATCAGATTTCTGCATTTAGACAATTAATCACTGTGAATATATCAAGCCTTTGTTCACCTTGATGGAGATAAAAATACATATAATTTCTAAGCAGTATCACGGACTACACCATGTTGCCACAAACTCCTGACTGTATTTAAACATCAATTGTCTTATAAACATAAGAAGAAACTTGCCTTCATTGAAAAGCTCTTTCCACATCCAGCGACAGCATAAGTAAAGGCTTTCAGGTCCAGAGCATGACCATCCAGATGAAAGCGGTGACCACTTTTGATCACATCCTTCTTTCGGGCAAGATTGTACAAGAACAAAGCATTACAGTACATGGCACATGACTGAGAAGGGGTTGCAGCACTCAAGCTGTTTTTTATATTGTACTCTCTATTAGTTACATTTATGTGATTCTTAGTGCAATGGCATTGGTTCATTTGCTCCATCCCTACATAGAGAAAACAAAACACGTTTAATTAAAGGACACATGCACTTTCTCATGATGCATCAGTTCACAGTGAATGTCACATTCCTGCAGTTAGTTTTGCTACTTCAGGAATAGACGGGGAAAGGCAGACACATTGTTGCACATTCTTACTGAAACGGTAGAGCTGAACATATTCCTCTTAGTTTTTCACGGTAATGAAAATTACTGAGGAACCAAGTGTCAGTATACTTATTAGCATTTATAATGGCAACAATAACCAGTGCATGTACATAACCTCTAGTAGCAATTGTCATGAGTAACTTTTCATTATTTCACAATGTGGTTTGGATCTGTCTGAACGCCACAAACCTATCCTTGAAGTTGTGGAACCTAAATTTCCTGTTTCATAAATGATACATGTCAGAGTTAGATACAAACATGATCTTGAAAAAGATTGTCAACAAATCAGACCATAACATGCTCTACTTTATCTGACTTAAAAACACTGTCTCTTCTGCACTTATGAGAAGGAGCCCTGAGAGTCACTGTTTGATGCTTTGGGCTGAGAGCTGATTGGAGTGAGGGTTCTTCTCTAAACTGAAGGTAAACAGGAACTATAGAAGCAGGGTACTTTTGGACCATGGATCTGTATAATTATGCTAATGATTATGTATGCGAGTGTTTTATCATTTGAACCACGTGACTATGTTCTGGAGGTGCACCACGGATACTCAAACACTGTAAAAGTATGACTCTTTTCTTTAGATTGATTTATACAGGCTTTAAAAGTGTCATGAGGCACCATGTCTTATTGTAGAGCACAAGGGGCGACACACTGTCTCCATCCACTGCAGGCAAACACAACGTTTACAACTCTAATCTGCTCTTATCAACATTACGGGTTTTCTGATACATGTGATGAATTGTTGTCAAAAATAAATTGTGACAACAACTAATGTTGTTGCTACATTTGCATTCTTAAAAATATTTTTAATATTAAGTTGGTGATTAGATTCTATAGTTCTATATGATGTTAGATATTTTATTTTATGTTCCACTCTGAAGTTTGCACTGGGTTATGTTCTGTTTTTATCTTGATATGATCCATCATACAAAGTAAAGTAATAATAGTTAAACTGTTGATTTAATGATTCATATTATATGATTAATATAAATTTAGAGTAATCCTCCAATGCCAACCTGTTGGAAGTTAAGACAGAGAGAGTGACAGATATGGACAATCAAATGTACTATCTCAACAGCCGAGCTCACCCTTTGCACAAATGCTGTGCTCCAGTGTGAACTCTGACTGTGGTGAATGAGGCCTATTCAGGTTGTATTGGGCGCTGACTCTCTGCCCTCCCACGCTCCAGGTATGACCAGGCTCCAGGGGTTATCAGCCCCCTCTCCCCATCCTGCCCCTCCCTGGTGGCCTGTCAGGGGCTGCGGAGTAGTCAATACAGCTGCTTCAATATTCACATACAGAGCCAAGCCTCCCCTGTCACTGATAACTGTGCTCTTATCATGCAGGTATCAGGCCAGGTCCTGGGCGCACTCTGTTTGGACTGCCCTGCTGGGATTTCCTGGAGCCTTTGTCAAAGCTTCAAACTTTAGGCACACTGAGGGAAAAAAACTGTCTGACCAATACCTTTTCTACCTGAGATTATCCATTATTCTAGGACCACTAATATAATCTATTGAGGACTGAAACGTTATTTGACAATCAAAATGTAATTCCCTGATCTTTCCCTGAGACCATTAAACGTGTCATTTTAGATAACTAGATCTCAGAATAATGCAATTTTGAATATGGACATATTGACCCCTTACAAGTGGCCTGTCCTTGCATCATTCGCTGCTGTCTGCCCATGTCCAGTTATCTCTCTGTGTGCAGTGTTAATATGTAACAGTTCTGGTCGATACAGCTGCTGCTAAGCTTACCCACTCAATCTGTGAGTGTCACACACTGTGATTAAGGAGTTCATAGTGTTCTGCCTTTTATCCGCACGGCTTGTTTCTCGTTCCTTCTCCATCTCCTCTACTTGCTTACTCTTCTTGTCTGTTTACTTTCTGTTCCTTCAATCAGTAACTTCGACGAGACACACCACATAGTTACACACATGCATGTAAATCATATTGTAAGGATTTGTGGATTTTCATTATAATAATGTAACATGCCAAAATCAACTCTACTTAAAGAGGTGGCCATGGACACAGTTTTATTTGCTAAAAAAAACTTTTGAGATTAAGGCACATTAGTGGATTTAACCTCTTGTTTAGTCTTCTTCTTTAACTTTTCCATCTATAAAATAAAAATAAGCCCTGCTAACCATCTAAATATGAAATCCAGATAATATAAGTAAATTAATTTCAATTAACACCATGCAAATGTATAAACAGAGCACATTTGGGGACCTATAAAGAAAAATAGGCCACATGTGAACGAGAGCATGCATAATACTGTTCTCTGTGTTAAATGGACACGTTTGTAGTCTCAGTAAACTGGACTAATAAGTGTCAATAGTGGGTTGACTGAGCTGGGATAAGATAACCCATTAGTCACATCAGCAGTCAGGCATCTAAACCCAACTGATTAAGCACTCAAGAGCCCACTCAACTACACCTGTGCACGAGGCAGAGTTGGGCATTATATATACATACATATATATATATATATATACACACACATATATATATATATATATACACACATATATATATATATATATATATATATATATACACATATATATATATATATATATATATACATACACATATATATATATATATATATATATACATACACATATATATATATATATACATACACATATATATATATATATATACATACAAAACAATATACAAGCCACATGATTGCATATGTATAATCCATGCAAAATATATTGCTAGTGTGGACTTAAATGCCCTAATACTTATATAGTTACAATAAGCAAATTAGGTTTCGGCTATTTTTATTCTAAGCAAATACATTTTTGTATTCAAGTTTCTGGCGGTTGCCTGGGCTTATAACATCTGCACAAACGTGACATTTGCTTGAGCACAACGTCTCCTCGTGGCAGAGAAAGGAACAGCAGGCGATGGGAATTCCAGCAGGGGTAAATCATTCTCTCCCAGAACATCAGATCGTTCAGTTTTGGGAAAGCACAATAAAAGCATATTTTTCTCGAATTCAGGTTAATATAAAAAGAATATAAATCCAAAATGTCAGTCAAGCTTTCGAAAAGTTTTCTGAAATAACTTTATAAATGTTAAAAGGATTGCGAAATGAGGTCCAGAATCTCCTTTTCTATACAGCCAACAGGTGATCCACAAATACCATCTTAATTTTGTTCAGTCTCGTGGGGACAAGACAAATGTTAAAAACACAGGTATCTGAATGTCCTGACCCAGCAGTGATAAAAAAATACAAATAAATAAATACACTTTAGGGTCTAAAAAGAGTCATGTCACAGTGGCCGGTCATTTTGACGCAAGGGGAGCACAAGGTTTATGGAACTTGTAAATAATAAAGAGATTACATCTGTACAAAGACTTTTATTTGAGCACATTTATGCCATGAACTCGTATGGGATGGGCTCCAACAGCTGGGGCTCGTTCTTCTTGGTGCTGACAAAGTGAGCATCACGAGGAGGCGCAGGCTAAAAAACAGGATACAAAAATTACTACCAAATTCACACTATACACTGATTTTATTAGGGCTACACATACCTGGCGCTTGAGCTCCACCCAGGTGCCCTTCTGTTTGGCTTCCAGTTTCTTCGCCTCATTCTCTTTGACACGCTGAATGAAACTGTCTCTGCTCTTTGAGTGCTTGACGTGCTCAATGCGAACATTAATCCTCTTGGCCAGGATTTTACCCCTATAAAACAAAACAAAAAACATTAATGAAATCTAATTGACATGACAAGTTGGCAACAGCTGTTTCCTCAACAAAAAAACACAGGCCTAACACCCAAGTTAGACCACAGGTTTTTTTAAGGCATTACTTTTCCCCAGAGGAATGACCAACAAGGACAGATATACGTCCTGGAGGCAAAGTGAATCTGGGATAACTCACATTACATCACAATACATTACCGGGTAAACTGAATAGTGACAAGGACAAGACTGTACATGTATGCGCATAAGCACACCATTTGGAATGCAGGTTATATGTTTTTGGACAATTAATGTGACAATGTGAAGGCAGGGTGTAAATTATCAAGTCTGCAGAGTAAAACTACTTTATAAATGATTGTATCTTCTCTATAAAAACAAACATGAATATTGTGAAGTAAAAATGGAAAAACTAATGCAGTTAAGAAATGGATTAGCATTTTACCAAATTGAGATTTAAGCAAAGTGGGAATCTGGATCAATTGTTCAAACCTATCCCTCTGTTGTTCAATCTTAAAAGCTTATAGGGACTTTTTTTGAGACTGATTTAGGGACCTTGTTGTGTTCTAAAGAAAGTCACAATTGGGACAATGTCAGAATGAAGAAATACTGTAAAATAGACAAGCAGTACTCCTCATTTTGGTGTAGTATAGCTAGGTTATAACGTTGTTGAAACTTACTTTACTTGCTTGTTGACAATGATACCAACAGCATGCTGGGTTACATTGTAAACACGTCCTGTCTTGCCATGGTAGCACTTATGAGGCATACCCTTCTGAATGGTTCCTGTGCCCTGTTCAAAATTGTACATACAATTTTAATCCATCCTCAAAATGACAAATCAGTACATCTGAACAATGATTACCTTAATGTCAACTATGTCACCCTTCCTGTAGATGCGCATGTACGTGGACAGGGGAATGGGGCCTAGAAAGGACACAAGCATTAGGCTGGAAAGACGATCAAAATATGTCAGGTGTCATTTTGACCATTACAAGTACTCACCATGCTTTCGGAACTGTCTGCTGAACATGTACCGGGTCCCCCTCCTCTTGCCCCTGGTGTTAGTCATTGTGCCTGATTACTGAAACAATACAAACATGTAAGTAATGATTAAAACTGTCAGAAGTCATTTAACCTGTGCAGACACTCTCAGATCGCCGGTGAAATAAAAATGCAGTTTGTTTCATTTTCATATCAATGGAGGAGAATCATCATGGAGTAACTCTGCACAAATGTTCACAGTACTTTTCGAGTGGGTTGCGTTAAGAAAGTCTGCAGGCTATAAAGCCAGCCCCCAATAATAAAAACTATGTATATACTCAAATAATGAAAAATTTAAATCACATGTTACTTTTGGAATAATTGTTTCTCACAAGCGTTAAATAATACTATACAATACAATATCAAATTCTATGCTATAGCGCAATAGCTCGCTGCGAGGCCCACATGGACCACGCTGTCGACTCTGCGTTTTTCACACGGCTATATAAGGTCCCCATCTACGAATCTTTTATTACAAAAGTTAGAGAATAGATGCATAATGATGTTATCCATCCACATATGCAAAGATACCTAATAAAAGGGCCAGAAAAACATGATATTTGTCCTATTATTAGGAGAGGATCTTACCCCCGGTATCGACAAGATGGCGGGTAAAGCGGAAAGAGAGAGCGGAGGACCCAAGACTCCGCCTTGAAAAACAAACTGGGACTGCGCCTGAACAAATGCAGTCACAAAATGTAATATAGTGAAAAATTAGCTGTCACAATGAAAGAGTGTACACACGTTACGCCATTGTTTGTGAGTCAAAATATATAGATATATATATTCATTGGCATAAAAATAACAAACAGATCATTTTAGAAATATAAACCGTAAGAAAACTATAAGAAAATGTACCAGTAAAGTATATGGGTTTTACTTTAGCTGTGTCATTATTTTAGCCTAGGTGTAGCTCCATAGTATATAAAAGATAATTAACCACATTAATGAAGATTGTTGATCAAAGATTGAAGCGCTCATAAACAGGCGAAAGCGAACACGGAAGTGAGTGGTAAATATGCTCTTGCCTCTAGAGGCCAGGCCCAGATATAAACAGCACAGACAGCTGCCCTCTCGGAACAGCCCACAGTCTCGGCGCATCGCGGTGTATTGGAAGATGGCGTTAGCCGAATGGAAATCCTAATGACAGTCTCAAAATTAGCCTCTTTTTGTACCATGGTGAGTCCTTTTTCTTTTGACTCTGGCATCTTTTAGTTCATATACTCCAGAATCATGTAAAATTCGTGGCCTATCATTGCTATTATTTTATATAGCAAAGGATTAGTCCCAATGAAGCTGTCTATGCTAGCAAAGCAGTTTTCCGATTCAAGAGCAGAGCGAGCCGTAACCTCAGCTCCGCCAATCAGTTCAAAAGCATCTGTCTGTTTTTATAGTGTTCATTATTGCTTTATTACTATTATGTCTGCTCAGCGATGTGATATTAAAAAGAATTTGTACCAAGTGACAGTGCACCTGCTGCTAGCTGGCTAACATTGCATCTGGAGCTACTGAGTGTTAGTTAGCCAACAAACAACTGTACACATCTGGTCAATTAAGGCGTTGATGCCCTCCAAAAAATAAACATGCAGGGAAGTTATGAAACACAGTATACTCCAGAACACATTTTGCACTTTTGAATTTAGTTTATTTAAGGTTTTATTATTGCAGGCAATGACGACATGGTTTATCATTAGCTACGCAGTTGTAGACCCGCTCCTAAATGAATTCATTCAGTTTGCAGCTCAGATCCACTGCTTTATCTGTCTATGACTTGTTTGACGAGTTGTGATACACTTTATAATAGTCATCATTTAAAGTTATAAGCTTGCACATTTTTAAATGTGTTGAATTCATTTCCCTTGCTGAATTCTTATTAACTATACATGTGAATGTGTGTTTTGAGTATGATTTTCTGTTGATTGGAATTTTACTGTGTACAGGGCGCCAATGCCTCTGCTCTTGAGAAAGAGATTGGATCTGAGCAGTTTCCGGTCAATGAGCACTACTTTGGGTTGGTCAATGTAAGTGATTCTGGATTTGATTGTTTTTGCACACATTACTGCTTTAAATGACCAATTATCTACTTTATTTTAGTTTGGAAATACCTGCTACTGCAACTCGGTACTGCAGGCCCTTTACTTCTGCCGGCCTTTTCGGGAGAAGATATTGGCGTACCGCAGCCAGCCTCGACGGAAAGAGAATCTGCTCACATGCCTGGCTGACTTGTTCCACAGTATTGCAAACCAAAAGAGGAAAGTGGGTGTTATACCACCCAAGAAGTTTATTACACGTTTACGCAAGGAAAATGGTGAATATTCTGGGTATTTCATTGCATTGAGTAAAAGAATACTAATATATTCCTTACACAAATTCTATTTTTCAGAACTCTTTGATAACTACATGCAGCAAGATGCCCACGAGTTCCTAAACTACCTACTAAACACCATTGCTGATCTGCTGCAAGAAGAAAGAAAGCAAGAGAAGACCAATGGCCGCCTTGCCAATGGGACATTGGATTCTCAGAATAATAACAGCAATGCTTCACCTGCTCCTACCTGGGTTCATGAGATCTTCCAAGGCACTCTAACTAATGAGACGCGTTGCCTCACCTGTGAAACGGTGTTTTTAGACCCCAAATGTTAGACTCCTCCAAAGCACAAACACTGGAATAAGAATGTTTTCGTTTCAGATAAGCAGCAAAGATGAGGACTTTCTTGACCTTTCGGTTGATGTTGAACAGAACACCTCCATCACACACTGCCTCAGGTTAGGAGAATATTCAACATAATGTACGTGTAATAAGTTTGTCATACAAACAGTTTGTAATCTGTTTTATTTCAGAGGCTTTAGCAACACAGAGACACTGTGCAGTGAGTACAAATACTACTGTGAAGAATGTAGAAGCAAGCAAGAGGCGCACAAGAGGTCAGTGTCTTTCTGTGGTATAACTAATTTATCAGATGTCAGATGGAGTCATCCTCAGTGCAGTTACATGGTGTGCCAATGAACAAGTATTTAGTTAAGACTTGTTGAGTTCTTCACAAGTCTGACCCTTCACAAATGGGAATTAAGGCCTCCAACAGACTGCGCACCACTCCACTGCCTGTAGAGTGCAGAGTAAAGAGCCAAAAGAAGTGACGTTTCTTGATAAGGCTCTTTGTTTGCTTCAGTAGAAAACAGAAATCCAACTGAATCGCATCACAAATCTTCCTTTCTGGTTGGCGGCACACAGCTCTGCTCTTATGCTGACCATCACATACACATTAAAGGAATTTGCAGCACCATTTTCCATTCACCGCGTTCTGTTTGCAGAGGCCTTTACGTAATGCAGTAGTTTAGTTTGTACAGAAAGAGGTCCTAGCTTAAATCAAAGTTTTACTTCAGCTGTTTTGGTGGTACTCCATGGTGCTCTTCCAAACTTTTGTGCTGATTACTGCGATCCTCCTCAAGACAATATAGATTCTAAATTTTCATGTATTTCATATACAGACTTCAACAGAATGGAATCATCAACTCTTATTCATATTGCTTGTTATATTACCATTGTTAAAGTTCATGAATGAGTCTGTTATCAGCCTTGGTTAATGCTGAACTTTGATCACAGAATGAGGGTAAAGAAGCTGCCCATGATCCTGGCTCTGCATCTGAAGCGTTTTAAGTACATGGAGCAACTACAACGATACACAAAACTGTCTTATCGAGTAGTCTTCCCGTTGGAGCTGCGACTCTTTAACACCTCTGGAGATGCTACCAACCCTGAGCGGCTCTATGACCTTGTGGCCGTAGTGGTTCACTGTGGAAGGTGAGTTCATTCAATTAAACTAGGCTATTCCCAAAATGTCTTCAAATCTGAAGGCATTTAGTTGAGCTAATATTTCAGATTACTATTCTCGATGTCTGCGGTGTTGTTGGATATGTCTCTCTCTCCCCATCACGCTACAGCTACAATATCCAATAGCGCCTCGGCTCAGATTATCTTTAGAAAAAAAACAGGCTGTCACAAGGCTGCGTCTACGACAAAGGACTGATACACTTTGCAGCTGCTCTGTGTAGCTGAATATGGCTACAATGTCCAGACACCCTTTCACCCTCATACTGTTTTTAAAAGGATGGATTTCTTAATTATGTAAAGTTACTCTTTGTTTTTGCAGTGGGCCAAATCGTGGTCACTACATCGCAATTGTAAAAAGTCATGACTTCTGGTTGCTATTTGATGATGACATAGTGGAGGTTAGTGAATATTGATCTTTGCTTGTGCTCAAAATTATGTTATGTTCTAATTTTGTTTTCTTCTTCTTGTGCATTATTTCCATAGAAAATTGATGCACAGGCAATAGAAGAATTCTACGGCTTAACATCTGAAATCTCCAAGAATTCTGAGTCTGGATACATCCTGTTCTACCAGTCCAGAGATTAAATGTTGAGTGTTCCTGTAGGCGAGATCAGATTCCTTTTTGTGTAGGGCAGAGGAGCCTGCATCAGCAGGTATGCTTCTAAAGCTGTATTTTTAACCTGTGCTTTAGGCCCTCATCGCTGCCTCCCAGCTGCGAAAGTGTTCCTCTGAACAGCTGTCCCTTCACCCTCTGGGCGCTCTCTGCTGCAGGGACAAAGACATTGTTGAATGAAAACTGTGTCAAGATTGTTCATTGTTTAATCGAACGTTGAGGGGGTTGTACAGATGTAAGTTGGTCATATGAGTGACGTATTAATTTCTGCCTTGGGATTTGGATGAATGGTTATTTAATAATTCATATGTAATATTGGCCTGGTGTTTTCACCCCACACTGTTATACTGCACTGGCTTTTACTCGGACTGGATCAGGTTTATGATCATGGATGTATAAAGGTGGAAAGGGATAAGTGTGTCTCTCCAGGACACACCATGGGGTTGTCTTTCTACCGTGTACAGAATGGTATTTGTATAAATATTACAAAAAGATATTATTCTCATTGGAAAATGTTAGACATTAAGAAGATGTATTAACACTATGGTGCACTTTTGATACCGTTTTGTAGGTGTTGGCAAATTAAATGTGAGGGTTTGCTTGAAAGGCCTGTTGTTAAGCGATCATTTTCTGTTTTAAAGAAAAAGAAATAAAACCATAAACATGTATTTTGAGTTTTCTGTCAGCCAGGTGCCCACTGATGACTCATACGTGCTCACTGGCGCCACGCACAGGTAATAAAGCCAGTCACTTGGTTGCTGTCATGGAAGCAAACGCTTTTACGCACTTAAGGTGCTCTGAGCAGTGATGGAGATGGGAGTCAGGGAGGAGGAGGGCTGACACACATTAGGCTGCTGTTAATAGCACAGACAAGACCAGAATAGAAGGGCGTCGCAGGAGGAGACTATATTGCATCTTGGAATTTGGAATTTGATTCCAGTTAAAAAAAACGTCATAGACCAATAATAACCTAACTATTGGGAAGCTGCAGCTGGGAGGGCAAGCGTTTTTGTTTTTGTTTTTTGCTTTGAGGGAAATGTATAGACCCACTATATAAGATGGATAAAAATATATTAAAAGTCCGCCTCTATAAAATGTCCTTAACTTGATACGACCACTGGCGTAAAACAGTTAAGCCGGTCTAGTTGGACTCCACCTTCAATATCGAGCCGCTTTCTGCTACTTCCCCTCCCCACAGTGCGCTCTGAGTCTGCACAGACGCAATCTGCAGCGCGGTGATGCGCCGCTAAAGGCACTGCCTTTTCCATCGTCCTGGCTGCGAGGCGGGAGATCCCGGTCAGCATCCCCATCCCCCTGGCGCATCGCTACCCACATCCACATCATGGACAAAGTGATCAGCCATTCCTCCATTTAAACCGAAGGCCCCCCTCGCTACCAAGGTAAGTTTAGAGGTGAACCTCATCCCTCTTTACTGAGCACACGCTGCACACCTGCCTCTGTGCAGCGTGTGCATTATGCATCTGCTTTAATACACGCCATAATGAAGGCTCCTGAAGCAGGCAGGATTTGCTGAGCGGCACCTGGCCCAGTAATGTGCCTTTGAATAAACGCTAAATGAAACCAACCATTTAACCAAATAGGTCGATCGACTTGCACGTGCCTGACTTAGTGTACACATTGAGAATGAGATGTGTATGCTTTTCATATTGACATATAACTAGATCATAGCCTTAAGCCATTAATTAGACCGTGAATGTTTATATTTTGTGTACCATGAAGATGGCTTCCAGTGGCGCTGTATGCATGGGGAACAGTCAATCCACCCCCCATTTGTTCTCATAATTTAAATCATAACCCAATGAAACGTCCATAGAGTCTCCATAGATATTGCCAATATTGCAAGTAGAAACTAACTTGTGCATTTCTTTTCAGACGGGGATTACAATGACTGAAGAGTCACTAGTCTCCCCCAGTTGGCTGGGCCAGGACTCCACCACATGGGCCAGTGGAGGTGGAGGCCCACTGGATAACAGCACAGGTCTAGGCACATTCCCCCAAGAGGACATCTACACCCCCAGCCAGCTGCCTCTGCTCGTCAACCCCTGGGACATTGTTCTGTGCACCTCTGGGACTCTGATTGCCTGTGAGAATGCACTGGTGGTACTGGTTATATGGCAAAATCCATCACTGCGAGCTCCTATGTTTCTGCTGATTGGCAGCCTGGCGTTGGCTGACCTTTTGGCTGGTCTGGGACTGGTGCTTCACTTTACATGTGCCTACTTGCTCCGCTCTGACTCGGCCCAACTTCTCACTGTGGGGCTGGTGGTGGCCTCTTTCTCTGCATCTGTGTTTAGTCTGTTGGCCATCACTATCGATCGTTACCTGTCGCTGTACTATGCCCTGACCTACAATTCAGAGCGGACTGCCGCGTTCACCTACACCATGCTGGTCCTGCTCTGGGGCCTATCCCTGTTTCTGGGGCTGCTGCCTGTCACTGGGATCAACTGTCTGGAAGAGGAAGCCTCCTGCAGCGTAGTGCGCCCACTCACTAAGAATAACGTTGCTGTACTTTCTGTCTCATTTCTGCTGCTCTTTGGCCTTATGCTGCAGCTTTATGTCCAGATTTGTAAAATAGTGATGCGCCATGCTCATCAGATTGCGCTCCAACATCACTTCCTGGCTGCTACGCCTCACTATGTCACCACACGCAAGGGTGTATCAACACTAGCCATCATATTGGGAACATTTGCAGCTTGTTGGATGCCGTTCACAGTCTACTCCCTGATTGCAGACTACACCTATCCTCCGCTGTATACATATGCGACACTGGTGCCTGCCACATACAACTCTGTCATCAACCCTCTCATCTACGCTTTCAGGAACCAGGAGATCCAGAAGGCCTTGTGGCTGGTGTGCTGTGGATGTGTGCCCAGCAGTGTTGCCCACAGAGCAAGGACCCCAAGTGATGTATGAGCCCAGAGTGAGACACCCTGCACCCGCTGTGCTCCTCACTGCTCCTACATAGTCCTAGGGCAGGAGCAGGACCCAGGGGACAGCTGCACCTGACCATGGCTGTAGCAATACTCTTTTAAGAAGAGTATCACTGGTTGGTGCATTGTGTGTTATCAATCAGGTAACGATGGGAATGGCATTGTGGTATTTGTTTCACACATCACAGGGCAATGTGTAAAGTATCACAGGAAATGGTGTACCACTGTCTTCCCCTGTGATTGTGGCCCTCTCCGAGGCTGCCCCCTTTTGTCCAACTTGTGCCACGCCCTTTTCCTCGCTTCTGCAGAGAGCGCAGAAGTCACATGTAACAAGCAGGAGCGCAGATGTAGGCTACATAAGGCGTGCATATTTAACAGCGAAGCCTGGAGCCGACACGTGTTGTTTTTTCAGATGGCGAGGGATTTATTTTCTTTAGTAACACAGCGCGCAAGTAAAGGAACTCTAGATATTAAACCCGTGCGTTCAGTACAGGGAGAAGCAGTGATCATTCTCTAGGGATGACATTTTTACGGGAAAAAGCCAGTCTAGAGCCGCATCCAGTCGCTCTGCTGCTGCACTCTGAACGTGCATTGAAGGCTAAACAGGCGCTGGGAGCTAAAAATAGACGCACCGCTCTAGATCCGCGCCCTGCGTCCTCCACAGACGCCGAGATGGCATTAAGACGCGCTCTCTCCTCGTCTCTTCCCGCACCGCTCCGTTGATCAGTTTTCTATGGCGTCTCCGTTTGTCTGCTCAGAAAATGACTGAGAGGTTATGCTGTTCTTGTCAGACAATAGTTCACCGCGGTTTCCAAATAGCTATAAAGCGTAATAACGCGACACAAATCATGTATTTTAAAGTGCATGCTGGAATCCAGTGCTATACTTGAGGCAGTGTGTTATGTTGACATCATATTGTTCAAATAATGTCATTGAGCTACATTATTAAGTACCTCAAATGAATCCAATTTAAAGAGCTAAATCATGACACAAGTGAATTTAATGTTTTTTATTATTCTTGTTCAGAGATGTGCTTTACCAGCTGCTGAGTTGAAGTTACATCTGTATTCTTTGTCCATACAGATCAGCAATAACAAGCCTGTTTGTGATTAGTGAAGCAATACTCAGACAGCAATAACATCTCTGTCCCACCGAGACTTTTTATCGCTGAGGTGGGCTAGACAAATGTTGCCCGAAAAGTGGATTTAAGACTTTTGAGGTGAAAGATTTTGTTCTCTTGTTACATCACTGCCTCATTTTGGTCCACCAAGAGTCCTTTAAATTGGGAATCTTTGGTTAAACTCAATTGTAAAAGCGTGTGTTGGCTCCACTGTTTCTGCATTGACAGTCAGTGTAGTGGCACATCAATCTTTTACTTGGGACAGTGTTGTATGAGTTGCATGTCCTCTGGATGTGTGCATGTGTGTGTGTGATTGTGAGCCAGCATCAGCAGACTGTGATCCACCCCTTGTCTCGTCAGGGGCTTTAAATCGCTGTATTAAGGGTTCCCTGTGTTGACCCCTAACTTTGTGAATGCTGCCAGTCTTCCTGTGAACTCTGAGAGAAGTGGCCTCGCTCTGTTGTTATGTTATAACGTTTGTCTTACAGCATGTAGACATTTTCACAAGACTTATTAATGACTAGGAAGGATTTGTTTCAGCACTTGAAACCAAAGGGAAAGGACTCTAAATTAGCCAGGACCGTAGTCGTGCTGTGTTTTATCTTGATAAAATGTTTATATTACTTGCACTTAAAATCATTGTGGGTTGGCTGAGACAAGTGCCCATTAAGTGACCTCTGAATAATTATGAGCTAAAACTGGCAACTTCCAAAGCCATAAGGAATGCTGCCTCTTCATTTTCTTTCATGAATGTGATTTTAGAGGTGATGAAAGGAACTCAAAAGAGCAGCATTTTCTATCTTTGGACTGTTGCCACTGTATGAACTTGTGCAGTGTCAGATTGTAGTTTTCTGTGAGCACCAACAGCTCAGGCTGGCACAACCATAAAACACCACAACCTTGTATTCATTTGAAGAAAAGTCTATTTTGTTATAATCATTGAAAAGTTCTATTTTTTCCACTGTCTGGCTTGAGTACTTTGGGATTTTTAGGTTTATGCTGTAATGGCGCTGTAAAGCCTTTTTATGAATGTAGTATTAACCAAGGCCAAGAATTTTTGTAAAAAAAACTGAACCCCCTAACATTAATTTATTGATGTAAATGAGGCATGCTGATGAGGAAGGACCATAGTGCATGGTGCTACCAAATCCAGTAGACTCCAGATAGCTTTTATCACTTAGATAACAAATACTGCCAATCCAGTGGCAACGTACTTTTCAGTGATGTTCACTTTTCTTACTTCAGTCACATGTCAGTGTTGATAAATGGGTCATTGCTAGATTGGGGAAAAATAAGTGTCAAATTACAGAATGTTTAGTCATGTGGGAAAAAAAGATGGTGAGAAAAGGGCTTTGTTTTCACCTATAATAACATGAGACTGTGATAGCTAGTGCACACTTGTTAATCTGCAGAATGCTTTAACGGACACTTGCTCCTTATGTAATGTTTGGTGGGTTTTCGGTCCACGATGATGGATCAGTGGTCAGAGAAAGATGATGACTTTGAATCTAGAGCTAAATATCAAACACTCAAGGGCCTGTGAATGTGTGTTTTGGGGGTTTCAGACGGGAACACCACAGTAACAGCATCTTGTGTATATGTATGCGTAGTTTTCAATGTGAAATGCACTTTATTTTTTTGATGAAAATGGCACAAATTAAGTATCTGCAAAATGAAACGTATGATAATCAACATGCACTAAGTGAGATATTGTACAGTTTGTGTGACTGTGGTGTCTATTTTTCCAAAGTGTTAGATGTACTTTTTATTGCTTACATTAATGCGTTCACTCTATTAAGAGTACTTGTTTATTTTATATTAAAAATGTGCTGTGCATAAAAATCTTTGTCCCCATCTTTTCTCACTCGGCTGTTTCCTAGGCTACTTCCTCCTCAGCTGTTCTGTTTCTGTGGAAACTGGGCCCGGTATGTATCGTCGCTATGACGACGGTGCAACAGTAATGACACAATGCTTCATTCACCGTTTTATTTGTCACACTATACAGTGTGTGTAGTGATCAGCAACACACTTAAATATCTCCTTTACTTTATCACAGCATTTTATACAGAATACTCTGTTAGCACTTGGCTGTCTCCTGTTAGTGTAGGCTACACGTTAAAACACTTTCTCCTGATCTATAGCTTAAACAATTAATTCAATTTAGAAAAAAGGAAAATAATACACAATTAAAAAATAGCTACATTAGCTCAAGAGAAGCATTTCAAGGAGCTCTTAGAATGAAACAAGAGAAGCTCCGTTACATGATTTCTATAGTGCTTCAACAGCAACAGAACTAGGTGCATTCACATTGCTTAATCGCAGGGGCAAGTCAGGATAACAATTTGTTAAGTATGATTTCCAGCTCTTAGATTGTTAGCGTATGATAACATACAGCATAAAGTTTTGGATTTTCAGCAACAATGTGTGAGTAACTATGATTGTGATTCAATTGTGTCAGCCATTACAACGTTTGTGTACATTGAGTGGTTAAACTATCTGTTTGTACAGTCACTTAATCAGACCAGTCATTTTCCTCTAACTCCGAGTCGTCCTCTGAGTCGGAGTACTCCACAGCAATACGTCGTGACAGGATTGTGGCCACATCGTTTCCTACTGGTTCCCTCTTTGCCTGCTGCTCCTGCTGCTCTTGCACTTTCTTGAGTTGGATACCTGAAAAAAGATGATACATTGCTGTTTGTGATTCATATACATAAATAATATCTGAAACGTACCCATGCGTATGGCAGACAGGAGGTCGCTCCGGGCATCACTGACCACGCTGCTCTCAGCAGGTGCAGATGAGGACATTTTGCGTGTCATGGAGTGGGGGGCACCAGCAGGAATGGGTGGAGGAGGTGGGCCAGGGGGAGGCGGGGCAGACTGTGCCCCAAAAAAAGGTGGTGGAGGCGGGGCATAGACCCCAGTACCTCCCATGGATCCTGGCGACATGGGACCTCCAGGAGGAGACGCAAAGGCCGTTTGAGCTGAAGGAATGAGCGGTGCCGGAGGGGGTGGAGGAGGAGTGTTGGCATAGCCATCCAAACTGAGGAAAGAAAACAAAAGTCAGGATTTTACAAACACAACAGCCCATACATTACTTTATAATTTGCCTCTAGATGGCAGCATTAGCTCATAATTGGTATCTTTGTATCCTTGAATTGACTTGTGTTAGGGTCCAAAGGAAAGTTTGAAGGTGCACAGTTTTTAGTGTGGAGACTGCAGCACCATGATAACTGACGTGAGTCACAGACCGGTGCAAAACCGTGCCAAGACCAGGACAACAGTTCAGTCTGCAGTATGAGCAGTATCTCACACAGTAAACAGAAGTAATATGTTTACCTGAATCTGATTATTTAATGAATGCAGATGTGTGATATACCTGTAGTCCACTGGTGGGAGTGACATGGAGCCACCGTTCATGGCTTCAGTTGGCGGAGGGGGTAGGGGTATCTGGTGGTGCGTGCGGCCCAGTGTTCCACCCTGATAGGCCATGGCTCGGCCTCTGCCCTCGTGCTCTGCCCCTTTGGGGATGTGTCCGGCAGCCATCTGAGCAGCGAGGACACTGGGAGGTGGGCCAGAATAAGTGTGGGCATGTCCAGCGTGGTTCATGGCGTTGGGATAGTGAAGCTGCTCATGACCCCTAAATAACACAGTGCAGAGAGTTTATTATTTGAGATAAATGGAGTAAGATAAAGACACATCTGCTGAAGAGATACCTGTTTTCTGGCGACATTGAACCTTCTGAGGAAGCGGCTCTGTCTCTGTGTATTGTGTGTCGATGGTCAGGCCTCAGCTCTTTATCCAGAGCCATCATATTCCACTCCTGTCGACGGTTCCTCGCTTTGCGAACTTTCTTCACCTCTCTCTGTAAAGTTCCATCTACACAACGTCTCTGCTCCTATAATATATTTCAATATACTATGAATAATTAAACATTAAATACTAGCAGGTATTGTCAGTAAAATCTAAGATCACCTTTTGCTTTCTCTTCTCTTTTCTCTTGTCTTCTGTATCCTGCAGCATTTTCTCCTTCCAAAGATCAAAGAAATAGGAAGGATCTGTATAAAACTTTAGTGCATCCTTCTTGTCATCCCTGAGAAGAGAAGATAAATGAATATGCCAAAAGCATTAGTTACAAGTAATATCAAGAGCATCAAATTAGAAGAGAATATAGACTAATAACCTGTATGGTGAGAGGATGCTGAGAGGTGGAGGCTTGTCACTAAGATGAAACATGTCAGTGACTGGATTAGGGATGCTGCTCTTGGCCACCACCTGCTGGTCCTGAGTGGTGGAGCTCTTGAAGGCTTTTCTCATGTTAATATCTTGCAAAGAAACTGTTAACAGCAAAGAGAGGAACAGCATGAATTAAATGTATTGAACCCAACATCGACACAGAGAATATCTGATCAAACCAACAGTGGGTGGAAAACGTAGAACTCCACCCCTTGACTCACCTTCTTCAACGGTGGAGTCCAGCTGAGTAACCTTGACTGCCAGCCGGTCAATTCGGTCCTGGAGCGAGTTGGCACGTAGGTAGAAGTTGTTGGCCTCTTTAAACAGCTCACCAAAAATGTCCTCAGCATGTTTACCTAAAGACACAGAGCAAAACAAGAAGTCATGGAGAGATTTATAATAGGATTTACAAGAAGTAGACCAGCCATCCATATTTGGAACCAAATATGTCTGTGCCTGTGGGCATGAGCACCAATCAATACCGCAGAAATGTGACACAATTTGAAATCCAAGCCCTAAGATGCACTGCAGGACTGTTATCTTCCATTGAACTACAAACCAAACCATTAATCTGAAACCAAATGTTTTTTTTATCCAAGGACATTTGCTTTTGTTTCAGCTACGCATCTTTTTCCAACAGTGGGGTTTCAACATGACGTAACAAACCTACTGGGAAATAACCTTACTCCACAAAAAGACAAACTCAGTAAAATTTTCTGAAGAAGCTGTAACCCCGTACCCTTGAGCGCTGGGTCAGAGTTGAAAGATATTTAAATACAACTGTATTGCACTAGAGTATTCATGTTTAGAGCAACAGACAAAGCATTGTTACCTTGAAATGTAACAACGTGTTTGGTTTTGTTCATTTTAAATAAATGAAATGAAACGAAGAAGAGCTAAAAAATCCGTTCTCGACTCTTTCTCTACTGTAACGCCCTGCTTAGAGTGTGCCCTAAACTATAAAGAGGGAAGTGTACTCTGCACCACTCACACACTGGTACAGAGTCTTCATCTTCAACGCAGGTCTGATGGATCTAACACTTTGAGGTCTCAGGATGTCTACAGTCTTTTACCGTCCCCAGCATCAGGACAGAAAGAGGCTTTTCATCATCAAACTCCCACAGACTCCAACTTTGGCATCCCTCTGAAAAGATTTGCTGTTGCTAAATCAACAATTCTGTGATGCCCTTTGAGACGACTGTTGTTGTGATTTTGAGTAATATAAATTATACATTGATTTTATATGCTGTAAATACACCTGAATTAGCTTAAGGCTAGTTTTCATAATTGCACATCTTTGTAGTAGTGCGGGAAATGAGAGCACCTGGATGAGAATCACTTTCGCAGCAGATTCATGGTTTTGGAGTCTATGTAAAGAGCAGTGAAAGATTATACCATTGTAATTATTATTATGCAAATAATCGTTACACGCCTTATACGCTATGTGCTCTGTTTCACTCCTAGCAAACATGTAAGATCATGATGGAATTATGTGGTGCCAAACTCAAAAATGGTTTATGTGACTGCCTTCTGCTGACAGGATGGGCTGAAGGAAACATGTAAGGAGTAAAGAGGAATCCCACATCTGGCAGTCAGAGGCCAGTGACTTTGAACTCCTCAGGGAATGGTCCATAACTAGTCATAAAAAAAAACACGAAATGACCCAGGAGCCCATATTTCCCACTGTTCATTGCCTTCAGTGTAGTCCATGCACAGATTGAGGCATCTTTTTGTGTGTTCCGTGTATGTCTGTTGTATGTCGACTGTGGCCTCAGGCTTATATTTAACCCACAGCTGCTGTTGAAAGGCGTACTCCCACTGCAGGAACTTGATACAATGCAATGGTCAGACACACAAAGAACAGACTGATTCACTGTTTGTAGCAAAAACAACACTTTTGATTTCAATATGTTGTGTGATGATTAAATTCGGGTACAGTGTGGACGGTTAACTTCATAAGGGTTTCAGATTGATGAAATTGAGGTCCTTTGTCAAAATGAAAATTCAAAGTGAAATATTATATCTTATGAAAGGGAACATGTCGCATGAAACAGAAAAGTGAAAGCCCATATAGTGGTGGTGGGAAATAACATTATGCTTTTATATTTAAACATAATAGCATGATATTATTTATGTTTATTTAAGGGATACAATATCAGATTAAATATCACAAATGATTATTCAATATTTTTTTGGGCAGTTTGAATTGATCTGAATGCACACAGCTGTACGGGTATTTCCAGGATTAGATGTTGAGGAGGTTGTGACTAAAACAAATCCAGGTATGAATGATGAGGCTGTGTAAAATGATTCAAATGACAGCTTACAGGTACCATTTTTTATTACATAAATCAGTATAGAAAAAATTCACCCAGAATTCTTCACTTTTTCCAACAAAAAAATGTCTGCATCTTTCTAGACCTAAAGGAGCATTGAAGCCACTCTTAATAACATGCCCATGGCTGCCCAGATGAGGAGTTCATTTTTGTGGCCACCTAAAAGGATTACATATTCTCTTCCCGTGTCCCAATCCCGGGTCACAGTAAGCCCGCCTCTCGCCCAATGACCCCATCCTCTGTAACTATGACAACGAGCAAATCAATCACTGGTGCAGGATTAACGATGACACCATGTGATGTTGTCCCGCTACAAAGAGGAGACTGTACATAGAGTGGAGGGTTCTCAAGTAGAAGTCACTGGACATTCAGCCTGAGGACATGCAAAGGTTACTTACTTAGACTGCTGAGTTGGCGGATGATGGCAGAGAGAGTGTTATTCATCACACATTCAAGCTCACTGCCAATACCATCCGGGAGCTCCCCCCGGCAGAGGTGGCGAGGCTCGATGATCCTCTTGACCAGCGGCATGGTGAGGCCTCACACCGGCACTGTCCCACCGGCGCAACTGCACACAGCAGAAGATAAAGGATCCTTATGAGCAAAATGTTTGCATATGAAAACATACATATTATCATAGGAACATTCTTTTATAGTCCCGGCCATTCTATAATGTTTCTTAAGGAAGACATAACTCTAAGAATAATAGTAATAATAGAATAAGAATAATTATAATAATTTGATAAAATGCAATAAAATGTCTTCATAATTTTAAAAGTTTCACAGATTGAATTAACGGGAATTATTTAAGTTTTTGACTAAAGCATAAGTCAATGCAATGCAAACATTAGTAGAGAGGTTTGCAATGTCGACAAAAAAAAATCTACCAATACATGAAAGTAACAGCCATCAGTGTTCCAAAGACCAGCCGTGAGATTTAAGCATTAGGAAGATACTGTGTTCCTGTTAATCCCAGGACAGCTTGACTGAGGCCCAGCTGGAGCCCTGTCACACAAACTGATTCATTGCAGAGTGTGGCCTGCTCCAAATGTAACATTAGCACTATGTAGAAGACTGGGGAAAAGGCTTCTGATGTAGACAATAGTGAAACTAGCTGAGATCTGCTCCTTCCTGTTTCCTGTTTTTACACTCTAAATCTGGCTGTGTTTCCTGGTACTCCCAGTGTCACATCTCTGCTTCCTGTCCGGACACTCAACAATACAGCTCAAGGAGAAACTGAGAGGAAGGATGAGGATGCACACACCCAGACTACTATGAAGTCCTATTCAATGTTTATCATCATTCCATGTATTTTATACATTTTCACAGAATTAAGAAACAGTTATGTTGCATGTTTTATTACAAGAACAGTGGGGGTATGATACTACGTTATTGATGTCGGAAAAACTATATTTAGCAAGAATCTTTTCAACATGCTGTTGGTAGATTCTGCTGTGTGAAGGTCTGTGCTAGATTGTACATTAAAAGTCTGCTCAGCTTTTAAGCTCCCAATATATTATTCACAGGCACCACATGAACATGACTTTTCAAGCTATAGGCCCTTCATCTGACTAAAATGTAAACTGAAAATGCATCCCTATCATAGCCAGCAGGAATAAGGGAATGTGATAATAAAAATATGTTTTACAAGAAAATTATGGCCTTAGGACCCTTAGAGGCAGCGACAGAAGCTCATGAAGTACAGATGATGCAGTGGCAGAAACTTAAAACCTCAAGGAAATCAAAGCCTTTTGCAGTGTAAACAATAAGCCTTGGTACTCCGTTATTACTTTCTGAAAGGGAAAGTCTGTTGTCACAGCTGTCAGAGATGGAGACACTTCACTGAGGCCAACTCCCACCAACGCAGTCCTGCACAGGCCATGCTGCCCCCTGCAACCACCAGCCTCGGCCAAACGGACAAACAAAGGCTCAAATGACATCAATGAAGCTCATTAACTCAAATCATATGGCATATCTTAGTTATAACAAAAAGGCAAAATATGATAGAGAATGTTAGGTACTGTATGGACTCACATTGCAAAATAATGAGCGAATGAGGGTGCGGGCAGAGGGCCTTAGAGCTTTACTGGTTTAGAGAAATGAATGATTTGTAGAAGGAACAAACAGTTGGGACAAGAGTGCTCTGTGTTTTGAAAGTGTCAAATGAGAGGGGCAAACTTTAAGGGATGGAGATGGTGGTGTGAACGGAGAAAGAGGGGACTGCATGGGGGGAGGGGTACAAACCACTGAAAGGTTCCCGGGACAATAGAGCTTCGTTCACACGGCAACAGCACCAGCTCTCCCATGCATCCTCCCCCTCAGCCTCCTCCTCAGCCTGCTTTAAGGGCCCCCGTCCCTTCATGAAAGCTCAGTGAGCCAGAAGAGAGGGGAAGAGAGAGTACTGCATGTGACTAGAAAGTGTCATCCAACACTTGAGCTTTCGCTGGGACATAAACATAAGTGTTCATCTCCAGTTTCTATCTCTTCTTTTCTGGCCTCTGTCTGTATTCTAGAATAATGACTGTAGCACTCTGGGCTCAGGCCCACAAGGTAGCCTCTCAAATATCCCATTAGTAACATGTAAACAGCCACATGAACTGCAAAAAACGTCTTTGATCCTGTGAAGAGGTCACATTCATGCAGCATTCAGGGTACAATACAGTTCCCTGGTGATTCCTGTAAGACACCAACATAGAAACGCTAAGGCAAAGATATGGGAAGTCCATTAAGACGTGAGAGGCGAATCATTATCAATTTATGAACCAAGTACAGCTTCTTGTATGCCTGTTTGCCTTGCTCTTATGCTATGAATAATACAATTTTGCTTTATGTCAGGCTTGATGCTCACCTAAATATGTACATTGCTTATGTACTAATTTGAAAGTGCACATTAACAAACAGTTGCTGTTGTCATTTCTGTTTTAATTATAAGTAAGTAATCTTTATTCCTTATGCTATAAATCAGTCAGTAATTCCCAATTTATATCAACATTTCAAATAGATAAAAAAAAGACTTAGTGGAGTAATTTCTTACGATAAATAAAATATCCATTGCTCCATTCTAGGGTCTGATTCTGTGGATAATTATTCTAATGAGAAAATAGGTTATATCATCATACACCCTTTATGCGAATGTGGCGAACCCTACAACCCTTTGGCTGATCCTGGCAAACTGTCACTTCCAATGATAACATCTCGTCACAGTAAATGTGCTCAACATGTAGAGGGCTTGTCATCACATGGATGTCATGCTCCAGTCTCTGCTAACGCGGCTTGTGCTTCCTCACAGTGATCGCCCCATTGCCCAGTGGCTGTGGACCTAATGCTCGCATAGAGGCTTCAACTAATAGCAGCACGATCAATCAGTGTTCCGCACCGCCGCTTCCCGTCAGTGACCCACATCTGCTCATCCAACTCCACACACAGCATTCCCCCACCAACACATACGAATATTTACGCTAGAACAGTTTAATCTAGTATATAAAGATGCAAACCACTTGGGTAGCTTTATTATGATGGTCCACTCGCTCCACTGACCACTTGGCTAGCTCGCGTAAAGCACTGATTGTTACTTTTAATTGTTTGTTGATTGTTTCTCCATACATACAAATGCAAGAATAAATACAGTTGAGTTATTTAGAAGTAACACAAACTAACACAAAGTACTTACCTCAACTTAAATTATCAATAGAAATGAATCCGCCCGCATGACCCGTTATTCTCTTGCCATACCGTGCGCGTCTGGTCTGGCTACTCCAAAGGAAAAAAAAAGTGCTTTGGAGGGAGGGTGGGGCTTATTTGGTACGCTATCCAATGAGATAACAGAATAGCGCGTTTAACACAAAAAGGACGTTTGTTGCAGCCAATGGTAGCGCTAGGAAATTATGATTGACAGGCGTCGACAACTGATCTCAATGAACGGGGGGCGGGGTTACTACTGGGCGTTGCTGAAGAGCTCGACAATGCAAAATAAGGATAATGATAATAATAATATAAATAAATGACTAGAAGGACAGTGCGAGTACATTATAAAATATATAAATCTTGCTATGTAAATATCTTAAACTGAAAAAGAAACGGAACACACAAAAAAATCTCCTTCGTGAGATCAATAGAGTTTATCTTATTAAAATAAAAAAGTGTGTTTAATTATGGACCGCAGAAGTTTGAAATTAAGTTAGTTACATTATAGTTCTGGAGTAACCACAAGCTCGTCACCCCCACCTTCCATGCAGATCCCAAAAGGTAGGATATTCATCTGAATATTTCACATGTAATGATTCACATACCTACAATTATTGTAAATGCATACTTAAGCTCGCTCTTATACAAGGATAGATGTTTAAATTAATGGGCATCTTGGCATTGACTTCTGTTTTGGTCTTGAAAAAGTGGCTAACTGAGGGATTAAGGTTGGAGCCCCCAATACATCTCATAAGTGAAAAATAGAAAAGTTAAATGCCACATCATGGAACCTGACAAACGAAGTAGGAACCCCATGGCAGACGTTCCGACAAAAAATAACATTGTATGGGTTATAATAAAAAAGGGTTTATTGTGCGGACTATAGGATGATCAGCATTTATTGACCATGTAAAATATTACTTTCAATACAGTACAAAGTATGTTTCATGAGCTGACCATCATGTGACTGGTGGTTTTGTAAGGCTTACCCACTGCACCAAAACTCTTCAAAAAGAGCTGCTTGGTTAAACTTTGCAGTAAAATACAGTCATGAGATCAGATTAAATAAAAGCCTAAAATGTGTGCTTTTCCTTGGGCCTACCACATCCTCCAAACATCAGCTTGGGTTAGTTGCTCTCAAAACCATTACACTTAAAAACGTACACTTACTAATACATAGCAGCTCTGGCACTTGCCAAAGTCGAACCCTCTGGAGCAGAGGATAATGATAAAGAGAAAGCTGTTTATTTATCTATTAACAGTTTCCTCGATTACTGACTATTCTGTACTGGCTTTAGAAAGAACTACACTTCCCAATTTCATACAGTAGGTAATGTCCATGAGCAGGGAAAGTATTAAGACGTACTTTGGGAATATAAGAGAAGAATGACTGAATAAGTGAATAAGACTGCATAAGTTTTGATAATGTGATGTAGGACTGCTTGAAACTGAAATTAAATATTTTGAATGCATCAGTTTTGACAAAACATTTGCAACTTTGTGGTTAATTGTTTGTAAATGTAATCTGCATATGGTGGTACTATCTCTTAAGAAAAAAAAGCTTTTGGTAGTATTCCGCTGATTCAAACGGTGGCTTTATTTGTAATCAATGGGAAAGGTCTTTAATTTTGGCTAAAAAAGTCCTCATTTTGTCCAAACCAAATGGAGCAACATTCTTTGAGAGGTTGAGAGCGGTGCTGGATGACTGCATGTGTTTGCATATGACACAGGTCTACATGTCTCAGTAGCGGTGGCTCTGGTGAGAGTACTGGGGAGGCTGCTGGGAGGTAGAGGAGTATCCCATGCTGCTTTGGGGCAGTGATGTGCTTGGTCCGGGGTTCTGGTAGGCAGCATGTGGATTGGAGCGCTGGAAGGAAAACTTCATGGTAAAGTCTTTATGAATTATGAAAGTTGACAGCAGTGATGTCTGTACCTGGTAATCCGAGGTCATTATAAGACCCCCTGAGGTAGTGGTGGGAGGAACAACGCGCACTTTCTTCAATGGTGGCCCTTGTGCGTGGCTATTATCAGGGTTGCCAGTGTGTCCTGCTCCATTTGTGTGGTTGTTTCCCTGTTGTTGTTGCTGGTTTTTCTACAGGAAATTTAATTCAAGGTGAAATTAGTGGAATCATAGAGGATAAATATGTAAGGACAGTAATATTGCTACCTTGTCTGCCTTGTCCTCTGGCTCCTCCTCAGTTAGGAATTCCCTTTTAGGATAGGGAATCTGACAACCTGCAAACACACTAAAAAAGGGAGGACAATAGAAAAAAAAATTGTCAATGAATTGTTCTAAATTCATGGGTTAACTTTCAGACAAAATATGAATTCCTAGTTTAGAAGACCCACTTATTCAACTCACACATTCTCACAGAAGAGCCTTTTCACAGCTTGAACCCAAAGAATAAAGTAACTACCTAACTTACTCAGATGTTGGCAAAGGCTCTTCCAAAAAGTAGGGGTCCTGCATGGCCTGTTCAGATGTGATTCTACGGATTGGATCCATAGTTAATAATTTCTGTAGCTGTAAGACAAAAAAATAGTAGATCAAAATACATAAGGTGAATATTTGGCTTGTGTACGTCAATCTTACCAAATGGAATGCTTTGCTGTCTGGTTTTACTTTGTGTTTTTCCATGTACTTTATTAGGCTGCAGTTTGTGTATCTGGAAAAACAATCACGTTTATAGTTTATACATCGTTTTCTGCAATTATTAGCAGACATGCAGTTTATTTACACAACATACGCAATAAAAGAGCCTCAATAGTCTACAGCAGGAAGACAACAAACTCACGTATTTCTTCTGAAATCTTTCATCAAAGTTGAGTGCTCTGGCATCTTTTTAATGTCCTCCCAATCTTTGTCTGACAAAGAAAAGTAGCAAAGGGTGTAAACAATAACAGTCACAACAAAGTGATTCAAAATTGAGGAATTGCGGTTCAAAAAAGTTGAATGTTACCAGCAGGAAAGCCCATAACATTAAAGATACGGTCCAGTTGGTCGTGGTGGTAAGGGTTACTGGTTTTAATGTCCTCTTGGCGACAGTGGAATATCGGCTCCGACGTCAGCAATTCAGCAAAAATACAACCAATTGCCCAAATGTCTGAAAAATACATCCATCCGATTATATTTATATAATTAACAGAGCTTTGTATGTAAGTGGAATGAACCCAAAAGGTTGTTTCTACCAATAGCTTTTGTGTAGTGCCGAGCTCCCAGCAGGAGTTCAGGTGCCCTGTACCAAAATGTGACCACGACAGGATCAAGATCAGCTAAAGGCTTTAATGGCGAGTTGAAGAGACGGGCAAAACCCATGTCCGCTGCAAAAACGCACTCAGTAAAAATTTACTCCATTATCAGAGCAGTCAGAATATCTCATCTTTTAAAACATACCAATCTTTACTCTACCCCTTTCTGGCCCTTCTCCCATCACTAAAATATTTGCTGGTTTCTGAAAAAAAGCAGAACAAACCAATAGATTTAACACAGTAATTTCTGTTGACCCTTCAATTAAATTAGGTGTCTCCAATCTGTAGCTGGTTTATTGATTTTAAAATGACAAATCAACTGCTGACTATTTAAAATTGTATACATACAACCATTGTAAATACAGAATTTACCTATAATTAATTATACATTTGGTGTATAACTGTGAATCACTGTGAAGTATAGCTCATCATATTGACCCAATTTCTTCAATCAAATAATAATAATAAAAAAAAAAATGAATGGGAAAAAGTTTGGAAACCCCTGAATTGAATGAATATTGGTGCCCTCTAGTGACCAAAGACAATTTTTTTATATTTCTCTGCTAATATTCTTGTGATAAAAAAAACAAAAAACTTTCTAATAATAGATTGTGTATATCTTGTATCTATTGTGTTGTTCCACTTATTCTAATTTACTTACAAGATCTCGGTGAAGAACCCAGTTGGCGTGCAGGTAATGTATGCCATCCAAGATCTGATAAAGCAAAGACTTAACCATTCCTCTTGGAAGCTGAAGCGGCTTCTTGTTAGCCTTGGATGCTCTGTGGAACTTAATAATGTGCTATAAGGGAAGGAAAAAAAGGTTAGCCCAAAAAGCACGTTTGATCGTTTACGGGTTAGCTCACCAATATTACATACAGGTTGTATAATTCCTTAGTTTTCCTTGTTTTGGCATAATAATATTTATTATTTCACATGTGACATGGGTAACTTCATAATAATCTTGAAAACGGAAACATATTATTGGGTTGAGTATGGATGTTTGAACCTCAATTTTCAGAAGATACAGAGTTGGAATATGGAATATTTCCTGTGCGGTTCACACAGTGGTGCTCCTCCTCTTAATTGTTATAGTTCTTATACCTATAGAATTTAATCAAGTCTCTTCACTATGAATCAGACCAACATTTAAGGACATTTATCAACACTTATGGACATTTGTCATCTGCCCCTGATGGACCAATACCAATGTGTTTACTGTTTTTTTTCTTGTGTTTGATTCTCTGATCTGTGTTGGCAAATTCATCGGTTGTGTAAAGTCCTCCGAGATAACTACTGTTGGGATTTAGGGCGCCATCATGAGTTCGTATTTTTAGCCTTATTGAAACCATGCATGTAATTTGACTTGCCATCAAAAGATTTTATGTGCAGTGTTTTAATTCCATTCATTTAATCAAATCAAATCTAATGTGTGCCAATAATAAGTACTTACCCAAAGATCATGTTCAGCATAGTCAAAAAGAAGCCACACTTTGCGGTCTGCATGTGATAAAAACACCTTCTGCAGTGAGATGACATTGGGGTGTTTTAGCTCTCGTAGAAGCTGCAAATGATACATATATAGTAAGTAATTATATCAAAAAATATTATATTCAGAGAAGTTATATGAAATACTTAAAAAACACATGTCTCAAAGTATTAACAAACTAATTTTAAGTCCTCACAGCAATTTCTCTGCATGCAGACATAGAAATTCCAGTGCCTTCAATCTGCTTGAGAGCGTAGTCTTTATCATCTTTACTGCAAAAGCAAAATTAAAACCATTAACAATCTTTAAAAGCATCCATTTGTGGGGGTCTATGGGTAGGGAATTATACATTATATAAAGTTTAGCATTAACTGAACCTTTGTTCACATTTATTTTTATTGTCCTCCAAAAACACAATCAAGAACAAGTGTTTTAGCTGCAGAAACCAAAGTGATGCCAGTGCGAGTGACAGGCTACACTTTTATGACTGTGATAACTTTTCTTGGACAGATAAAACCCCTGGTAAACATTTCTTGTAGTTTCCTTCAAGTAACAGTGTGTGACAAGACGTTAGAACAAATATTCTACAGGAAATAAGGCTGAATCCTAAAATGGAACCTCTCCCTCTACAGTATGTAAGTAAAAAACCTACACCAAGAAACAACCAGATAGAAACATGAGACCACACTATTCCATTTCATAATTACTGTGTAACATTTGACAACCTTTCCCTTGTATACCTTGAGATTGCGGTGTTGCTGTCTACCTATGCCGTATCTGCTGCTCATGTGCAACAAAGAACCATGGTATAAGCAACTGCGTAGCAATATGACAATAAAGTTTGTTATATTCTATTTTTCAAACACGATACACTATATACTAAGCTTTTAAAATAGTCTTTAACAGATAGATCTCAATTATGTTTTAGTGTAATGTGCCATATGGGCTTTGGTGTAATGCTGTAAAACACCTACAGTTTCAGTCTTAAAATTAAGTGTAAAGTGAAAAGTAATAAATATAATGTTACCCCCCCGATCTCTTACTTACTTAATTAATTACGCTGCTCATATATGTAAAGCTATATATTTAAATTACATTCGAGCAGTTATAGGAACTTCAGTTCCTACAAGTTGTGCAGCTTCTCCCAGTCAGATCTACGCGCAAAACAATATAAAGCTACTTAACGATAGCGACATAGTTGGGCTCTTGCCAGCAGCCTCGATAGAAGAAAAAGTATTCGTTGAAGAGGGTACAAGGTTTTTAGCATGAGGCCTTGGTGGTCATCGACTCACCCATCCTTTCTTTTTGCTTTGTAAACATGTCCGTAGGTGCCTCTTCCCACTTTGCATCCTTCGTACTCAAACAGGTCTTCGACTCGTTCTCTTTCGCTAGTAAGTTTGACTTTGAAATCATAGTCCATTTTAGCACTGGGCGAGTACAATCTGCGTTGTTTGTTGTGCCGCTGAATACAACCACACTGCTGCTAATCCGAGCTCGGGTTGTGTATACGGCTCGTGGCCTCTTTTCTCAACACCGTGATAACATTGAGCTTCACTGTGGGTTCTGAGCGGGAGAGATGTTCAGATTGTTCTATTTTGAAATTAACCCCCAAAATAATGTTCCCTCTTGCAGCTGCCCTTCTCCACCGGTGTCTGCCCCATGGATAACAAACAGCAGTTTGTCTGTCCTGGAGAAAGCGGCAGGGGCGACAGTCGGATGACGCTCATGCACGGCACTGTCGCAAAATGTCGCAAAACTGATGGCTGTCATAATGAAACTATTTCTAAGATGCACATATGAGCATAATACACACACACGCACACAAATATATACACTGCACTGTGCAAAATAATATTATATGAAGGTGTACATTTTCAGAAGATGGATTATTATTTATTAAATCTAAAAAAAATACAATAAAACAATTGCGGTCAAATATAATTTGACTTTACACATGACTGCAATGGGTTTACTAGTGCACTAGTGCACTGTGCAGGAGAAACTGTCATATCGGAACCGATGTCGTAAGGAGGGTGTTTCTGGTAGGTGGTGTTACCAGTGTAGCACCATTGGTCCCATCTTGGTTTGAGCGAACAGAGGAGGAGAAACACCGTCCATATTACAGCTGCTTTGTCAGGTACCAAAATGCCGTTTACTGTCACTGGCAGTTCCCAGAAACATAGAAATGCGAATGAGTAAACTGTCATGTTTGAATTTATTTCAAAACAAAACCTTTAAACTCTTGAATATGCATTTAAAGATCGTTAGCGAAGAGCTAAAGTAGCTCTCGACTCTTGCTCTCGTTGCTAATGCTAACTTGGCTTGCAACTACTTAGCCCACCATTTGGTTGCGCATTTGAAATGCTTTTTTCTATTTAAAAATGACTAATCGTTAAAAAGCCTTCAACCAAAGCAGAGAAATGAGTGTTTGTATGTGAAGTGTTGAAAAAGGTCCTGTTTCTTTTCTTTTGCTAGCTCAGCGTTAACTGGAGACCTTCAGGGTTTTCAGGCCATTCCCAGCAAAACATTGAGTTTTATTCACCTGAGGCTAATTCTAAATGGAGCAATGATCGGCGGCAATCCAAGATGACCATCGTGTCTCATTGGTTTTTTAGTTTCTTTACGTGGCAGTCCATAATCAGGGCCTTAATCTGCCCGAATTAAGACCCTTAATGTATACTCAATATATGATTTCGTACAATTGTAAATCACTACGGTAGCGTTAGATAAGTATATCCAAAACAAATCTACATTTTAGTCCCCTGCATAAAGTTAAAACAGATGTATAATTTTGCATTAGTCACTCTTCGAATCTCTGACGTAGCACCTCCATACAGCGATGGACCCTCCTGGTGGGGGAGATGAGCGCCGGAGGCAAGCTGAGCGCCTGCGAAGAGAAGAGGCATATTATCACTTCATAAATGAATTGAGTGAAGATGAGTACCGCCTAATGAGGGACAGTAACCTGTTGGGTACTCCTGGTAAGGTCAAAACATTGTTTCTTACTTTTTGTGTGAAATATTATTAAAATTCTATGTGTGTTCAAAATTACTTTCCAGGGGAAGTCACAGCTGAGGAACTTAGGCAGCGTCTTGATGGAGCTAAAGAACGTGTATCGTCTCAACCTCCTCTCGAGCACCCTGCTCAAACTGCTGGTTCTGGAGACCAACAAGCTGTTAGCGACGTTGAGGAGAGATTGCCTAATGGACGTAGACAACCAGGTATAGAATTCTTTACCGCAAGAGGTTTCATATTGTTATCAGTATACTCAGAGTACTAATTTTGTAATTGCAGGAAATGCAGAACCAGGGGGAGAGCCATCAAATGGAGATTCATTATTGGAGTGGCTTAACACTTTCAGACGTACTGGAAATGCAACTCGCAGTGGACAGAGTGGCAATCAAACTTGGCGTGCTGTCAGTCGGACAAACCCTAACAGTGGAGAGTTTCGCTTTAGCTTGGAAATTAATATTAACCATGACCAGCCAGAGCCTGGGGAGCAGAATGACATATCTGATCATTCAGAACTACCAGTAACAACCCAGAACACCGCATCTATTCGCACTTCATCTGCCTTTTCTACCCATCGGCCTTCTCTAGCATCCAGGCCAGCCCCATATCCCACCCCACGTCCACCGCTTAGTAGGAGGGTGCATGCTCGTCGCACACGCAGCAACTCTACAGCACTGTCTACAGATTCAACAACCTTTATAACACCTGTACAAGTGCAATCCAGTGTTGGCAGGAGAGGCTCCACTTCACATTCTTTAGTATCTTTTGAGCCTGTCCCTTCACCCAATCTAGAGCAAACTGTGTCACAAGGCCAAACTGTAAATTCTGGATTTGAACATGAGCATGATAATGCAACATCCACTTTGGACTGTCCTATTGAGTCTCAAGATTCTGGATCCCAGGTACCACCTGTTGTACATGAAACGCGTGGAAGTCGGACTCGATCTCGCGCTCGAACACGAAGGGCTGTTGTTGGAAGCAGTGTCTCCACACGTATCTCCAGGCGAAGCCGTTCACCTTTGCAGCAAACATCTGTTTCCAATTCCAATTCCCCATCACTATATGGCGACAATAGATCCAACGTTCTTGCTCATCAAAGCAATTCAATGAATCCTGTTCCATTGGATTCAGGAGAAGAGCATGTACTGGAACCTATGACTGTATCAGAGCCAGTTGCAGAAATTGTGGAAAGAGAGGGCGAGTCTCCTCTTGTAGGCAACACATCAGTTAGACGACATCCAACAATAATGTTAGACTTGCAAGTAAGAAGAATTAGACCAGGAGAGAACCGAGATAGAGACAGCATTGCAAGCAGAACACGTTCTCGTGCTCGTGTTGCAGAAAACACTGTGACATTTGAAAGTGACAGTGGAGGTTTCAGACGTACTATTTCACGTTCTGAGCGGGCTGGGATTCGCACTTATGTGAGCACCATTCGCATTCCACTGAGACGGATTAGTGAGACTGGACTAGGTGAACCCAACTCCACTGCACTGCGGTCTATTCTGCGTCAGATAATGACTGGATTTGGGGAGCTGAGCTCATTAATGGAAACTGAAGCAGACTCTGAAAGTGTAGCACCTTCCCACACAGATGCTGCTGGTGTAAATGGCTCAGAGAGCCAACACTCAAGCGAAAGATCATCTAGTTTGACTGGGACAGTTGGGGCTGATCCGGAGAGACCCAGGCTGTCAGAAAATGAAGAGGAAGACGGTGACCAGCCCAGACTATCAGGAGGGGTAGTAAGTGCCACAGATGGAAGGGTCAGAGATACCAATAACCTTGTTGAGAATGGCACTTTACCCATTCTCCGTTTGGCACACTTCTTCCTCCTGAATGATGAAGAAGAAGATGAACACCCACGAGGCCTGACTAAAGAGCAAATTGACAATCTAGTCACACGCACTTATGGGCAGGCAAGCTTGGAAGGTGAGATGGGCCGTGCTTGCAGTGTCTGCATCAATGAGTATGCACAAGGAAACAAGCTGCGCCGCCTGCCATGCACTCATGAGTTTCACATCCATTGTATAGACCGCTGGCTCTCTGAGAACAACACCTGTCCCATATGTAGGCAGCCGATACTTGGAGTCCATCATGATTAATTTATTGTAATTGTGATTTGGCTCTAATGAGCAGACCCAAGTTTGCTTGCATGTGTATAATGCTTTTCATGTTACAGTTCTTTAACATTGTGTTAAAAGAGAGTGTGAAACTGAAGTATGAAAAAACGTATAATTGCAGAGAATTTACAAGTTTATTTTTTTAGATCTTCTCCCATGTGTTCTATTTTCCTTTTTTTGTGACCATTTGTATTGGCCACATTAATGGATTACATTGATGCTTAAGAAGCTCACATAGCTGCTGTTGAATAGCTTCATATTAACTCCAGTGTCTGAAATTTGTGATGTTCTAAATGCAACTGAATACCGCACCTCAAAATGTAGGCTGTAAATATTTATCTTAAATTATATATGGTATTGAATTAAATCAGGAAGTCATTGATTACGATCATTTTAAGACTCATCTCTATTTTTAAGTGTCACAACTTTTTTAGTATTTTATTTTCATTTATAGTATAAATTTAAGAAACAATAAAAGAAAACTATTACATTATTTATTTGAAACATGTTTTAATTTTTTTTCTCTTAATCTGTCCTGTAATTGCAATTCAGATTGCGATTGAGTCACTTTAAAATTGCACAATTTTATTAAATGCAGTTCACACCTGTAATCAGGAGATCCTGATGTATATAGATAATTTGTGCAATAAGGAGGAGAAACAGTATTGTCTGTGTTGCTTTTCACTGTTGTTTACACTGTATTGCTCAAATATAGTCGCCATCTAAACACATTTGAATTGAATATTCTTTTGACCTTTATTGTAATGTGTGTCTATATATATATATCTCATTGTTGCTCCATTGTTTCAAGTTTCGTTACAATTTGGTGACTCTTGGCCTTTTAACTTTATTATACAAATAGAAGACCCACAATTATTGAAAGCTAAAATGTAAGAGCCTGTAGTCATAACAGATCTACATATTTTGCATTTATATACTCAAGACATAAGGAATACGTTTTAGAACATTCCGGATGTACCCTCACGTTGGACTTCCGGTATTCGCCTTGACCGTAGCACTTTGGGCCGTGGTAGAAATACAGGATGAATGTGGAGAAAGTGCAGCGGTCACGTTCCGCTCTTGGAGCTGTGTCCACCGAGCTCCACAAGCCGTGAACATGCTTTTGCGCAGTCTTCCTTCTTTAGCTCCGCCTGACTCTTATTCACCCGCAAAATGTATTTTAATCGAAGAGGCAAGAAGATCCACACAGAGGGAGGTAAGCTAATCTAACGGTCATATGGGTCTTGATGAACCCTCAAGCAGATCTTCACCCTGACTGCATTGTCTTATATAACTTATTATGTTCAGCTAATGTTACATTTGCCTGTATTTTATCGGGTGGTGAAAACGTATTCATGCGCATGTAGCTAGTGTCTCCATAGAGACTGCGGCACCCATGTGCGAGCCTTCGTGTTTACCGCTGTTACCGTTATGTTTTGCTCACGAGCCGATCCGCACGAGCCGCTGTCACTCGCTCTCACATCAATTCAGGACTACGGACTTTAATAAATATCCGTATGCATGAACATACTTGTGTTAGTACGGTCACTGCAGACTACAAAATACAACAGTGATGTATATATATTCACCATATGAAACGTAATGTTTGATTTATCTCTGACCCGTCTGCCTTCATCAGCCTCTGTTTAATGTGGACGAAAGAACGAATGTCTCGTTCACCTTAAACCAGGTGCAGTGTTTGCCCTGTCACGTTATGCATTTGCCCAGAGTAGAGAGACCAGCGCTTCTTTTCCTGACTGGCACATGCACTATTGTGGATCTCTTTGTGTTTGAGTGGACACTGTGTGGTCTTTCGTAGTTTCCAGATATAGAAAGCTGGCACGGCACTTTGTGAACAACAGACAAGAAGACTGGTGTACGAACCAACGGAAGACACTTAATGTCACATCTTTGACCAAAAAGGCCCAGTTATTATGGCATGAACAGATTGCATTTACAAGATGGCACGTGGATGGAAAAAGATCCCTTGAATGGGATCATTCATCACACCAACTGAACCCACACTTCGACAGTTATAAATGCAACCCAGGGATTGTTCATAGTGTCGTCCCTGTAATCTCCTGTAGTCTGACCTCTTGATTAGAGAGCTGTCCCTACCCTTCCAATGACGTCTGCAAATGCCAATCTGTTGAATTTAGTGACATGCACTGCCCAGTGTTTACAATAATGTTTAATGTTTAATGTTTTGACATGTTATATTCAACAAATGTAACTCAACTCAATCACGTAAAAATAATTTGACAACTTCTAGACCATCCGTAATTATGTGGAAACATCTGTTGTGAAGAGATAACCGACTGTTTGTTGGCCTGGCTTGACTTCACGTTACAGAGTGATATTTTAAAGATAATGGGGAGACTAGATTATTACACATACAATGCTATTTCTGAGATGAACAGGAGGGGGCAATAATGATCTAGAAAAAAGGTTGGTATGTTATTTACATGAATCCATTATGAATGGACAACAACAGCTATGTGTTTGACATTGTTTGTTGTAGTGGTTGCCATTCATTGACATTTTATCTTATGTGTGTTTTCTCCTGTCATGGGATTTCTCATTACTCACAGAGCAGTTAGTGTTGACCACCATTAGACAGGAGTCTTCTGACCTGCAAGACCCAGACCTGGGTTCTACCATGTGTGCCCACTTCACAGAACGGTTTGACAAAAGTGAGTGTGCTCAAAGTGGACTGACCCCTCACCCCCATTGTGCGTGGAGTCCAAAGGTGCATGTAACTCTGCACTACAGAGTTAGAGCGCAGCTTTCAACCCCTGGCCCTCAAGAGCTACACCTAGGTCATTCCATGTTAGTCACTCTTTGCTCTTCAGGGTTTGGGGTGCTTGATGATACTTAGATCAATATCTCTGCATGTGCTTTCGGGAGGCTGTATAGAATCAGTAAAAACTAGCACCAGTGAGCACAATGACATACAGTATGCTTGCTGATGCATGTATATCTTTAGCATGGCTGAAATACAGGCTGCACGTGAGTTAAACCTTATTGGGGGAACAGGTGCATGTGGCCTTGCCTGTCATGTATGTAAAATGTATTAGAATTACAGAACAACTTACCTTTAAAGTATGCAGGATTATAGCTGTAGATTAGCAGCAGGTGAAGTTGCAGAACAAACATGGAGGGGATTACCATGTGCACGCTCTGGACTTGTAAGAGGCTTTCTCTCACTCACTTTGTAGGGCTCTTGTAAATGAACCCACTAGAACACGAGCATCTGGGTCAAACGGGACCTATACCCCCTGAACATGCAAGACCCATAGGTGACCTGGATAGTCATGGGACCAAAGGGTCACCCAGGCAGACGCAGCTCCGTTGGTAATGTTTTTACATCATTATCTAAACATAAATAGCCTGATGAAGATGTTGTTTATATTCTGACATAAGTTATGGTTTATGTATATCTATTTAGAATTAATATACAGTAAGTTTCTCTGCAAAATGTATCTCTTAAAAAAAGTTTTGTAAATGGCTTCATGTGCAAAGCAAACTTGTTTTAAACCCTGAGAAACGTGATCATCCTTTGAGTGAAAGTCTTTGGCTAAGTGCCAAACAGTGTGTGGAGGCCGGGCTCTGCCATACTGGAAAATGTAGATGAATTATGCATTGAGTCCCAATCCATTATTCACCTGACGAGTCTGCTTTTTAACAGTCAAAGTTCGACATGCATGCACCAAGGATACTTATACTTAAATTTGTTATATTCATTCTGATCAATGTGGGTACCTCCTAAGATCAGGGTGTTTGTCATGGAAGGATCAGGCCTGTGCGACTGTCATACTGTTCTTCTGAGGAGAGCTGACTCATCTTTAGAGTGCAGTACAATACACTCCAAAGCCCAGTAGACTTTTTAGAATTTAACCAAAAGCCTGTTTTAGTCAGGACTCAGGACATCAAATCTATTGATCAAACAACAGAGAGGACTGTTCTTATTCACTTTATTCAACATTATTTCACAAAAGTAACACTATCTTGTTCCTTTCCTCCTTTAGTTAGTGCGATCAAATGAGTTATGTTATGAAATTAGATTAATGCGATTCCAACTTAACTAGACTATATGGAATACTAAACAGAATGGGTGTCGAGGTCAGCAGCACAGTAAAGATGTGTTGGTTTGTAGTGTACTTCTGACCTTATCATTTCATTCAAACTTATCTACACTTAAATAGATCATTTACAATGAAGTAGGCAATTAAGTATAACATGCATCATATTTTATTGGTAGTATTTATTTATTTGAATGAGACTCTTACAGAACAGATGAATAGCCACGTTTGTAGATATTATTTAATATGATTAATATTTTTATGAGCAAAAACAGAGTCACCAGTCTACAAAAGTAAAACGATTTCTTCTCTTCTCAAAGGAGAGTGTCTCAGTGCAGAGAAAGATCTGTAGATCTGCATGAAACTGGCTGGAATACTCACCACCTGATCCTCTGCAGGTGGTGAGTCCACAGGAGGACTTTTCTATGCACACATCATAAATGAAAAAAAAACATACCACATTTAGTCTATTATGTCAAACCCACTATATGTGTAAACTCTTTAGTTGATCACATTCTGTTTCTACTGTAATATTGCACTTTTACAGGGTCTATCAGTCTTTGGAGCCCGGGCTGAAATCATTTAGTCACTAAATTCAGAGATTGCCTAGTGACGGCCTGATTACTGGTTTGGGGGACTTTGACCCTTTCTCACATTACACTGCACAGGTTTGGATGACAAGTCCGGAAGAAAAAAATCAAGTGCACGTTTGATTCAAGCCGTTTTACTATTAAGCTTGAAATCAATAATACAACTTTAGTTTCCATTTGAGCTGCAGTAGAATGAAAAAACATAATCGACATTTCATTTGCAAGAGCTGGATTATAAATATTGTACCTGCCACACGTGTGCCCAGTGTTTATGTTTCTGCAACACAAGTTGGACTGTCCGTGGGCCTGGCCCTTTAAAAAAACACTTCTCATACAAGGCACCCTCGCCTGGGTCTGTTGTACTAAATCAGAGGGAGGGGTGGCTCCCAAAGGCGCCAGAGACGCATCCCTGGTACGGGCAGCGAGCCATGACTGTGCGTAGCTTGGCGGCTTGCACCGTGCAGTGTGTGCTTGTACCTTTATCAAAGCCGGAGTAGTCGAAAGGTGTCCGTGGCGCACAGGCGTGTCTGTCCCATAGACCGTCTGTCCTCGCCCAGGTTCGTGGTGGAAGCAGCTGAGCAAACTTGAGCGTCATATAGATCCGTCTGCTTTAGCGTTTCCTTTGGGAACATATCTGTCTGTGGTCTCAAATCTTCTTCGCGAAGTTCCCAAGTGTTGATCATAATAGAGAAAACGTGGTGAATACAAAGCGAGGCGGATATTCGCACAATGTTCTACTAGTGTGGCCAATTGATACCTGTTTATTCATTGTGGTTGGCCCGTCACTGTGTATTTGTTCGCCATGATCCATCTATCAGCGGCTCCATTGTACAGGAGGTCCCGTGGGCGTCGCGAAACGAGCGTGTATGAAGTAACTGTACAGGAGTATAATATTACTTTTAGAGACTATAAGTATTGAATGTGCCCTTCTGGCTCTACTATCAAGGCTACCCACCAGTAGTTATTGGGCTTTGAACTGTAAACCACGTCTTTCGTCTATGTCCCTGTGTGCCCCTCTCTCTCTCTCTCTCTCTCTCTCTCTCTCTCTCTCTGTATATGTCTCTCTCTCTCTCTGTATATGTCTCTCGCTCACTCACTTAGCCTCGCCTCTCTCTCATCAATCCAACGGTGCAGGACCGGCGTGCTCGTCCTCCGGGTACCGCAAGGCAGATGATGAGATGTCCGGAACGACGTCTCAGGCGGATCCCGTAGACGCCACTGCGCGGACGGTGCTTCTCAACCGACCACAGACCACCAAGTTCTGCGACAACCACGTCAGGTGGGTAACTCTTGCATGCACCGTCTGCTTTTCTTTTATTTGATTGTTTCTCTTGTGCATAGAAATACTGTGTGGTGGAGCTTTAACTCTGTTTTCAATATATTAAAGTTTAATAGTTTAATTTTGATTCCCATAACTCCTTCCCAGAGTTTTACACACATGTAACAAAGTCATTACATGTCTGATATGCTCTCTAAAGAATCAGTAGACTTTGGACTTGGACTTTCTGCTTTTGTTCTCTCAGTTTAAACGTTCCCATTTCTGAAGGTTTTGACTTCTTCCACTGTTGTTGAAATTAAAGTTAAACAAATATATGATTATAACCATGCATATAAAACTTTGGATTCCGTTCTTAAGTTTTGTAATGTATCCTGTGACCAGTCCAGAGTCTTAGCTGTTTACATTTGTTTTATTGAAACATTTTACTGTTTTACTGACAATGCCATATGTGTATTTCTACCTAATTGCATGTAAGATTATTTATTGTAGTGTAGTACTTGTGCCATTTAGATTCTTATATTCTTTCTTATTCTTATAATGTGAGTAGTGTTTTTTGTATTTATTATGTCCTCCTGGGAACTCTCAAGTGAACCAAAGGTCTGAAATGGTTATCTATTATACACAAGGTCAGAGATGGCACTACCTACATGAAGTACATACTGTATTTGTATTGTTATTGTTAGGCATTAGAGTAAGAAACATTGTTAATACGCTGTCACTGTTAGATTTTCCATTCCTTGTTCTCTCACAGCCATTATTGAATTGCCTTATTTGCTGCAAGCAGATTAAATAATGTAAATTGATATTCTGTGGTTCACGGTTATTGTTAGGCAACTCGGTTTCACTTTTAAAAGGCATATTTCAATTTTGCTAATGTGATCAGAGTCGTTTCTCAGAGGCTCTGATTGGATGGTGTTTGCCAAGCGGCTTTCAGTGTTTGTGGATCGTGTATGTGTAACCTGTGGGACGTGCACTTTGGTGTCCCTGTGTTCCTGTAACTCCTCAGTTTATGTTTGAAAGGTTCAATAGCCTTATTGATTTTCTGAGATTAAAGCCTTGTAGCTTTTATCTGAATACTCTGCTCACTCCCCTGGTTCCCTGAATCCCCCACCCCTTTACAGTCTACAAATGGTACATTAGAGTGTTCTCAAAGCTCTCATCATCAATACCCAAAGCCATATTCCCTTTTCTTAAATAACACACGGGCTGTTATTGCTGTTGCCTCTTTTTTTTTAAACTATTTTTTCTACTTGGAGGTCTCAGCAGCATACTACCCCTGCAGCGGACAGCTGTTAATACATATATAGTCGGACTATAACAAGTAATGCACACTTTCATGAAAAGTCTTTTGGTAACACTGCCGTGAGATATCCTATGTCTGTGATTAGATAAAGACTGTTATCTGCGGAACCAAGAGTAAAGTTTCCTTGACTCTGACCCATCAAGATCATCCGTGCAGGAGGCTGCGTTTGTCTGACAACTCTGTATTTAATGTCTTTGCCTTTTCTTCTCATGTTGGTGTGAGTTAGAGAAGGATTATTACACTAAACAGTGTAATAATGTCACTACAATGTTTGATTGTTGCAATAAAAACAAAAAATCTGTCTGGCCATATTTTTAGCTGCGCTAAAAGCTATTACAGTTGCTGCCCACGACAACAAGGTTAATCAATGCAGGTGTTGGTTCAGTCGAGGTGATTGACGGACACAAGGTCACCAAGGTTTCTTTCAGAACCTAAATTTAGACAGAAAAAGTAAACCTACCTTTGAATAGCACTGATGTGTGTGCATTTGTCCTTTTTAAGTGCATTTAAGTGATTCTAATGGATTTTCAAGTGCAGCTAAATGGACACATTTATAAATCACATTAACTCGAAATCTCAAGGTTATAAGATCAATTATACATGCATAGTTTGTTATTTGTTAGTTGACTTTCTTCTTATACCTTTTTTGTAGCACCACCAAATATGGGATTCTCACCTTTCTGCCACGGTTTCTGTATGAACAGATCCGAAAAGCTGCTAACGCTTTCTTCCTCTTCATTGCACTTATGCAGGTAAACCTCATTGATTTCATTATGTGGACTATGTGGAGATTGAACCAGCTATCTGGGTAAATAATCATATTTATAAGGAGCACACAGGAAAATTATCCTTGTATCCAATATATAGCAATCTGGGGAAATCATATCTGGGAAATATCACAATAATTGTATCTCTGTGTATTGAGGAAAGTGTTGATGGTATGGCCCTACTTGTTATTGTTATACATCTAATAAGTATGCCAATTATATCCCCTGAAACCAAAAGCAGAAAACCCTAAAGAAGAACCCTATATGCTTAATTGCTATTGTGAGTCCTCATACATTAGTAACTGATCTGCCATTAGTAATGGTCCAGAAACCATTAAGCAATTACACTGTAGCTATCAGTCTTTGCAGTACTTTGTTTCTGAGTTGTGCCTTCTACCTGTCATTAGCAAATCCCGGACGTATCACCGACTGGACGTTATACCACCCTAGTCCCACTTATCTTCATACTCACAGTGGCTGGAATCAAAGAAATCATAGAGGATTATGTAAGTACCATACTTAATGTAGGAATGTTTATCGAATGCAATAAAATAACATGTTAACTAGTTGTCATTGTGATTTCAGAAAAGACATAAAGCAGACAACACAGTTAACAATAAGAAAACAACAGGTATGGGTCTTTGTATGAATTTGTTATGAGAAGCTTTTGTTGTAAATACTAATATTTACATAGTTTTTTGCTATGTTAACTAATCTGTCATAGTCCTGAAACCCATGGATAGAGCTGTGACCCCAAAAACAAAGTTTAGTATGAATACTGTATGAGGTTGACCGATGGCTATGTTCCTTTCTCTCAGTGCTGCGAAATGGAGCCTGGCAGACTATTATCTGGAAACAGGTAACATTACTCTCAGATATATTGCTCTTTCTTTTGCTGTTCTCTTTACCTGCCAGTCAGAAGTTTTGTTGTTTAGAAATTAAATAATTGACTTATTGTTGCCAGGTTTATTCTCTAACACTTTGGAATGGAAATTAATTGTATTACTTTTAGAGATTTAATACCATCATATTTTACCATACCATACCATCTTATTTTCTCCCAATTTTCATGGATTGTTTACTTTCCACTCTCTGCACTTCACGCCACAAGGTGGCAGTAGGAGACATGGTGAAGGTGACGAATGGCCAGCATCTGCCAGCTGACATGGTCATCATGTCATCCAGGTCAGTCTCTGTGTGGGAGTGTGTTTTAATGTGTCTTTTTTATGACTCCAGACATAATGCTTGCTTTGTGTCCTCAACAGTGAGCCTCAGGCTATGTGCTACATAGAAACTTCAAACTTGGATGGGGAGACTAACCTGAAGATCCGACAGGTATGCGTTTAGATTTTTTTTTTTACTCAGAAAATCCCATTGAGATTCAAAGATTTCTTTTTGAATGGTGTCCTGACCAGCAGGCATTAACACATTCACAATTGCTTGAATGTATGCTTCTAACATATCAAATCATATTTCCAGGGCCTCCCTCTCACCGCTAGTCTTCAGATTCTTGAGGATTTAGTTGCAGTATCGGGTCGATTAGAGTGTGAAGGTCCAAATCGACATTTGTATGACTTCTCTGGGCGATTGCAACTAGAAAACCAAAAGTAAGTTTTTGGAGGATATATAATTAACATGATTCACTTATTTCTCTGTCACTAATATTATTTATTCCCAAAGTCCAGCTCCACTGGGACCTGACCAGGTGTTACTTCGTGGAGCGCAGCTAAGAAACACACAATGGGTGGTAGGAATAGTGGTGTACACTGGTCATGACTCCAAACTAATGCAGGTTAGCCAACAATGTTATTACCTTTTGAGTATTGTATTGACAAGTGAAACATTATTTGCACTAATGTGTTTTGTTTGATTCCCAGAACTCTACCAAAGCCCCTCTAAAACGCTCCAATGTGGAGCGTGTAACCAACATGCAGATCTTGGTCCTCTTCGGCATCCTCCTGGTTATGGCTCTGATCAGCTCAATAGGAGCTGCCATCTGGAACAAAGAACACACTGAAGAATCCTGCTGGTACTTGTCCCGTGCAGGTAACAGCTTTAAACATTCACATTTTTGTTGTTTTCAGATTGTGAAATTTAACTTTTTTTCAGGCGACATCTCCACTAACTTTGCATATAATCTTCTGACTTTTATTATATTGTACAACAACTTGATCCCAATCAGTCTACTGGTAACTCTAGAAGTGGTTAAGTTTACACAGGCACTCTTTATCAATTGGGTATGTGTCTTTATAGAATTGAATGTAGATGAACGTCATACGATGTATTACAAATCTCCTTCCCTTTAGGATGTTGAAATGTACTATGCAGAAACTGATACACCCGCCATGGCACGGACATCCAATTTAAATGAGGAACTCGGCCAGGTATGTGTTCCTAATTAGAGTTTACACTTTTAATCTAAAGGGAATTAAACAATTATTTTGCAATATACATGTTATTTGTAGGTGAAATATCTATTTTCGGACAAGACTGGCACATTAACTTGCAATATAATGCACTTTAAAAAGTGTACTATTGCTGGAATCACATATGGGTAAGAGGCTCTTTCTATGATAATATTATCAGTAAAATAATCTTGGACTAAGAATTCTTCATTTAAACTCTTCTTAACACTTATTTCATTTTTTTAGTTAAGTGTAAACCAAATCCAGCATGTTTAACTATTTTAATCATGCATGTTTGTTTGATTGAACTAATCCTCTAATTGATTCTCTCTACGATGGGCACTTCCTTCATCTGCAGTCATTTCCCAGATCTTGAATGTGATCGGTCTATGGATGACTTTAGGTAAGAGATCTTCTTAACACTTAATTTTCCTTCTTTTCAGTTAGCTTTCACTCACATAACTAATGTGTGATATATATTTCATATTATTTGTTTATCTTTTGATCTTTTGATCTTCTGTTTTCATATTTTTAAACAGCAATTTACCGTCCAATACCAATAACTCTACTGAGTTTGATGATCCAGCTCTCATCCAAAACATAGAGAAGAATCATGTATTATTCACTTAATACAAACATTCAGTTCAAAGCTAATTCGATTTTCTGAAGCTCTGACTGTGTATTTATAGCCTACATCACCCCAAATCTGTGAATTCCTGACAATGATGGCAGTGTGCCATACTGTGGTTCCTGAAAGAGAAGATGACCAGCTCATCTACCAGTCGTCTTCTCCTGATGAAGGAGCCCTGGTGAAAGGAGCCAAAGGACTGGGCTTTGTCTTTACAGCCAGAACACCTCATTCTGTCATCATTGATGCAGTAAGTTATCTATCTCTTTTAGTATTTTTGGTCATTACAAAATGTAAATGTATTTCAGAGAGGAAAGGAGATGAGCTATGAGCTGCTAAATGTGTTGGAGTTTTCCAGGTAACCCAGACATAATTATTTGATATAATGCATACTGTATACTATTCCTAATTTGATGCTTTCTTTACAGTAACCGCAAACGGATGTCTGTGGTGGTCAGGACGCCCAGTGGGAAGCTACGCTTATACTGTAAAGGGGCTGTATGTCAAGATTGCTGCTGTATTTAATTAAAACCTACTGAGTTGGCACATTCAGATAAAATAATGATTTCCATATTGTATTTTCTAGGATAATGTCATATTTGAACGGCTTACAGAAGCATCTCAGTACAAAGATCTAACTCTTGTTCACTTGGAACAGTTTGCTACTGAAGGTATTTGTGAATCTCATTGCAAGTGTTGCACATGTATCTCTCTACAAAAATATTTTATTGTTGCTTTTTCTCTAGGTTTGAGAACATTGTGTTTTGCATATGTGGACCTAGAGGAAGAAGCCTATCAACAATGGCTAATAGAATACAATCAGGCCAGCACTGTTCTCAAGGACAGAGCACAGAAACTAGAAGAATGCTACGAACTCATAGAGAAGGTACTATACTGTATTTTTGTGTATGCTGTGTATTTGTGAAAGATTTGAGCATATCTATACGGTTTGAATCTTGTGTACTTAATCTGCAATGCTTTAATGAACTGTGCAGTTGTAGATCTCTTCCTCACTTGTGGCCTGTAGATGGCAGACTATTTCTGTTTATGCAGCATTGTAACATGTTCTCTGAAACAAATCAAGGGACTAAATGCAATACTGTAAATGAAATACAACTTTGGAAGAATTCTCCAAGGTTGAACCATGTAAAATGTATTATATTATATGATGGAGACTATAGAAAAAAAACAATGAAAGGAAAAAGAGGAAGCAAGGGGTGGAGGGTAGCTTAGACTGGGAAACCACAAGGATAATTACCTGCGCCCGCCTGCCAAAAGCCCCATAAAACTTGAGTCAACAACACAGGAGTGTTACCTTGTGTATTTGTGTCTGTCTAATGAGGGCACACATAGATTAAAATGCTCAACAAATTACAGTGAGAGTAATGGGTTACTTTTTGGCAAGTAGACACTGAATGTGCCCTTTAAGCTTACTTTCTGTCACTGACATCGACCCTGTCCTGAAAATGGAAAGATAGAATATGATTATTTTGACAATGTTTAAATACAGCCCTTTATTTACTATGGTTTGTTTTTAACACACACAAGTTTGAACCGAATTGTCTCTCTGATCAGAATTTAGTGCTGCTGGGTGCCACAGCCATAGAAGACCGTCTTCAGGCTGGTGTGCCAGAGACTATTGCCACTCTGATGCGAGCTGACATCAAGATCTGGGTCCTGACTGGAGACAAACAGGAAACTGCTATCAACATTGGTGAGAACCAAAAGTGTATATTATGTTAGCTGTGAAATTCCATTCCAAATTCCTTTGTGCTGGTACAGCCATACCGAAGATACATACAATATTGTGAATAGTAGTTAAATAAGCCATTTTTTACTCATTTACTTTGCACAAACTTGAATAGCATAATGCAAATGTACTTAAGTATGAATATACAATAAAGGAAAGACTGTTCACGTTCTCACTGTTTCTCAGGTTACTCCTGTCGCCTGGTAACACATGGCATGTCCCTCATCATCGTCAATGAGGACTCTCTGGATGTGAGTATTTAAAACTCAAAGAGACTGTCTGTGAGGGTATCTGCCAGGTTACCGTGGGAACCAGGGTGTGGCATTGACAGAAAGTGGTGGGTGGGGCTCTTTTGTTCTCGTTCAGGTGGAAGCAATTAAAGTCTCTGGTGTCCACTTTAAGAAAAAAGAATATTAAGAATGTCCTGTGTAATTGTAATCAAATCAGCTTATTTTTATACAGCAGCAGTTGTCTCGAAAGGCTTCACAATTTTGCAAAAAGTAGATTAGAAAATCAGCATTGGTCAAAAAGACAAACAAACAGATGACCGGTCTAGCTATTGGTGACACGATGCAAGCAAATGTCCCTTCATCAAGGAAAAACTTCAAAACACGATAAATGACTACAGTCTGTATATTATTGTCTTAACAGTTTTGATACTACATAATAACAAACATACAACTTTTAAACTTAATCTCAATCTTTAAATTAGTTTAGTGTCCAAACTGCCTTTTTTCCTATTGCGCACAGAATGTCCTAAATATTTTTGGAACACTTAAAATTAGATTTAAATGCCTCCTGTTTATTCTGTGTTCTTGGTATATCATGTCACTGCTGAACATAAACAATACCAGAAGTCATGGGCAATAATTGCACCTCAGAGTTTCCGGAGTCTGTTAATTAAGTATCAATCTAAATGGTTGATTTGGCATCAATGATACTGTTGGGAAGGTTCAATCAAGGATCTAAGTTTACCATAAAGGATATTTGAAGGGTTGAAGGTTGAACTTTTGTTTAAGTTTACTGTGTGCTGTAATGTACTCATAAACCACTTTCCTTGTTTTTATCACATTTGCTTCTATTATTGCACAGAAAGTGTTGAAATATATCTGATTTTGACAGAACATGACTGTGACTAGTTCTGTCCAGTGATAAATATCACAAATACACCACATGGACTGTCTTGGAGTAATTTTTAATGGTCTGGCCAGTGTCAGCTTTCATATTCTCTAGTCAATACATTCCATTTTGAATTTGAGCTAAAAATCAATTTTTGCACAAAGACACTGCTCAGTAATGGCAAATGTCCGTTCTGCAAAAATCAATTTTTGCACAAAGACACTGCTCAGTAATGGCAAATGTCCGTTCTGCTGATGTGCCTTAACCTTGTTGTATATAATGCTTTTTCCAAATCTAGAAAGATTGTTGTCAAGCTGGATATGGCCTCAATAGATTCCTACTCACTGATTTCTGATGTTGTAGAAGCGTGCTCATAGTAGCTCATGCTGGTCACTTCTACCACCCATGGCATGTTTTCTGTGAAAACTTTATCTCTCCTCTCACTTAAAATGTCTTGCACTGCGCCAATTTTCATGACACTTCAAACTAAGTGTTGCCTTTCATATGACTGTAAACAGAAGCTGCTTATCAGAGCCTCACCCCTCCCTCACCCCTGGGCCCCATTAAAAAGAAGCCCACCTCTGCGCCTCTGTCTCTTGACCCTGTTGTCAGTGCAAAGATTTTTTTTTTCTATTAGTGATGTTGGTTTTACGGCAGCTGTGCACCTGTCTCTGCAATGGCACATTCTTGCTTTGCGCCGTCTTCAATACTACCTCCAATCTGTCAGCCTTCGGGGCACCAGGAAAAAAAAAAGCCACTCCACGGCCTTGGTGCGTTGCGAGGAAAGCGCGTAAGATTTGTCCCTCGAGTCTGCTCCCTCTGAGATAGTGTTTATTGTACTCCATGTTTGAGATAGACAATCTGGAAGAGGGGATGGGGCGGGGGTTGTCTTGGTGTGTGATGCGGGAGATGTAAGAGTCTCCTTTTGGGTCTCAGGATCGTCATAAAAGGCGTTGTGAGTTTGCCTCCTGGGGTAAACGGTTTGCACTCTAGTTGTTGGAAAGCAGATCTGTCACCTTGAGACCGCACCTCACACAGACGCGTACAAATCGTTCACTGGTCTCGGTGTGTCTACTCAACACTGATGGACTCACAGGACTGGTCCTCTTACGGGACCTATTATTAGGGTTCCATTGGTGATGATTTGTGTTATATTTTTTTATTTTTTGTAGTGTGCATGAAGGTATGTTATTATGACATCTAAAATACATTCAAAGGGAAATGCGTTGTGGCCATATCAAGATCATATCTAAAGTTTATTACTATTAGCAACTATACCAAATTAATTGGACTGCTAAACCTTTTATATGTGTGCTCAGCTCTGGTACTTTTTTGTCCAAAGAATGTAGAGGATTTGTGGGGGGGGGGAGGGGGGGTGGGGGGGGGGGGGGGGGGGGGAGTTTACACAGATGCACAGCGAGATAATTAAACGCCAAATTAAACCTCAGTGGTGACAGAATCTGCACTTGAGATATGTGCCTTTCTCACTCCCCAGTTGTTTCTTTGCTCCACTGTTTCATACAGTAATCATGCGACTAACTTAAATGTTGTCTGGAATGCATATCCATTGACTTTTATCTTGCATGCCATGTTTCCATGTGGCTTTGAGATTGATTGTGCTTCTGCATTTCACGGTGGGGTATGCAGCCACTGACCTGAGATTTCTCACACTGCCATCCATGCCCTCCCCATTTTCTTATCCAAAAATAAAGCTGATAAAATCCCAGTCACAAAGTCTCTGTAACTACAAGTAACATGATTGAGTGGACTATTTCATCTTAACACACTCATGAAGCAGGCCACCAAAAAATGCTTTAATTAAAAGAGTGCAGTTAAAGTATAGAGCTAAAATATATAAATAACTATGATTTCATTAGATTAAAATTTGTACCTAACTTTCAAACAAAAGATGGAACAATGTCATAAAATCCATGTAACTCATTCCTAGCGTTAGACATTAGATCTTTAAATCAGCTTTTTCATACAAAAAATCAGACCACCCTCACTAAGCCAATCAGCTCTTTTAAGCCCCATCCATAGTGAATTTACCTGATTATTATCCCTGTCACCAAGGATTAGAGATCTGGACCTGCTGTGTCAGGTCACTTGTGATAAGTACACCTTGCTGTATATAAGCCAGCCAGTTTGGGACAAACAGTCATTTAAGTAAGAACTATACCACCTCAATGATTTTACACAATAACTTAACGTTTTGGAATTATTGTCTCTTTGCTCCTTGAAGCCATCGGTCTATAGTATTATAACACAGTATATAGCAGGTTTTTTTGACTATAGAAGCCAACAAAGTTTTAAATATGTTCATTTCCTGGGTTGCAATGGTCTGTAGAAAAAACAATCCCCACATTAATGAACAAAGCCCAATATCCTTGGTAATTGTATTTTTTTAAATTAGTCTGACTTTTCATCTTCGTTCAACTCGGCAACATCTGAGGTCCTATTTGCATTCTTTCTGTTTGTGTTTTCTTTGCCCTGTTTTGGGGAAAAGGTGAATGCAAACAGGAATTCCAGTGCACAAAGAAAAACACACTGCCTCGGGCTGGGAAAATAAGCACAAGCTTTTCAGAAGAGGAGGAACGCTGCAGAGGCCATAATGCCACAGGTTATGTGGTGCGTGTCCTGCATGTGCTCTGAAGTCTGCTGAATCATAGGAGAAGAGCCACAACAATGTCATATTTGGGGCTCTGCCTGAAATCTTTATTTGCACAAAGTCCTAATACCAGCAGGACATCTTTGGAGGCTTGATTGATGTGTCTGCTTCTCCACCTGGATTTCATTTAAACTTATTCAGATGTTTTTATTCTTTAAATTGTTATTCTTGTTCACTTGATAAACCAAGATTAACCAAAAAAGGAATGTCAATTATTTCCGCAAAATCTGATTCCCGTGTCTTCCTTTCCTGCTTCTATAGACGTTTGCTTTGCGAGAAAACATAATGCAGCATGTGCAGATGGTCTAAGACGCGAGGGTTTTATTGTGGCTTTTGTATTATTGAATTGTGTACACAGGGAGCAAAATACCTATAACGCGGATTGAAAGCAGTGAAATAAGTATTCTCAGTGCAGTTTTGACCTTTTTACAAATTCGGGAGTGTTATGATGTCTAATTTCTTGTACAAATCAGAGTCAGATTAATTTATTTTGCTGTGAAACCACATTGGAATTTATTTGCAAAATTGACAAACATTCATACCTCGCGCACATGTGTCTGGTCGTGCCAAAGGAGCTGTAATAAGCCAATATTTCATTCTGACGGGATACACATTAATATAATGCTGTTTACATTCCACAGCCAAGCCTCGAGCCACCTGACTACTCACATGTTCATCACTTGGAGACTCTCTAAGGAAAGAAAATGAGCTGGCATTGATCATTGATGGTCAAACCCTAAAATACGCACTGTCGTTTGAGCTGCGACAAAACTTTCTTGACCTGGCTCTGTCCTGCAAAGCTGTCATCTGCTGCAGGTAAGGACTGTTTAGATGTCCAAGCCATGTATGGATACTGCTTATTGATTGACTGCGGAACCTTCCGCAGTCAACCATTGGTTTTGTATTTCTTTATTCCGTCATTTTTTTTGACACGTTTCACAGCTTTCACATTTTCAACAATTTCCACAAGTTATACATCAAAACGTTCCACATGTTTGGGAGATTATTGCTATTACTTTTGGGACTTCAGCGATTTCCGGTTTTTCCGCAATCGGACAAAAATCTGCATTGAGAATTCTGCAATGCATTTTAATAGGCCCATGCATTTTAATAGGACTTCAGCTCTTTCAGACATTTCTACAGTTTCAATGATTCAACAGTTTCAAGGATTCAACAGTTTCAAGGATTTCAGCAGTTTCAAGATTTCAAGAGTTTCAAGGACTTCAACAGTTTCAAGGACTTCAGCAGTTTCAAGGACTTCAGCAGTTTCAAGGACTTCAGCAGTTTCAAGGACTTCAGTGTAATCATGCAACCTAATAGGGATTTTTCCATGTAAACCAGTATAATGCAACTTAATAGGGATTTTTCCATGTAAACCAGTATAATGCAACTTAATAGGGTTTTTTCATGTAAACCAGTATAATGCAACTTAATAGGGTTTTTTTTTTCATGTAAACCAGTATAATGCAACTTAATGGGGATTTTTCCATGTAAACCAGTATAATGCAACTTAATAGGGGTTTTTACATGTAAACCAGTATAATGCAACTTAATAGGGTTTTTTCCATGTAAACCAGTATAATGCAACTTAATAGGGTTTTTTCCATGTAAACCAGTACAATGCAACTTAATAGGGATTTTTCCATGTAAACCAGTATAATGCAACTTAATGGGGATTTTTCCATGTAAACCAGTATAATGCAACTTAATGGGGATTTTTCCATGTAAACCAGTACAATGCAACTTAATAGGGATTTTTCCATGTAAACCAGTATAATGCAACTTAATAGGGATTTTTCCATGTAAACCAGTATAATGCAACTTAATGGGGATTTTTCCATGTAAACCAGTATTATGCAACTTAATAGGGATTTTTCCATGTAAACCAGTATAATGCAACTTAATAGGGTTTTTTTCATGTAAACCAGTATAATGCAACTTAATAGGGTTTTTACATGTAAACCAGTATAATGGAACTTAATAGGGGTTTTTACATGTAAACCAGTATAATGGAACTTAATAGGGGTTTTTACATGTAAACCAGTATAATGCAACTTAATAAGGATTTTTACATGTAAACCACTATAATGTAACCTAATAGGGGTTTTTACATGTAAACCAGTATAAAGCAACTTAATAGGGATTTGTACATGTAAACCAGTATAATGCAACCTAATAGGGATTTTTCCATGTAAACCAGTATAATGCAACTTAATAGGGATTTTTCCATGTAAACCAGTATAATGCAACTTAATAGGGATTTTTCCATGTAAACCAGTATAATGCAACTTAATAGGGATTTTTCCATGTAAACCAGTATAATGCAACTTAATAGGGATTTTTCCATGTAAACCAGTATAATGCAACTTAATAGGGATTTTTCCATGTAAACCAGTATAATGCAACTTAATAGGGGTTTTTACATGTAAACCAGTATAATGCAACTTAATAGGGTTTTTTTCATGTAAACCAGTATAATGCAACTTAATAGGGATTTTTCCATGTAAACCAGTACAATGCAACTTAATAGGGATTTTTCCATGTAAACCAGTATAATGCAACTTAATAGGGTTTTTTCATGTAAACCAGTATAATGCAACTTAATAGGGATTTTTCCATGTAAACCAGTATAATGCAACTTAATAGGGTTTTTTACATGTAAACCAGTATAATGCAACTTAATGGGGATTTTTCCATGTAAACCAGTATAAAGGATAACAGTTTAAAGGATATCAGGAGCTTCAAATACTTCAGGAGTTTCAAAGATGTTTAAAGTATTTTAACAGTTTCAAGGATTTCAAGGATTTTTCAGCTAAATTCCACATTAGATCTGTTCCGCAGTCAATCGCAATGGCTTCAGCCATTGCAAGTTTCTAGTTTATAGTATCTTGCTGAGCTGCTCTTTGCTTGGTTGTGGGCACTAACATCCACATAGTTTAGGTATACTGGATTTCTCACTAAAACAAACTCACTGCTGTCACTAAAATGTTAATGACATGTTTCCTTTTTTGGTTTTTGTGGAGTGTAGCAAAGTTTTTCCATGTTTCTTCACTTTGAGATGAAAGGGGTCTGTGTGAACATGTTGGTGGCACTGGGGCCAAAGTTAAACATCTGCTAATACACATGCTTTTGATATTCATTGAAAATGATGTAGCTCATCTGTCAGATGTAGCCCAAGTTTATCATCACAGCAAACCTGACAACTCAGGACCATAAACCAGTGGTCCTGAATTGTAAAGGTGGCATAGGAACCCATAAAAAATACCAAGTGCAAATACTGAGTAATCTTTTGTGCTTAATTTTTTTCTTTCAACACTTTTCATTTATGAGTGGGAAAACCCCAACCTAGAGATTTAGGCAGTGAGTGTGTGCTTTTAGGGGCCCATAGTGTGACCAACTCCTGTTGGTAATGAGCTGTGTTGCCTTTAAAGTACTGAGGTGCTGGTGACATAATGCCACTGCAGTGCTTCCTGGATACGTACACTAGTACGCTTGGCCTCCCAACTTCACTTACTGTTGGTTTATAGCACGAGCAGGACTTGCTTATTTTTTGTTCAGGTCCACTATAAAGTGCACTTTCATCTCTTAAGCAAGGCAGAGAATACATCCTGGGAATATAGAGCCGAAGAGATGAAGAGAGATTTGTGGTTCAGATGCTTAAGGACGCACACTTCAGACAGAAAGGGGGAAACAAAGAGTAGAGGTTGATCCCATCATTTATCTGTGATTACAGAGGCAATGTCTGAGCTTTTCCTGAGTACATCCTGTGTGTGTTCCAGCCACATATGTAAATGTGAAGCAGTGCTGTTTTTATCTTCCATGGACAAACTCTGCTCTTGTGTGTGGACATTTGCACAAATACTGTTGTTCATTGTTTCCATGAGTTCAGTTTATCAAAGAAACATTTTAATCTGGATGCATGTGGTTTGTCATGCAGCTGCATATAATTTAATATTGTCATAATTTTATCAACTCACTAACAGCAAACTGGGTGATGATATCATTTTCAACATGTTGTTGAAGCAGCCTTTGTAAAAAGGAGCTTGAACTTCCTCATACCCATGAAGAGAAGTTGTGCTTATGTACGGTACAAAGTATCTACCACCTGTTGCTAGTCTTAAACTGTGGGAAATGTGGCTTTCTTTGTTGGACAAATCCTATCTTGGTGTCAGTTTTCCCTATTTGCTGCATGCTTTCACTGTACTGTTCTATTCTTGGTTGTAATCTGCGTGAGGGGGTGGGTTAGCATTCAGGTGCACAGCGTGCACAATTTTTTTATTTAAAAAAAAGGGTCCATTTGAGAAATGTCCCATGTCCAGAACATAAACAGTATAATGTGGGGTCTTTATTATTTTACTATCCATCACAAAATATTATTTCACTCATTCTTTTGCAACAACAACACATTTATCTAGATGAGAGCGTAAAATGAGAACTACATTTTAAAACCTCCCACATCTTCTAGTATAGCACAATAAAATGAAAGTGTATCCAGAGACTTGGGGGTGAACACGTCACTGCACTGTGTGCTGGTCCTGAGGGGAGGGTCTGTAATGGAGCTCTGGAGGGTTCCTCATTGTCAGTACAGGGACAGAACCGGTTCCTGAGACTGGATCAGAGATACAGGTCAAGTGGGTGGAGTACCTCTGGAAGCTCCCTAAACGCACACATCGGCTGGAGGCAAACGTGGAAGCACTGAACTCATAAAAGCGCACATATCAAACATCAAACAAAGGCTACCCAGAGTCTTATTAGCCGAACAGTGAATCATTGTTTCCCATCGCTGGTAAAAGTTTGAGCCCATTCCTCTGGTTCACCTTTTACTGGTCCCAGGGTTCATTTGTTACTCTGTACAAACACATTGAGCCCCCTTTTCACCAACTGTTATCCGTTTAACGGATTAGTGAAAAATAAGGATATTTGTCTATTTAATCATCTGGTCTATTTGTCTGGTTTAATCCTCTCGTTTCCGTAGCACCGACAAATGTATCTGTAATAAATGTGATTTGCTTTTATCATCAACTTATTTTAGTCAGAATGGGCCTGTCATAGACATAATGTTGCTACATAAACTATTGCACTAAACGATCATTTTGAAATTCGTTGTGCCACTGGTGAGAGTTTCTTTAACATTAAGAGTCATAACTGTAGAATAAGCGATAAATAACCAAACAAATACATTATTTGGCTGGAATTGTATCACATGTTCTCACGCTTTATTATTTGAGGAAACTTGCTTAATTCAACATTCTATTATGCAATCCCTTACTGTTAGTGGATTAGAACAGGATTAAGTCACATAAAAGGATTTGTATATTTTTTTAAATGGTGTAAACAAAACCCTCCTCTGTTGCCTTCAGAGTGTCACCACTGCAGAAGTCTGAAATCGTGGATATGGTGAAGAAACATGTGAAAGCCATCACGTTGGCGATAGGCGACGGTGCAAACGACGTGGGCATGATCCAGACGGCTCACGTGGGAGTGGGCATCAGCGGCAACGAGGGCATGCAGGCCACAAACTCCTCGGACTACTCTATCGCACAGGTGCAGCACAGACACGGCCCCTTTGATCCATGCAGCAAGAAGGTCACACAAATAAACATGCCACAGGCTTCACATACTTACATAATGGAGGGATGTTCGGCTCAAGTCCTCATGTCAGCACTGTCTATAATTTATCTTATAGTTCAAAGAAAAGTAACAACTGTAAATGCATTGAAGTGTTACATGTCCTGGCATCTGCGTATAGATTATATTGAAACGTTGCTTACTTACTGTGTACAATTATAGACATTCAATAGTCGTATGAGTTAAAAAGGGTTATTGTGTCAACAACAGGGAAAAAACATACAATTTTCAACACTCTTTCCAAGTGTTTCTTATATGGATTCTAAAACAGACAGCTGGATTTTTTTTTCTAGTTTGAAATTGGTCACTGATTCAGGTATAATAAAAGTCATCTATCAAAAGTTGCGTTATCCACAAGGTCACTCCACAACCGTTTTTAGCTTTGGCTGCTCTTCTATTTTTGCTGAAATCACAAAGAACCGGCGCTAGTGGCTCACCTGCTAAATGCACAGGGTGGGCGATCATTCTACTGCATTATGGATGTATTATGAGTTTGAGTACGACAAAAGGGGACTCATGATTGGCAGTGAGGTCGTGAGTTACACCAAATATTGGCATACTCATTACACTTTATTTGGGTTATTGTGAGGGTATGAAAATCTCCATAAATTCCTTTAAGTAGCTCTCTGAGTCACTATTCTTACCGTACTAGCTGCAGTGTTGTTACAGTCCATTATCTTATCTTGTCTCCTCTGCTTTGCCTTCACTTTCCCACTAGATGTCATATTCTTTGTGGCTTATCTCTACATTTTTAGGCTACATTCTCCACTCCATCATTTTAAACATTATATTTTCTACAATGATGAAAGTCACATTTTATCACTATATGTTCTTTGCATTTGTTTTACAGTTTTCCTATTTGGAAAAGCTGCTGCTCGTACATGGAGCATGGAGCTACAACCGGGTCACCAAGTGCATCCTCTACTGTTTCTATAAGAATGTGGTCCTCTATATTATCGAGGTATGGCGCTCCCTTTAATGCGCCCGCTTGCATACACACACACTTACATTAGCAGAGACATTTTGCAGCTGTTTGTCGGTGTGGTTGACAGTGATGGACTATGTGCCCTTGTGGTGTCTGCTTTCGGTCTCTCCTGCATTCAGAGAGTGTTTAGATCAGCCGTGATGAAACTACAGGCTCCAGGGTTGGCAGATCTGTGTGTGTGTGTTGTGAAAGGGCACACCACAGCCTTGGCCTCCCTGTTTTTGGGGGGTGTTAGTCAGCTGCGCACACCCCCTCCGTGGCCTGTCTGACTTTAAGGATGCCAGCAGGTGCAGGTCCATGCGGGAGTCCCTGGTCACGTACTACTGTCCCGGTCATGCCACCCCCTCCCTGTCTGTCGGCATTAAAACTGCTTCACCGATTATCTCACATGATTGGCCCCTGCAAAGCTCAGTGTCAAAGGTTATAGACCGTCTCTGTCCACTTTTTGTAGACCCAAAATGGGGGCTGGGTGGTTATTCAGTATCTGACCTCACCCTGGAGCTGTATCTTTCACTGTATGCTCCTGGAATGTCTTACCAACACCCACCCAAAACATTTCCTCTATCTGTTGTCCCATCAGCACACTATGAGTAGGAGAGAACTAATGAAGGCTCCCCAAGGCTCGCCTAGCATTTAGACACATTGTTTTGGTGGATTAAGCTCTGTAAAGTCACTATGTGGTTCCAGAAGTGAGAACAAAACATGCTAGGAATGCATTAAAAACTTAAGTGCCACAAGCTGTACGGAAGTAGAGTAAAAGAGTTATTTCAAACAGTTTTAAAGCATCTCTCAGCACACATTCAATTGCATTTGAATAGGCCACAACGTGATATAAAACTGTCTTCTCTTCTCCCCTACACGTCCCTAAGGCAGTTTAAGCTGCACTATTGTTAGTTTCATCCCCTCTGAACACTGTCTTTCTCTTTTAGCTCTGGTTTGCCTTTGTGAATGGGTTCTCCGGCCAGATCTTGTTTGAACGCTGGTGTATAGGCCTCTATAATGTGGTAAGTATAGACCCCTGACTCTATTTAAAAAAATGACGAGTTATTATTACTATATATATATTAATAATTTTATATAGACTTGAAATGTATTCACTGTACCAGAGGTCAAGAATCTATGGCTCAGGAGCCAGATGTGGCTCTTTTGATGATTGTGTCTGGCTCTCAGACAAATCTTAGTAGGCCTTAATAGAAAGATTGGATTTCTGTGGTACAAACATTCTGAAAAAAACGTGTATGGCTCCCACAGAAAAACATTTTAAAGTATGAGACTTTTTTGGCTCTCTCGTGTCTGGGAGGTTTTCCCCCGAGTACTCCGGTTTCCCCCACATTAAGGAAAAATCCTCTATCGAAGGATGAGCATTGACATCTGGAGATGCTCCTGATATGTTGCCCGAGTGGCATTGGAAGGATGGGTCAAATGCAGAAGGCAAATTTTTCTATGTGCTAACAAAGAATATCTTACTGTGTTTCTGCAATTTTGATATCTACTGAAATAGTAGGAAGCTGATACTAATCTTGCTTGATTAATAATATGTAGTTTTTATACTTTCTGTTTAATGCATGTCTTTTTTTGCCTTGATTAGATTTTTACTGCACTACCCCCATTCACACTGGGGATATATGACCGGCCCTGCAGTCAGCAAAACATGCTCCGGTTTCCTCAGCTCTACAGAATTACCCAGAATGCAGAGGGTTTCAACACCAAGGTACACGCCGCCATATTGAAGCCCTATATTACTTGCTTTGCCTTGTGGGTTGTCTGTGGGTTTGATGAGTGATGCCCGCTGTTTATTTGGTTCACCCTCGAGTAAACAGCAGGGGAATGGGGACTGAGCCGTTTCTATGGCAATATTTATGAGATTCATAGGCCCAGTATAAGGAAGTCATTCATTTCTCACCAACAACCTGTACAGCACATTTGGTGTAATAATTCTGTGTGCTGTAAACGGAATATTAATGTGTGTGAACTTTTTATAGAAGGTGAGCGCGTCTCCAATAAGCTCCAATATTCCTCCTTTTTGTGTTTTTAGGTGTTCTGGGGGCACTGTATCAATGCACTGATCCATTCAATCATTCTTTTCTGGTTTCCTCTCAAGATGTTAGAACATGGTGAGTGCAATTTTCTCCTCTTTTCAATCAAAATTATGGAAAAAAAAAACGATTATAAGACAAAAAAGTTTTCAATAATATCAATATTTTGTGTTCTGCATAGACTCTCCATTTCCAAATGGGCAAGGAAATGATTACCTGTTTGTTGGAAATATGGTGTACACAGTAAGTACTTTTTATTAGAGTTTGTAGTGATATTTTTAGTGCTGTTGGCCTCAGTCGATTGGTGTGTTTGTTGATACATATTTTCTCCCTACTTTCATTTACATTTGAAAGATTTATTTCAGGCAGTGGAAAATTGCAGAAAGGAGATTTTTTTTAAATACAAGACTCCTGTCAGAAATATATCTACACACTGAGCGACACAGCCTTGCGTATTACTCAGCACATAACTCAACATATAACCCGCCTCGTGGTAGTTCCAGCGATCAGGTCCACAAGAACACAACTCCTGACGGGCTGTACTCGTTGCATTGAACGATGGGTCTAAAGCAGAGGACAAATTTCCCTACTGGGACAGTAAAGTACACCTATTATTACTAGTCCACTGTTTTCCTTCTAAGACGGTAGCTTCTCAGGTCAGAGAAGGATAATTATCCATGGTTAAAAGTGGTTTGCTGAGAGAAAAACGTTTAGAATTAGTGGACTAATCAATTGACTTCGCATATTTTAGTCGACCAAGACTTTCTTTAGCAGCCAGAGCTATTTTTGTGTGAAAATTCTTTCCGATAATATTTCCCACGCACTAATTATTTTTCTGCTCTTGACAGCGCATCGGGTCTCCAGTCAATCTTTTTGTGTCTAGCCACTCTGTCTCCTTTTTCCGCTAATCTAGTTTATTTCTATTCTCTTGCTGCATCTCCCTCTTTACTATCATTTTACTTTCTACGGTCTAATGAGCCTTTCTTTGGTATTTATTTGTTTGCAGTGTGTGTGGGGTGCAGAGTATCGTAACAGTCATTGCAGAGTTTACAGTATAACATTAATGTTTATTATCTCCACAGTTGCCAGAGAACTAATCGCATTTTCTGTCTTATTTACTTCCTTGTGTTTATGCAGTACGTGGTCGTAACCGTGTGTCTAAAAGCTGGGATGGAGACCACCGCATGGACCAGGGTACCAGCAGTCACACACTTTCATGTTAATCAACATGTTTTCTTTCTTCTACAATACTTACGTACAACAAGAGGGTTCATACTGTAGTTAACTGGACTTCAATCTGTTTGTGAAAGTTTTCCTTTAACTTTGACTGTGGGACATTTTAGGAACGTGTGTATGGGACTTTCTGAGGAGTGTTTTCTTTCAGCAGAACACTTTCTCTGAAGGCTTTTCTGACCAGTCCATCTGTCTATAATGCAAGGAATCTCTGGCTTGAGTGCTTATCTTGCTGATGGATTGTCTAAGGTCCCCGAGTTCTCATGTATGGCTTGGTGGATTTGAACATGGTTCATAAATATGGGGGCTCACAGCAGCCGTATGTCCAAACGGACAAATATCAGGTTTACATATTAAGTCTATGGTGAGGCGGATCTGCCCGCCGCTGCCGCCGAGTTTCATATTCAAAAGTGACAGCCACAATTCGTCATGTTCATGGACCTTAAACTCACCTTTTTTTACTCAATACATACACTTACAAAATGTAGTGACATTTGTGACACCAACAAAATCCTCTTAAGTTAGTGTCACAGTCATGAATGCTGAGCTTTTCAGCCATAATGAGACTCACACGATAATTTCAGAGATATAGAGCAGGTAAATCACTGTCACTGGTGAATAAGAGATTGGGCGGATGGTGCTGACATCTTTGTCCGTTCAGCTGTCTACACAACTGCCTGTCTATAATGAAGCAGGGTCCTGGGAATTCACACAGTGTCCCCTTACAGCAGATCAGAGTAAAGGACCATGAGAGAAGGCAAAGATCTATATCCATATTGGGATGTGCTTTAAGTGAACTTTTTGACCTAACGCAAAAATCATTCTCCATCCTCAGTCTTGCTACCTTTATACTGTATCAGTCACTAAAAATAGATGTGATAAAGACAGATGTTCTCATGCATTTGTTATTTTTGCAGTTTTCTCACTTGGCCGTTTGGGGAAGCATGATCCTGTGGATGCTCTTCTTTGCTGTGTACTCTGCCATCTGGCCCAAGATCCCCATTGCCCCGGATATGCTGGGACAGGCAAGTTACATGTGTCACTCACTGCAGCCCATTGGGGTTGAGAGGGTTAAAATAGCCCTGTTTGCGACATCTTTCTCCCAGACCCCCTTCACCTGCTGGTTTTGGTTGCCTCAGCATGGCGCCTGTTTGACACACCTCCTTGGGTGTTCCTCGTCTGGCCTGCCGGAATCGCAGCAGATTTATGCCCCTTCAGCCCTTCTCCCCAAGCTGCCTGCACCTGCCGCGTGTCACCAGAGCCCTGCCGTTTACTACCCTGTGCTGAGGTGTTGACTCAAGCGGGAAGGCTGCTGTCGCTGTTGTTGAGGGTCCTGAGGGAGACTGCGAGAAGCAGATCTTCCTGATTGAGACTCTTTTGGGTTTTGAGATGGGGCTTTAGTGAAGTGCCCCACAGAGAAGGGGACTGAGGATCCAAGCAGTCTTATGCCCATTAATTCAATTTGTGTCAGAATTCAGGAATGTGGTCAAATATCTGTGCAGCTGCTCTGAGGCTAACTGGGGAGTGGTCTGGGCCAGTCAGCTACGTCCCTCCATCATCTCTCTAACTACCCCATTACCGCTCATATTTTCCCTGCCGCAGTTATCTATATATCCATCTGTCCACAGACGACAGCGAATGGAAAGCCTCTACATTTGTCCGCTAAATGTAGTTGATTTGTGCTTATTATAAAGTAGGACACCAGATGACCTTAAGCAAGGGAAGGTATTTAGCCTGGTTTAATCCAAACTCCATGGAGCATTGCAATAAAAGAAGTGGCAGGTTGTTGTTTAATATGTGAAACATATGGATCCTTTATGGAAGATGTCATTACGAACTGCTGACAACAAGTCACACATGGATGCTTCTCTTATTCAAACTTGCTTTGTTTTCAATGTATATTTATTATTCTTTTATTATTAGGAGCAATTATCAGCATTCATCTTAGATCAGAAAAAAGTTAAAAAATCTAAGTATTTTATATGGTTCCTTTTAATCATTATTATTAAAAAGAAGAGCATAAGAACGCCATTTGGATAAACTGTCAGATCAAGAAGAACACCATTATAAATAGAAGATTGATGGTGACTGTCCGGGAATTGTACTAAAGCACAAGAGAAGACATTCAAACTGAGGAGGAGTAATCCCGAGAGAAACCTCGAGTTAAAGGTCAGAGTCTGCTGCAGCTGGGTGTCAGAAACCATCAGGCCTTCCTCCCTTTTAACTATTTATTTCAATATGACTTCATTCAACTGTTATCTGAAAACGCTAAATAGTTAATGTTTTAGTTTGGAAAGTTTTTTTTTCATAAATCTGCTCTGAGTGGCATTTTCCTTTGCTTGCACTAGATGTTCTCGCCATAAAGAAACATGACTTAATGCTGGACTTAAATGAATTTTCTTGGTAATAAAAGCAGTCTGTGCTGTCTTTGCAGGCTGGCAGAGTGATGCAGTGCTGGCACTTCTGGCTGGGCCTGGTTCTAGTGCCTACTGCGTGTTTACTCAAAGACTTCGCTTGGACCGTGTGAGTAGAAAGCGTTTCATATAAATACATACGAAATCCATATACAGACCATTTAACGTGACCAAAAAGTTTACGTAACCCTTTTTGAGCTGGTGTCAACACTTGTGCCCACTGTTATGAATCGCACATGTTTGCAAGCACTCAGACTTTGCCTCACTGCTCTGATCTGATGAGCGCTTTGACTTTGCAGCATGCGGCGCACTGTGAAGAAGACTCTACTGGAGGAAGTGCAGGAGCTGGAGGCCCGAGCCGTGGATCCAGGGGCAGCTGTTCTCAGAGATGCCAGCGGCCGGAGGTACGGATCGCAGAGACAGAGGCGCAGCCCTTAAACCTGTTTAATGTCCTCATATGTTCCTTTCCTATGTAAGAAACCCATGTTGTTTTGGTGGCACTGTTTACAGGACTGATCCCAAAGCAGATGTTTCCTAGAGGCAAAAGTGGTCACGTGTTTAGAGAGGTAGTCTGTTTGAGCTGTCCTGCTGTGTGACCTCTGCTCTCGGGCCCTTTCTAATCTGTAGTGTGACCCTTTTAGGACTTTTTCATCTGCATGTTCAGTGACCTTTTGTTTTTTTCTTCTATTTTACAAATCCTATTTCATTGTCTTTAATTACTTCATAGGTGGATCTATATGAAGTGCTGTACCAGCCTGGTTTGTTCTAATGTCTTTTTATTCTTGAATTAGCTGTGTTTGTGGTGGAATCAGCATACTGGTATTAGCAATAGCTGTAGCAGTTCTGTTTCAGTGATCTATTGTGTGTTTGGTTTTGGTTAGTACTACCCCTGATCTTCTCCCCACTGATATTATGTAATTACATTATTCAAATAACACTTTATTCATTGCCAAATTTGTGGGATTATCACTGATATTTGATTATTTACATATTTCTCCTAATTGTGGTCGGTGAAGCCTTGCTTGAATCCTTCTTTTTTACAAAGCTAGAATATACAGTATTGTAGAGGTGGTACATCACCTGCATGGTTCCATGGAAATAAAAAAGTTCATTGTCAAAATCAGGTTTGTGGAGATGCAAACTCAAAGTAGGATTACAGGATACATTTGCAATATTAACTTTTTGAGTTTTTTGGTGTCATGTGCATAACCTCTGCAGAGACCCTTCCTGAAGTGAACCATTTTTTTTATTTTATTTTTTTTTTTATCCTTGGGACCGGTTAAGTCTCTTTGGTTCGGAGTCAGCAGTTGGATAGGTGCAGGCCATTGGGGAATAAGGCACATCTGTGTTTGTAATTCCTGGGAATCTTTTGGGAAAGTAGTAAAGATGGGTTTCGGATATGCTTCAAGGAAAGTAAATAAATCTCAACGGTATAGATCCATCATACTTAATATTTTTTCATCAGTGTTTGGTCTTTTATGATTCACTCGTTGCCCTCATCAATCATGGCATCATTTTATTTGGCCACAGATTCCTTAGGCAAACTTGCGTTTTCCTTTACAAACACAGCATGGAGCTCTCCGGCAGCCACTTACTGCAATACACATTTCCATGGGACTGGCTACGTTACGCTGCCTTGAGAAACTCTATGATCAGGATATCAAACACCTGTAATGATGCCAGACACAACCCTCTTTGGGTTTCTTGGTTTATAGACACATTTGAGTTGATGAATATGCAAAATGACAACATCTTTCACTCAGAGGCCTCTATTTAACAAGACAGTCAAATGTCAGTTAGTTATTTTTGCATGAATTCCATCGCAGTTGCAGTCTTGTGAGTGTAGTTTGGCTCAAAGACAGTTTTGGGAGTTATTGCCACACACCTTTTCCCGTCGGCTAATCAATAGAGCGGCCATATTGTTGGTCGACCTTGAGTTTCTTTGGTCGACTCCGGCCCCTTATAGCAGCGTTGTTTGCGTTCTGTTGAGTGCATACTGTAGGTCTTAAGCTGCACGCATGCATTTGGTGTAATATCTGGAAAGAGCTTAGTTATTTTTGGTCACAGAGGAGAGGAGCCATGACGGCGTGTGGTCCCGAACAGAGGATCCAGTCTTCTTCTTGGAAAAGAGGGAGAGGGCAGTGTGAGGGGAGAGGAATGGTTCACTGTGGACGTCCTGTTTCACTGCAGCCGTTTATGACCCGGTGTTCGGTTAGAAACTGCGTCCTGGGACTCACCGAACAGCGTAATTCTCCAAGATTTAGAGTCTCGTAAAGAAAAAAAAAGCCTACGTCCTTAGTGTTGCCCAGAACAGCAAATGTCGTTACCAATTTAGTGCTATTTTAGTTCAGCGAGGGCATTTCCTGATCTTTCTGTAGGAATGCCATCGTAATTGAATATGAAGGATTTAACATCTACTATACTCAGTTTTCAGTTTTCCTCCAGACATTCACTTAAAGGAGTTAGTCCAGTGTGAGGTCGTCATCATTGGGTCCAGTTTGTTAAATGGGTTAGACGTAGAACTGACTACAAAGAGTGTCTCTATTGAGTTCCTATAATGGGTGTCATGGCTGTGTCATGTGAATCTCATCCATGTTTCTCTCTCCAGTCTAAACGAACGGGCCCATCTGCTGACAAGAGTATTTAGAAAAACACCTTCAAACATTGGACGCTCCAACTCTGTGCAGCAGACAGTGACACGTGAGTCCGACCGCACGCAACAACAGCTACTGAATGATGTGCATTGAAGTGTTTCAAGCTTACTTCTGGCTGCTTCTAAAAAAAAACACACTGAGTGACAGGAAGCTGAGTTGTGAAGCAGTTGAAACAAACTCTTAATTCAATTCAATTCAACTTTATTTATAGAGCACTTTAACTGTTTGTGCTTTCCCTTTTCAGATGGCTACGCCTTCTCTCAGGAGGAGCATGGTGTGGTGTCCCAGTCCCAGGTCGTGCGCTCCTACGACACCACCCAGCAGCGCCCCAGCCTCTAACCCGCTATGTAGCAACACGTCCCGGCGACAGACTCCAAGCGTCACCTTCCCGCCGCGTGACAGACCCTCTAGTGGCCTTATCGAACAATATACACTGACCTCAGAACTGATCGGGCTGTGTCAGACGCGAAGGCCATTACAGAGCGCGGAGGACTGATCCGAAAGAAGGGAATATAACCTCTATATGTTACATGAACTGCACTGGCATGAGCAAACTGTATCCATACACAGGCATAAGTCAAGCCAAGTGACTGCTTCTCATATATACGCACAAACTGGTCCTGGTAGTGTCTGCGGGTGTCTGTGCGGGGCATTCTTCTGTCTGCATGTGTGTCTGCACGCATGCTTCCGCTGTCCGTCACGTGTGATCATCCTGTGAACTTTGCTTTAAATAAGGTGTCCACGCGCATTGATGTCCGAGCTGTTTGTCAGAGCCGTTTGTCCGATCCGTCCGTGCACACACACTCGCAGACATGAAGGCACGTAAAGGGACATCAACACGGGGGGGCGGCGGGAGGCCTCTGTCCCATAGCAGCAGCAAGCCTCACTGCCAAACACTACAAAGATGTCACTGAGGCACATCGCCACCTGGACCCCCACCCGGACCCCCACCCGGACCCCTCCGTACTCTCTGGGACCATATTTCTTTCTACAGCGGAGCAACTTCTACCGACGCGCGTCTCGTACCCGCCGCTCATGTGCTGGCCAGTTTTAAACCACTACATTCTCGTTTTATTCTGTGACCTCCCCTGTGATTACTGATGCTGCATCGTCATGAGACTTCCTCGTTTGGTTCTCCTGGATTCCATTTTAAATTATTTTTATGAAACGGACATCTATATGTGTTTATAAGTTTGCCTCTTTTGAGTAATGCCTGTTTTTGTACTCTCCTCCATAGGAAAGATTTTACTTGAATTTGTGCTAATAGGCTAATAGGCCCTCTGCATCATATGTTTGTCTCTATCGTAGCGGTTGTTCTTTGGCTGATGCCTGTTGAGGGCAAGGAGTTGAACAATGAACAAGGTACGAGGGGTTATTCATCTAATGCATTATTAATATATTAAATTTAAATCATATATTGTGTCTTGTACCGTCTTTTTGTAACTCTTATTTTGAGCATTGTTGGAGATGGGGCTTCAATTATGTGATTATAGTATGACTAAGCTCCATTTTAAATTCAACAAGAAGTGATTTCACGGGTTACATAAGATTCTCATTCTCGCACCCCCTCTGTAGACAGTGCACTGCAAACCTAAACCAACAGCCAGTTTGTACAGGCCCGATTCCCTTGACTTCAGCTGGAGATCCTCTTCCCACCCACCTTCCTGGACAGGGACCAGCTTGGACCGACAGCAGCTGCTTTAGTTTGAGAATCTATTGGAGCGAAGGGGCCAGAGAGACACCCCACAAGCTCCCAGTGTTCCACATTAGTTCAAGAAACAACCTGCCAACGCAGTCTCCACAGGATTAAAGATGTTGTCTGGGTCTAAGCTGCATTGTAGTGCTCTATTGTTCCCCTTCATGCTCCAGGTGATGTGACAGGTATTTTCTCCTGTCCTCGGTGGGTGGTAGCCGTCTGCCCGAGTGTGTAATTAGACTTTGTAATGGCTCTGAAGTTCAAACTTATTCATCTCACAAAGAAGACATGTTTTTTTATTTTCAAAACCCTGAAAATCTGTTTTAAGTATTTTTATTCGTATTAATTTATAGAAAAACTTCAGAAACAAATCCATGGCAACAGACAAAGCCAAGATATTCATACAGAATTGACACAGCTGCCTCGACAGATGAGGTACACAGACTGCCTGCTTTCATGGGAGCAGGACACTTTTTGAGCTGCATGTTAGTTACCCGTCCCTCTACTCAACAGTGGAGGACATGACTTAAAATATTCACCTGGTTCAATAATGTCCAGATGTGGAGCTGTCTGCTCTCAGCTAAAGCTGTGGGAGTGTTGGGTACACAAGCCATACACCTGTGCTCAAAGAAACCGGCCGTCATCGGTACTTTAATTGCGCTTAATCCGCCACAATCCACCCACTCACTCACTGTCACTCACACGTTGCTGGCACATTTCCTTCCAACATATACATTTGGTTTGATGTTTCCATTGAGAGGAGTTAGGACACTTTTGAAAAACATTTTGGTAGTGGGAGAGCTGTGGGGTGGAGCGTCCTTTGCTCACTTCATTAGTGGTCTTTGGGGAAATGGCAACTGCCTTTCACATCGCACCACCTGCACTTTGCATTACGTACACTCAGGGCCAGACGGCCCCCAGTTGAAGTCTACATCCAGACTTGTACAGTACAAACATTTTTTGGATGTTTTTCCTCCTTATTTATCACACATTAACTCCTTTACAAGCCCAGACATGGCCATGGCGATTGCATAGCATGTGGTCATAACTTTGTCTGCTTGAATATTCACTGAGTACATTTTACAGCTATAAATCATCCATTCATCACTCACACTACATCCATAAGCCAACAAATCTTTTTTCATTCTCCCACATTGTCATACACACACTTTTGGACTGTAGTAGGTATAAGACGCCGCCCTATATTCTTATAAATCGAGACATAATGTTGTCCATGGTTACAGGCACATGTAATGGCTTTACACAGTCCTTCATGTGAGTCTGAACAGCTGTAGCCCCTCATACAGTAACTGGGGGGAACTTCTGGTCTCCCGTAACACTGGATCCCATATTGTGGGGAGGAAGGGGGGACTGTAGCTGCCTGTAGCCCCCCTGAGAGTCTATGAACGTGGGCGTGGGGGAGACGGGGTGAGCGTACCCGATGAACTGTGGGTGCAGATACTGTCCCTGATGAGGCATGATCTGTGTGGCCTGTTGGCAGTTCAGCACGGAGAAGTTGGTGGGCATGTTGACAAAGACACTGGCGTCTGGAGGAAGGCAGCAGGAGGCCTGCGCCCGCATCATGGCAGGGGGAGCGGGGCGGGGGGCAGAAGGGACAGAGGAGCTGGAGGAGGTGGCTGTGCTGGACTGTCGGGATGAGGAGCCTCTGGACGTGCTGCTGCTGGACATCATGGGGATGGTCTCCAGCATGCGCCCACCGCTTGTCCCGCCTCCTGTTGCCCCTGACGACAGCTCCTGCTTGGGACGGAGGCAGCGGCAGCAGCACACAGCCACCACAGAGCCCACGATGATGAAGGCCACGAACACCGAGCCCACGATCAGGAAGGGCACGTAGATGGGCACTGCAACCGAAAGAAATTATGAGAGAAGTATATTATATAGAAACTAACGCAGCAATTGTGTTGATACAGACTTTTACCACTATACACTATTATCTATGTATATTGATAGTCATAACCGAAAACTGGATTATTCATTTATTCAGTTCAGTCATTTAAACACGCATACTTTGACCGAAATGCTTGAAAGATACACCATTGGAACAAGTATAGTTTAATTTGATAAAGGTTAGATAAAAATAAAAACTTAAATTTTTAAATGACTGTATCCCTCACATGCCAACATCTGAGTGAGACTTCAAAGCAATCCGTTTTATCAGATTTTAGTGCAATATTCTAAATATGTGCAACTTACAATAATAGTGACATGTGTAAAACAGCAAACTACCTCAAGTGAAAAAACAGTATTCTCTCTCTGTGTCTTTTGCCTCTTCATGAACACAAGGAGAGTAAAACTGATACATTTACATCCAGTTCTTTTAAACTATTGCATTTGTGGTCATTTCTGACTTTTTTACATTATGGAGGTATTTTGAAGTTATTTTTTATTGAATACGAGTTTGTACCAAAGAGAAAGCTGTTAGTTAGTTACAGATAAACTTTTGATTCAATTATTATTATTTGCCTTTTGGATTCAAAGCTCAGATTAAAATGAGTGCTTTACTTGTTAACTTGTAAAAATAAGCGAAAAATGAAGTAACGTTACCCATACTAAGGAAAACATGACAATTCCCTATTGTTTTGCATAGAAAATAAGGATTTAGTTAAGGAATATGGACGATGATCCTGAGAACGTTCAAACTAAGATGGTATCATGATTGTAAATGCCACTAATCTACTTTTATTTGTGAATATCAATCGAAAAGGTTCCATTCACAATTGCAATCAAAAGCCCTTTACCATTAACACTATAATAAAAAAGCTCTTAACCTAAGCAACTTCCAAATCCAAAGTTCTCATAAGTTATGGACAGGAGATGAAGAGTGAAAAGCAGGTCTGCAGGGAACACTAGCTTCTCATTAGCAGTTATTAACTTTGTTGTGATCTGTTTTAATCCTGCCCCCCTGCTGTTCTGCAGTCTACCCACACGAGACTACCCCACCAGGAGCCTCCAGAAGAACATGTGTGCGTGTTTGCTTCAGGAGCATTGTCGAGTCACGCAGCAGCAGATACGGGTGACCCTTCTTCTATTTATGCACAGCCCTTTGAAAATGCGTTTGTCAAGTTGAGCTACAATACTTGGCTTCTCCTTAAAGAACATCTTGGTTGATTTAATACGCATGAACGAAAGGTTATTCCCCCGTTAAATCAAATAAACTAAATCTACTCCTTTCTGACCTTTTCTGTTTTGTCTGCTATGGTGAAACGTACATTTAATCATTTATTTTCTGTGGTGGAAGTGTCACATGTGGCATTTCTGTAATAATTAAAATCAAACAGGTGGCATCTTCACATCTCAGCCTTCGGGATTAGTTGCTGTGTGTAACTGAAGGATATGTGTGCGAGCTGCAATGACAGCTGCAATCAGGAAGCACAAAAAACTTCTGAGCAATCCCATAGAATCAAAGTTATAAGTTATGGTTAAAATCCTATAATTGAATACTAACTTAAAGTATATTGGAGTAGTAAATATGGAAATGTTTTACCTAAAATTCATTGCTTTGGTGGGAATGTTTATGCTTTTTTACCCAAAGTTCAAATAAATATAAATAATCACAAATATAGAAGGTGTCTCACTTGTTCATTCATAACTATTGAGACCATTTTTGGATATCTCTTTGTCGTTGTTGTATCTTCTGACCATGACTAGTTTCCAAACTAGCAAAAACGGCGCCCAATTTAAAGCCAAATCTAGTTTTGGCTTGTTGTTTTGATGATATATGTGTTCTAAACTGGCATGTGGCTTCTAAATCAGTATAAACTCCAGATTTTGATGGATCTTCAAGGAGAATTGTGCCTTTGGGGAGGATTACACATTTCACCATCATGTATTTTTGCACATTGAATTGAAATATTTAGTGCTTTTTTGTTCCCAAGGGGTGCAGCTATTTCTAACTACTGAAACTGTAACTGTACGCCAAAGCGAAGTCGGCGAATGACTCCAGTTTCTCTTTGTGTCCTGGTCTTTGAAATACATCCACAGCTCTGAGAAACCTCGCAGAATGCCCATCCAGTATTAAATGGGATTACAACATGAAACTTGTGGCGGAGCTGGAGGTCGTTCTGTGGCTGCAGGACTGAGCCGAGGTGACAAAAGACAAAGGCCAGGGGCACGGGGAGAGCGAGACAGAGTTTATAATGGTATCTTGGCCCATTTCCTTTTCATGACACCAACTTATGGCTCAGAGCGACGCACCGCACCGTAAACAGGTTATAACAGGATCTCGCAACTATAATAAAAACACGGATAAGTTACATAGTGCAAAAATTGTCTTTTGTCCTATGGGACCTTTGAATTTCTCCAGCCCCCGCCTGCTTTGCTTTCTATTGATAATTCCAACAAAAGTGCAAAACATGTTAAATTTATCCATTTAAATAGGGTTAAATATTATCTAGCTTTTACTTGGCATTTTCTTACAGAGAATTGTGACTTGAGATCTTCCATTTCCTAACAAGATTTTTTTTACAGTCAAATATGACCAGCTGCATTCTGAAAAACATCCCATATGAACAAGAATTGTGGAAAATTGCTGGTTTTTTTTTTTACCCGACTTTAAATCCATTTCACAGAGCTGTATTTTCAGCCCATGACAGTTGTGTGCATTTGAAAACCGAACCCTCCCATTGTTCCTTGTCACTCTCCCACACCTGTTGCTGTAGCGCAGTCACAGAAACAGCAGCCCCCTCTCTTAAGCTCTTGTTTTGGGCAAAGTCTTTGTGGCTGACTGGGGCTGGACTCTCCCCTCATCTCCCAGTTATCCCCATAGGAATTCTCTTGTTCTCAAAAACCATATGCTAAAATAATATATTTTTTCCTGAGGGATGATTGATAGACTGGGAGATTTAATCAATGAATGAAATGCTCAGAATAGACCCACAGAACTTTGTATTTCTCTATTTGACTTTTTTCTTTAAGTTATTTTGGACGGTAGCCATGGAGTGAAAAGAATACACCTCTTCCTGCTTTGATAAGCCATGATAGCATTAACAAATGACATATCTTAGCTGCATGAGGCCGAGAGGAAGGAGCGTCCCAAGAGAGGCATATAGTTGCACTTTTGATGTCTACTGTTCGCTCCGCTGCAGTGGTCTCTGTCTCTGCTCCAACAGTCTTAATGCTAGATTACCTTATGGGAATGTAAGCAAAGGATGACGGGAGCAGGGAAACACAGTGTATTGTCATCTAAGCCATGGCTAAGTTGAAAAGTATGGGTTGCACTCTGGTTTTCTCTTCACTATGAAATGAATGTGTGGGATATTGTTTGAAGCAGGTTAGACTGTGAATCCTTTAAAGCCAGAAGCCAGGGCACAGACTCCACTTGACTTTCATTCGTTAAGGCAACACCAACAGGAACGTGAGCCTAGTAGGAAATGATACATGAGTTTTATGGACTGAGCTGTCATCAGGGTGCCACTGTCCAAAATCCGGTCAAGTCCAAATTTGATCCCTGTGAGGACTGAGAGATCCGAGCGCCAGCCCTTCCACTGTCTGCTGCTGCCCCCGAACAAATACTGCTATTTATAAAGTGGGCCAAGACATTTGAGAGAAAGGGTTTTTGGGGAGTCTGCTGCTGTCTGCTGTCCTGTGCAGCTGTCTGGACTAAAATGGGGGACATTATTTTTAATCTAGCTAAGTGGACAGTCTTTTCTGGTGATGAAGCTGAGTGTATTTTATTAACTTAAGAGTTTATCACAGTAGTCTTTAGCATGTCCAAAGCTTTCCATGTGACAAGGAGAGCCTGTTGGAGCAGAGTCAAAACCTCACGCTAGAACAAGATGTTATTATCTGTATTGACTTGAATTGAAGATAACATTCCCACACAGTTCTGCTGCAATGCTTTTTTTCCCCTAACTCTGTTAAACTAAATGAGGAATTAACGGAAAAACGAGATAGCTATTAAAGTACATAAGAATGTGAACAGATACAACCTCATTATCCCACAAATGAATAAGCTGGGGTAACTTATTAGATTTGAAAAGTCAATTTGTGAAAATATTGGACCCCACAATGCTCACATGATTAGAAAACATGCTATCCAAGGGCTTTTTTACATTTTTACATGGAAAAAGAGCCATGTGAGTCACCGTTTGACGCTTTGGGTTAGGAGCTGATTGGCTGGACCTCTCTTTTTCACTTTTCTATATAATAAAAAAAGTACTCTAAAGTTGTGACAGAGGCCAAAGAATAGCTGCTTGTGAAAACTAATGATGAGAGTTTTGAAACCAAGGAACTAGTTAATATTTACTTTATTACATAGTTTTTTTGAAAGTTAGGTACCCCAGCTTTAACTCAAAATGATCCCCATTTTCTCACAATGCTAATACAGTGGTACGTTTTGACAGCAATGAAAACGTCGTATACCTGCTCCAGAATCCTTGCCCTCTTTATTGCCGTTGTTGGGCTCCTGAGTTTGCCGGTCGTTGTCGCAGCTGCCCTGGTCCAGGCGTGCGTCGGTGCTGGAGCAACAGTAGCGCAGCTCACATTTCCCACAGCAGATGATCGAGTCTGCTCCATCTATCTTCTCCGGACACTGAAAACCCTCTTTCCACACTCCCTGGGGATCCAACCAGCCATGACAGTACTCTCCCGTGGCCTTTACGTCAATAATCACCATGAGTAAAGCCAGGATAATGGCGAGGGACATTGAGATACCTCCAACACACATTTTGGACAGAGGATAGAGGATTTTACTCCCCTAGTTGGACCAGAAAAAAGCGCTGATGCGGTGAATCAGCACTGCCAGAGTAAATGCAAGAACGTAAGAAAGAGGCACAACACCAAAACGCTGTCATTTGTTATCAAAGTGCGTGCGTAAACTCCGTGCGTAAAGTTCCAAAAAGTTGCTCCCCCGCTGCAAATCCAAGACAAGCCTGATGCAGTTTCCTTTACATCTTCAAGTATCCAGTGTGATATCGGTCTATTATGTGATAGAATTACATACATGCAACAAGTCCACATCCACGCTCTGCTGCTGCTCTCGGGTCCAGCGCAGGGTTCCACACTGACGGGCAGATGTCACGGGGCAACTGTGGAGCAGCCGAGGCCGATTGAACTGAAGCGCGCAGGGTCTGTACAACTTCTGCGTCAGAGAAGGGGCGTGCAAACCCCTCATACCTCTTGTCATCAACCCCGCTGCTCACACTTTGTCACATAATAAATAAGTCTAATTAATAATTCAAAGGTAACACTTTCAGGGGAAAATAAATATGATGTAAATAAATTAAATGTATATGGCTTTTTAACAAGGTGACTTTACTCTCCCATACAGCTTGTTCAAACGGAACTGCTTAAACAAACACCTGGAATACGGTGGGTTCTCCAGGCATTGCAATTGTTGGTCTGGTTAATTTCGTAAATTTGTAACCGTCATAAAAAACATGGTTGCAAATTTGTATTTTGCCTTGTAGTGATAAAAAAACGCGAAAATAACTGCACTTCATTTAGGCCTATTAATCTATTGGTTAATATGATATTCACACTGTAAATAGTGTACGATTCGAGCAGTTCTCCCTATGCGAAAAACATAAAGCATTATTTTTGTTAAATCCATGCCAATAATTGGTATCCATAACATACTTTCAACTCACTAAATCAAGGGGAATTTATATTTACAGTCTATGGGATTCATTAACACAATAATAGTGCCATCTAGTGGCGAGACTCAAGAATTTGATTTGGAGCGAATTATTGTCTAAAAAGAGTTTACACGGTTTACACGATAATAGTAGTACGGCAATAGAAATACAAAAATGCAGCTGTAGGTAGATGAAGAGTGAGACACCGGAGATTGTTTTTACAGTGATTCAAATGCAGTAAAACTAAATATTTTCAGTAATGATTATTAAACCAGATGTGAGTGTAATAAGACATTATCTAGTGTTGGACCATAGCACTAGAATAAACACGTAGATCTATCGATCATAGATTATGTTGCTGATCCTGATCTCGAATTTACCTGTAAAACTCAATTTCCCAGAATGCATCTCGGTGAAGCGGTGTCCCTGACGACAACACAGGAAGTATCGCGCCACTGTTCAAAACTCATTAAAAAGTTCTAAAGCTGTTTTTTCTGCTTCTGCTCCGAGTGTCGCTTTGAAGGTAAATCTACACATGTAAACATCTGACTCTAACAATTATCAGGGACAATAGTTCTACGCGCCTGGATTATCTTAATACACGCTAGCACCATGGATCTATTATAGGTTAGCACATTAGCAGATGTTGTTTACACTCGTTACCATGTTCTATGACTTTATGGTACTCATTTTACATCAACACAGGCTCTTAAACCTCTTTATAGGTGTGTTTTTTACCATCAGATGTCGTCAGTGAGGTTTGGGCGACAACAACCGCTTCCAAAGGGAAAAAAGACAATACGACCTAAAAAGACAGCGCCTCCAAAGAAAGAATGGGTGGTGGGTATAAAGATAAGTTACCTATGTTCTGTCTATGTCTCAAAACACTGCCACTTTGTCTGTTACTATTGTAGAGCACAGTAAACGACCTGTCTGTCCACAAACTAACGCCTGCAGAAGTGGTAAAAAACAACAAACTTCTTCTTAATTTGGTTAGATTTAGAGTTAAATCATTTTTGTAAGTGTATTTTTGTTTTATGTTTTGGCAGAACTATAGACATGAGAGGATGAAGTCACACAATACGGTTTCTGCTCAGTGGGAGCTCAGGGAGAAGGCTTTGAAGCGGCGGCTGAGACATGGCAGCCCGTCACCATTGGATTCCACTAGTCTCAGCATCATCAGAGAGGTTCATGAGGATTTGTCTCGGTTAAACAAAGGCATAATAATAACAATTGCATCTATTCTGCCTCAGGTTCTCTCTGATCAGATGCTGCTGCAGGATGTCCTCGCTCGATCTGACAGAGCCATGTCTGTTGTCAAGGACATTTTTGGAGATTCTCCCCGCAGACAGACTGGTATTTAGCCATTTTCTACTCAATATTTTGTAATCTACTTGCATGATTTATATTTCTTTTTTTCCCTTTAGGTCATCCTAGTGTAACTATGGCACCAAGCTGCAACTCGGACTCCCTGCTTCCTGTTTTTCAACGACCAGATGCCCCCACTGAGCTTTCACAGCTTAGTCAGTCTATGATGGACCCACAGGTGCCTTTGGCTGTTTTTAATGTAACGATTCATTGTTAGTGGTGTGTTTATGTTGCCTTTCTCTTTATGTTCATCACAGGCTCTAAATGAGATTAAGGATTCTTCGGAGGAGGATTGTGATCCAATTAATTGCAGCAATGATGTCATACAAAGGTTTGACTTATTTATATAATATGATCATTTTAAAATCTCCTCTAACCCTGCCCCTGCTGTGGTTTTTGTAGAGCTAATATTCGGAAAATCAAGTCAAGAACAACAGGCAAAGTGGTGAGGAAGCAGACGGGCAACAGTATTCTAGTAACTCCAAAAGGAAAAGCTCCAGACAAAGAAGGTAGAGGTGGAAGAACGTGTTTGTGTGACCCTCCCTCAGAACTTAACTATAAAATCTGAATGGTTGCTGTTTTAGCTCTCAACGCCACTGTGGCAGTCCAGCGGATCAGACGTTCACAGAGTCGAGATTTGGAATGCAATGATGGGGAAATGATATCTCAAGTACTCAACCCGGGGCATCCTTTGGGTCGGTCTGGAACTCTCTGAAGTGTAATCTAGTTAATTTATACAACTGATTTTTGCATATGTTGCATTTTGCTCTGTTTTTTCCAGGCAGCACTTTTACTTCAGTGAGAAAAACAAAGAAATGTGCAGATCGAAGCTCTGAGCTTGATGGGTCTTCTTTTGCGTCTCTCAATGGAGACCAGTCCAGTTTGGGTTTATTGCAGTGCATGCTGGGACAAGTGGAGGCAGACCTTGACTTCTGTAGCCCTGATACAGTCCCGACCTCAGATCAGTGCCCCAAGAGGACCAAAGGCCTCACTGGGTTTTCTGTGGCTTTAGTTTCAACTTTAGGCAGACTTGTGCACATCTTAAAGCAGGTAGAGTAATTATGTTGACGTATGTTGTATGTTGCATGTGCTCCTCTGCAATTAATATTGTTTTTTCTGGCAACAGAATAAAGCAGAGAGTCAGAAAGCTGCTGTGGAGAGGGCACGAATAGAAGGACAATTAACAAAGCAACACAACTTGATTGAGGCATTAAAGGCAGAAAATACAGCTTTGAGAGATGATACTGCAGCCCTGCAGGTTTGTTTTGAAGAATATCAAAATGGTATAGTTTATTTTTTTGTTATAAAATGCTTCTTCTTGCTACTTCTTTTTAGTCTTGTCTGCAGCAGAGGATTTCAGAGATTGAAGAGAAAGTAGACACAGTGGTGTTGGTGATTGGTAGTACTGAGATGCCTTGTATCACAACACAGGAGCCTGACATCCCAACAGCAAGTTTGACTCAAGGTGATTCCATTTTTTATACATATACACAGACAGAAGAAAATCAATGTAGTTGAAGTAATTTTACTATAGTAATGGAAATAATAAGTTTCTACTACATCTGTAACTTGTATCTGTAGCTGAGAGAGACCAAACACACACAACACCCGTAGTTCTGCCACCACTCCCTCAACAGACCACAGACAACTGGCCTCATGTAGCAGGTAAAATACTAATATAGACTAAACCTGTATTCTGTTCACCAAGACCATGGTGAGTATACTTTGTAAAATCATTTCTCTTTTGTAGGCACTCTTATAACCCCTCAACCCCACTCAAACCTCAGGCTGACTTCCACATCACCACGTTCGTCTGTGAGCTCCAAAGTGTCTGCAAAGGCCATGATGGCGGAGATAGAACAGCTCAGCAGACAGAACGAGCTGATCAAGGCTCAGCTCGCTCAGGCCAAAGGTCTGACATCAATGTCTGCAAACAGCAGTTACCTGGAGGAGACGCGTTTGAGCTGTGGTAGTACCGACTCGCCTCAGAATGGAGCAGGGCGAAGGGACTCCAAGTCCACACAGCCTCCTGCAAGTGAACAGGTGATTATCGAGAATTTATACCAGCTTACATTGTTATGTAGATTTTGTAACATTGTTTTCTTTAGGCAGACACAAGTGTCCTCAATATGAGTAGTGTGGAACAGCGCCTCCTGGAGTTGAACAGACAAAGTGCAGCTGCCAGAACTCGATTACTCGACATAATTGACCAACAACAACACATGGCATCGGTCAAACTGTCCCCGTCTGTGTCCCCTGCCCCTCACTCAGCTCTCGGTTTGGTCACGGGTACAGTGTGATCCCTCATCCCACACTGCACTGCTTCCATGTCTAATTGTGTTTTGTGTTTAGATCGTAGAGCTAGTTCAGAAATCTCTGTGCTGCAGGAGCACATGCTGCCAACAAAACAGTGAGTCCTTCACCTGAAATATTAAAAAAAAAGAATATTTAAATTATCCTTTTTCTTTGCTTCAGGTCTGCTTCTAATGAACCATCACCTTCTCAAAGTCTTAGAAGTGAAGGAGCAAAGGTTTGATCACTGTTGTGGGTCTTTACTGAACATTTATATATGTTTACATGAGGATTAATATGTGATTATTTCCAACAGGATATTCAGAGTTCACCAGAGGGTTGGTTTTCTCTGTCAACTCATCTCAGATGACAAAACTTTAACATAAATTTGTGTGTTTTTATAAATGTATATAGTTTTTTATCCTTGAAATAAACATTTTTATCTGGCTTTTATTGTTTGGTTTAACAGAATAGGAGTGTGGAGGATGCCATCTCCTTTGCTCTGAACGCTGTCTACAGTCACTAGGACACTAGTAAATCTGTCGCGAGAATGCTTTTCATCGATTATAGCTCTGCTTTTAACTGCCTTGTCCCAGGTAAACTGATTGAAAAGCTCATGTCTCTCGGTTTAAGTGTTGCCATGTGTAAATGGATTTTTAGCTTTTTAACTGACAGATCTCAGAGAGTGAAAATCAATGACTGTTTTTCTGATGTTGTTTCTGTGAGCACTGGTTCTCCTCAGGGATGTATTTTGAGTCCTTTACTTTTTACATTGTACACTCATGATTGTGTGTCTTCCTCTGATTCGAACCTGATCATTAAATATGCTGATGACACCACCATCATCGGTCTCACCAGTAACAATGATGAATCCTCTTACAGAGCAGAGATCCCAAATGTGGTTCAGTGGAGTAAAGCTAACAACCTCCAGCTGAATAGCTCCTATTGCTATCGACAACTCCTAAGTGCAGATTGTAGAGGAGTGCACGTTTCTGGGTTTAACTCTGTCTAACGACCTGAAATGGGTCAAAAACACTGACCCATAAGAAAGCTCGTCAGCGTCTCTACTTTCTGCGTAAACTTAGAGAATTTACCACTAACTCTAAGATTCTGCTTAACTTTTATCGCTGCACCATTGAGAGTTTACTTGTTGGTTCTGTGTCTGTGTGGTTTGGAAACATCACAGAAAGAAAAGAGCTTTAAACAAGGTGCTCCGCTCTGCAAAGAGGACTGGGCTGTGAGCTTCCTGTTCTGGAGGTTCTATATAAATCCAGACTTTTAAACAAAGCTCTTAGAATCATGACTCTTCTGGCCACCCTGGAAAAGCTATGTTCCAGCTTCTTCCCTCTGGTAGAAGATATCGTTCTGTGAGATGCAGGACATCTCGTTATGCGAACAGCTTTTTATCCACAAGCTGTTATCTGTTTGAACAGAGCACTTTAATGATTTGCACTTGTTTTGAAACAGTTTTTAGCCGATTGATTTCACAGTGATATTTGTTTACTGTTTTATTTCTGTCTTTTAATGTGGTTTTATGTCTGTATTTGTCTGTGCACTGGAGACTTTTTGCTAATGTATTCCAATGTGGTTTTGTTACTGCAAATGGCAAATAAACTGAACTGAACTAACCAAAATGTGGTTTGGACAAGTTCCACTGAGAAGCACACATTGTTTACAAAAAAGTATTTGTGATTTTGTTCACTACGTACTGGAGCTATTAGTCTGAGGTCATTCACACACACAGACTCATACTGTGCAATGTGGGTGAAGTGTCTTGCCTAAAGACACAACAATAGTCTAGAACATACACATGCTTTGACTTGCAGGCATGGCCACAAAATGCCTTATATTTTGCATGTATATTTCTGCACGTTCTATTGCTGTCAACTACCTTGGTCAGCAGATAGCAGCAGAGAGTTATTCTTAACCAGCACCAAGAGCGGGACAAGCTGCTCCCTCTGCAGCACTGCTTATTTGATTTGTATAATCATTTCACACTTTTGAAAATGGGATTCAACGAATGAAGCTGTAGACTTGATGTAAGAACTGTTAAAATTTGTGAACATATACATTCTACATGATTACATTCTATATAGCGTAATTATGATCTTGGCAAATCAAAGTCTGAGAAGACTAATTTGTTCCAACCAAAAAAGTATTGATTTAATTTTTAAAATTAAAGTTCTTTAACTTGTTGACAAGATTTGCTTCTTTAAAAAGCCACAGCTAAATACACCAGGTTTATGTATATATGTATTTAGTTACTTTAGTGTTCAGTTACTTAAGTATGTTTTGTGAAGTGCCACTAAACTCTCTTTTTCAGTGGTGTGAGTGATGACAATGGTCAAGAGGAAAATCAAAAGGAGTAAATATTGTAGATAATAACAGGACCAGGGCATGAAAGGTCCTGGGATGGCCGCCGTAAATGTGGGGTCATAGGTGGCCGGGACATTTTGAGGAGGGGGTCATTGTACCCCGGTGCCCCCAGTGAAGGACAGGATGAATGGGGATTAACCCTACCCCAGTGCCTCTCAATGCAAACCCTTCACAGAAAGTTTCCAATGTGATCTTCTCCACAGACCTCTGTTAAAGTCATGCCGTTATTTGTACAACCACAGTGACACTGGAATAGTCTGTGAAAGCTACAAGGACATTGCTTAGTTATTATGAGAAAAAAGCTAGTCATAGAATGCATCAGCCACATTTAACAGTGTGCGGAGTGGGAGGAAGGGTAGGTTTCTTTATTTAAATCTGCCCCCACAAACCCACAACACATTGAAGCAAAATGAACATCACCGATTGATCTCTGACTCAAGTGATAGGCTACTCAGTCTAGAAAGAGGATAACAAAAAACTCAATTTAGTTAATAGTATTTTACAATTCTTCACACATTTGTTTACTTGTTTTGTACAGACGCTTCAGATGGTGGGTAAAGCAATTAAAATATAGAGTAATATACCATTTGCGAATAGTGTATAAAACAAATATTTTAATTAGAATTATTGTTGAGTGTTTTCATGTAAAGTATTACACACTATTTGTTCATATTTCCCTTTAAGCAGCAGAGTTAATGCAGAAAATATATGTGAAAAAGACAAAAGGTGAAGCCCTGACACTTTATAAGAGATTGTGGATTATGTAGATAAACCAGTGGAATGTGTCCTGGATTCAGAAATTCACGTAGGAAATCCATCCATGAGAAATGATTTTACTTTGGTGCTTGACCTAAAAGGCTTTGATGCACTTTTATAATGAAAGTAGACTGTTGAAAAAAGGCAACATTCTGTAGCCTTTAGGGGGCACTACTCAGTGCTGTTACAATCAGGGGCCTGAGTGGTGTGCCCAGTCAACTGAGCAGCACAAACCAAACTGTGAACATTTAAATAAATAAAATCTGCAACGGTATTGTTAGGTGAGTTTAAGACTATACCAGGTTTGGTCACTGTGTGTATACTTAGGCCTTACATGTTAGAGACGCATACTATGTGAGAGAAAGCCAGAAAGAGAGAGAGAGAGAGAAAGAGGGTGCCCGAGTGCCTGAGCCCAGTCCACAGCTGCACCGGGCTCTGATCTGAAGCAGGCTGTTGCTTGCTGTGAAAATATTATTGCAAGTGTTTATTATTGCTTTGGTGTGAAACAGTGGGAGCGTTGTGCACTGCGCGGGCATGTAAGTATGCAGAGCAGAGGGACAGGCCCCAGCCCCTGGCCCAGTGCATCCTGGGTAATGGGGAAACCTATTGCAGTTGATTAGTTCCGGCTGAATCTCAGATAGAGCACTGACAGGCGGGAGAAACGAGCTCTCAGCGTGACCCTCCACTTCCCCCGTGCAGCCTTGTCTCCGCACAAAGAGCAACGCAGGGCAAAGCGTTTTTTTTATTTTAAACAACTGCAGCTTTGCTCTCCTCCAAAAAATGAACTATTATTATGACCACACCACCACATCACTCTAAACACACATCCACTCTCACAAATATCATGTGGGCCTTTCGCAAGAGGGACAAATGAGACCAATATATTTGAGAAGTGCTTTGAGTTCTGTGCGTGAAGATAAATGCCACTGATGCAGCTTTCACAGTGTGTTGCCCATTTACTTGGCTGCATATATCAGTATCAGATTCAGGGTATTGTGTATTTCTGACGGCCCTTCACATCCTCCATGGTGGACACCTGTGGCATGAGCTGACGTGCTTTTGACACATTCCTGAGCAGAGCAGCATCATTCAAACTCCTCCGCTCTGTCCAATCCATGCACCCTTTATGTCCCACTCAACCCCCCAACGATCTCCCCTTTCCCCCTTCTCCTTTCTCCCTTTTTCTCCACACATAATTGATTAAGAGCCGTTTTCATAAATCAATTTGGGACGCACATCAGTCAGCCCTGAATGGTTGACCAGCGGCATTAATCTACCTCAGCATGCCCTGCCACTCTCACTTACACACAAGCATGGTAGACCTGCGAAGTTTGTTTTTCTTTACTTTTACTTGAGTTTTTTTGCCAGTGCTGCTTGCCAAAACATGAAATACGCAAATGTTTTCAGCAGTTTCACGGACACATAGACTTTTCATATGTGTCTGAACTGAACACTATCCACTGTTGGGAGACTTGGAAGAAAAATGTGGTATTGATGGATTCAAGAATGACAAACACATTGCAAATAAAAAGAGGGTTCTTTTTTATGGATGCCAATTCTTTCCATATGCCAAAAGCACTTTACCCCTAAATAAACAAGTTTGTTCACATAGTCTGTCTCCAAGACCAACGTGGCTCACTCACTGCTGGTCATAATTACACAGCTTTAATTGTCATTATTAGAATGTGACTTCAGTGCTCAGTGTGTTCTTATTCAAAGCTGTTTTGGATGTTTGATATGGATGTAACCATGACACCGGCCTTTTCTTATTGCAAAACCTGTGCCAAGTTGCAAAGGATTCTGGGGAAAGTAAGGCGTCTGTAACAGCTGCAAGTGATATCCCTGACTCTCCCCGCTCCAGTCTGTCTGGTATCAGCCTCTGACTTTTTCCCTCATACCTTGATCTTCTGTTCTTTCCTTTAATACCTCTTTTGTACCCCTTTGCTCTTTCTGTAATTGTTTCTCATTCCTGCACCTTCCCTCTCCCCTTGTCGCCCCTCTCTCCGTGCTCCGGGGTGTTGGCTTTAGTGCTAGTGAAAGCTGCTTTGCCTTTAAAAACAGTTTGTCTTAATGAGTGAGGGGGGGCAGCCAGGAGAGCACAGGCCTGGGGTCACAGCTGAAGCCAATTTCGGCCCTTTCCTGTCTGAGGTGCTGCAGGCTGGGGTCAAGCTCAGGGTCAGGCTGGCTCACTGCTCCGGCTGGCTCTCAGTGAAGGTTCTGAATCACTGCCAGCATATTTAACCGTGTGTATGCATGTGTGTGTAAGTTAAGGAGAGCAGGGCAGCCGGCACATCTGTTTCTGATCCCCCAGAATGCCGTGCTCTCTGGACCTGGAGGTGCTGGCGTGCCTATAGAGCGCTGAGAGCCAGAGGGAGGGAAGAGAGACTGAGGACGCCGTCGCACGCACACACTGGCTGGGATACAATATGCTACACAGGCCTCGTCTATGGATCATATGCAATAACAGTGCTACACTATATAGAGTAGATTAACTGAAAAAATTACCTGCTAAGAGTCCATTATAGATTTTCTAAAAAGTAGTAATGTATCACATAAGTAGTTGTCCATATTATTGTTGTCGGGTCCTGTGGGAAAATTATAATTGAAAATTAACTTGCAATTAATAGAGTGAATTTGTAAGTATCAAAACTAGTATTGAGTCGAATGACGATGGAAACAAAGTTATGGGCATGGTGAGCCACAATTTCTATGACAAAAACAATAATGAAAATCAATCAAAAGGGGTAGGTGGACTTTTTGCCTTTCAAGTCAAACCAACAATCTTTAAGTTTTTATTTTTTTACAACTTTGAATTTTGGATAATGAATGAATGTATTTTTTTCTTGGTTGAATCAACTTTTAGCACCCAGGAACAGGTCACACATTTTCTGTTTCAGAGCAAATTTACAAGCTATGGAGACATTTCCATTCAAATAGTGCTAAAATAGGTGTGAATGAATGGAAATGTCTTTATTATTATAACTCTTAATGCTCCAAACCACAGCCTCTTGCACAATTTGAACCCCACTGCAGTCCAAGCTCATGTTGTGAAGGTTGCGTTCATGGGTCAGCAGCTGCTTTTTGTTTTAAATGTTCTATGATATTTTGGAATTCATGAAGAATGCCCAACTCATAATGTCAACAAGAGTCGACAGAGGGACAGACTACCACTGTCTGCAATACTTTGTAAAGTGTAGAGTCCTCATAAGCAGCAGGTCTGGGCTAAAAGTTTTTTTCATAGGTGATTCTTAATTCACTTAAACAGTATTTGTGTAAGAAAACATACTCTTACCAGAATGCTCCTATGTGTGGCGTTGGCTGATGGACGAGTCTTCAGCTAAAGAAAGATGTTAGAAAAAAAAAAAATTACCAAATAAAAATAAAATAAAAATACAACAAAACAATTGAATCATAAAACAACTTTATGCAATACTTTGGAAAATGTGTTAAGAAGTTACAATATAATGGGTTATATGAATGAATTTACCTGAAACTTCAATCGGTCCATGCCACCACCACGTGACTAAGCTAATCAACTAGCTTAACGTTAGCATACATGCGAAATTGTCTTCGGGTATTTATTTTATTTTTCTTTAGTTTTAGAGCTTGTTTCTGCCATTAAGACGGGATTTTATAGATACACTATGGCAATTTACTGTTTACTTTCTATAAAGAAAATCAGCTAAAATAATGATTAGCTAAACATGTGCTGCTGCTGCGTTTAAACATAACGTTATATATTTGGTTAATGCCACTCACTGCCTTGTGAGTTCCATGGAGCTGGTATCTATAAGGTACGGGTTTTTTTAAAGTTTTTTTTTTTTAGATGAAACAGGCTTTGAACACGGCCGTAAAACAGGCGCAAGTAACAAGGAGCGTGACTAACGAGCTGCAGGAGTTGGATCACACCGGGCCAGCACAGTCTATGGCCAGCACACATGCACCTACATCATGTCTCCTTCGTGATAAAGTCCTCTTTCACTCCCGCTTTTCTCTTCATTGCAGCTTTTTTACATTTTTCACACATGTGTTTCTTACAGGATACGCTGCAGTCCTTTAAAATACCTTTGGTATGGAGCCAAGCCAAGAAGGTACACTCTTCAAAAGCCAATGTTCAACTTCAGTTTATATAGAAAATTATAGTCTCATAAAAAAAAGTATAATATTCTTAATATGCTTACTTGACTAGTTCCCAGCAGAGTAGTGGAGGAAGAGTAACAAATAACTTTTTCAAAACTAATTGCGAACACTACTCCAAATCAGTTCTTCAAACAGTATTTCCTCTATTCTAATCTAATGCTTTGAGGTTAATCTTATTATTAGTGAATACATTTGTTCCATTAGACCTTATTACGGTATAATGTAAACCAAACCAAGCTGTCCTGGATTTGTGATGTTATTGTGGTGTTTTTGTTTTGACAGACTTTTATTCTAAATGGATTTGGTTGGCTACTACAGTATCATGTTACAGGAATTTTAATTTCCAATGAGTGACTGCAATAGATTATGCAGGCTTTCTTCCACTCTGGATGTTCTTATTGTTTCCAACGGATTTACCAAGATAAAAGCTGTAATAAATCATCTTTATATTGCCAGTAACTCTTTATCATGAATTTCTGCTTTATCTGCACTGGGCAGCAGCCAAACAATAAATATCCCATAGCCTTTTATATTTCTGACACATGATGGGCTCTGTCTTCTATCATTTTCTGTTCCCATTCCAAAATCTCAACAAATCTAATTAGTTTATCAATCTTGGTCTTTCTCCATTTTCCTCCAGGCTCAGACGAGGAAAACAAGAAAGATGCTATGTGACATACTGAGGGTAAGGCAACTTCAGGCAAGTAAAAACTGTGTAATACATATTTTAAACTTAATTTGAACTAGGCCTGGATTATTAGGACCATGAGTGGATATTTTCAGGCCACCAACTAAATCATTACTCAGTTTTGTACAAACATTGCTATTAAACCTGCTCAACCAAGATTTCACACCATAACTAACTCAACTACTTTACTAATACTACTCAAAAATACTACTCAAAAATACACTACTAGAAGTAGTAACCAGGCCTGAACTGGGGGCTAACCCATAATAAAAAGGCCTGATATGACCCCTCTGGACGTAAATTGAATAGATCTGATGTAATAAAAGACTTATACAAACATCAAAGGACATTTTTGACATTAGAAAAGGGGTGCATCACGTTTGACACGGACTCTAGATAACCCATTGATCTGGGCTTTACTTTTGTATCATTTACAAATACAGGCAATATTTGACTTTGGTTCAAAGGCGGGCTATGGTTTTATTTTTATTTAACATACATATTACAGTAGGCTATAGAAGCTGGGTCCAGCCTATTATTTCCCAATATGGTGGTAATGTTTGAAAAGGCTTTAACCATGCCTATGAAAGTACACTAGTCCCACATCACATTTGAGTACATGCTCGACGCACCTGAGACAATAAAGCTGGACATTTTGCCAGGAAAAACAATTTCATTCCGTCTCCATCCTGCTTTTCCCCAAGGCCCCTGAAACTGCCCCATACTTAACTTCTCCAACCCCTGAACCCCATCCAATCTGTGTCCCCCCCTGACTCACATCTTCTCAAATGCTTATCCTCTTCCCAGCCCCTGTTTCCTCTCTCTTTTTCTCCTTGGCTCCATCCCCAAAGGTCCCGGGACATTTACTCCTCTCTCTCTCCCCCTGCAGGCTACAGCATAGAGGTACTTTACGGCCCCTGTCATCTTGGTTGTGCAGTAAAAAACACATCTGGAATTACACTCTCCATACTCACAGGCCCTGCTCTCCTAACTGTGCACAAAAAAGAGAAATTGCTCTGATAATGAGCTACAAACACTTGGACAATACTGGCAGACAAAGTGAGATGTTTCTAACGACTGCCAGAGTAGAGAGAGGTACAGTCAGCCCTGTTGGATTCACCGCCCACTGAGACCGAAAGATTGTTTTGGGTGACGGTCAAGCTTTCACAGTGTGTTCATATACTTAAAGGGAGTTTGTCGTTTGACCCGGATTCACTGGGTTTTGTGTGAGAAAGTGAGCGGGTCCCCGTCTGAAGCGTGACTATATATACATTTAATAAGAGCCTGTGTGGTGGGGTAATAGGCGGTTGGGTTCGGCTATGGTACAGGGAGGAAATGTCAGCTACAGATGCAGAGCAAAGAGAGCGTAGAAAAAACAAATTGATTTGACAAAGTCGCCACCTCATCTGTTGTGATTAGGACTTGTCTAAGGAAACATGACATTAGCACTTAACTTTGAGGTGTCTTAAAAGAAAACATTAGGTTTCTTCATTCACTGGCACAGTGTGGTAGATAAAAAGCTCAACACAGATAAAACAAACAGAACATGCTGTAACTTTGGACATGATTAGATCCAAGAACACTGACATTGAAAGTCAGTGTTCTTGGATAAGATCAGATAAATGACTTGGGCAAACATGGATAAAAAGGGGAAATTACTTGGATGCAGTAGCTCACACAATCAATCTAATAACTGGACACATTACAAACAAAGGTAGCGACAATGTTTAAGTGTGTAAACTTGGTTGGCAGAGATGCATCACATGGATGGATATATCCAGCAGTCAAGACCATTTTAAACCTACACAGCGTTGCAAAAAGTTGTAGCATTCGACTATACACATTAACATCCACCAAGAACAATATTGTGCAATGTGTGAAAGTTACGTTACTGAAATGACGTCATATTTTGTAGAAGGAAAAAATGAAAGTATCACTTGTTACAAGGGTGAGGGTTACCAATATTTATCTTTTGCATAAGTCATGAATTTGACCTATGTTCTTGATGTCTGTTCTGTGCAACCTAATCACCATGGGAGAAATGTTGGAAAAATTAGGTCTTCAGAAGGGGGAACAGAGTCCACCCCTTTCACATTGTATTAAACCAACTTTGAAAAATGTCCCTCAAGGAGTAGATTTTATTTGGATCCCAGTGCTTAACCAGCTCCATGTGCCACCTCCGGGCCGTGCTGTGAAAGTTGCTCTTGACTGCGTGTCTCCGAGTTGGGGAGGGTCGAGTTTCTCTATGATGGGAGGCGCTGTTTGGTGCTGTAAGGCAGAGCTGCACTGTGCGGTAGGTAAATAGGGCCCTGACCTAGGCCTGCCAGAGGAACGCGCTCTTCTCTCTCTGCCAGAGTCTTTTCACTTCTGTTTTTGTGTTGTTTTTTATTGTAGGCTCGATGTGGAGGGAGGAGGACAGTAGGGTAAGATGAAGGCCGAGACTGTGTGTAAGGCAGAGGCTATTAACGAGCTGCAGGGCTATTCTAATTAGTGCTTGGGGAATATTTTCTTAAGAACAATTGGCCCTTCCCACAGAGATTTTGGAAGAAATGTGTGTGTTCTTTATCTCAGACATCTGTGGTTTTGTCCAGAAGAAACTAACTTTATTTTATCTGCTGAGGTCAACTGTGCTCTTCCTGACTGTAGGCACACACATGTCCTGGAGGAATGGATGCAGCCGCTCCGACAGTCACTCCCAGTTCATCAAATCGAGAGGTTTCAGGTCCTCTCCCCTTCCTGTGTTCTCAGAGCTCAAGAGCAAAAAGAAACTTTCCTTTTCTCTTTTCTTCCCTCTCAAAACTCTACTCGTCTTCTGCTGTTTCTTTTCAGAGAGGTCTGCTGCTTTGATCCCCAGTCCCCAGTCCTCCCCCTGTGCCCCTCCCTCGCGGGGCCTCCAGCCAGAGAGCTCACTGGAGCGGTTTCCTGAGTCTGGATTAATGAGTGCAGTTCTGTGTGTATGTAGTGGAGCTGAGAGAGAAGCAGAAAGAATGCCTCGGTGGACCACAAATTGTGACTATGTGTGTGTCTGCGTACTGTACAGCCCGAGTGTGTACGTGGGTGTGTGTGTAGTGTCCAAACCAAACTTTATTTTGTGGATTTTTTTTTCAAACTTCATCAAAGTAAGCGATTCCACAGGAGTTTTCATTTTAGAGGATCACATGGCCAGCACAGAAATATGATTGCAATCAAGCAGAAGTCATCCACCCCATATGACCTGCCAGGCCCCAACTTTCCAGACCTCCTGATTAAGACCAGTATGCATGGTTATTGTGCTATTAAATACTGTTACAAACCAGGCCTTTGTCTTGCATAGGACTTTCACTTTGGACTGTTACAAAATGCAATAGTAAGGCAGGTATTTCAAACTTATATATTTCATAAAATAAAATAAAAATATATATACAGTAATACAGTCTATCGCTTATCAAAGTTGAACGCTCTTTGGCTCCAACCCCTCTCACTTATTCAACACATCACATTATGTTTCAATTATGATGGCCTACTTCATGGGTTGTTGGAATCATATTTAGATTGACAACATCTCGCCTTGTCGATAGATGGAAATCAAAAGTGCTTCAAAAGTGCACGTACAGTAATCACAATTTAATATGGTGGATACATTTAATACCAACTTAAGAGACCAGTGGGAAATTACTTACAGTCTGTGAACTCTTCTTAATGCTCTCTATGTCGCTTTTTTTCCAAATCATGACTTGTGCTTTTATGCTGTTGGGTCCCAGTTCCAAGTAAAATATCATTGCCACCATTTAAACTCGAAAATGCATATTCATCTTCTGCTAGGTTAAAAATGACCCTAATCAAGTCAAGAGCAATTTACCAACAGTAACTTTTATTCGCTCTCCAAAAGCCAAGTGATTGTTAATGTTGTATTTGTGGTCAGTTCGTTTGTTTTGGCCCCTGACTGTACCCTGTGTCAGACTGCGTGTCAGACTGCAAGACCCTCACTTTACATTGTACTAAAAATTACTCTCATTACTACAACTGATTAGAATTCCAGGATGAAAAGCCAAAGTGCTAAAAATACTCCTGTGATTGGAGCCATGTGTTGAATTTGGGGCGGTGGGGATAAGGTACTGCATGTGGTGGGTCGGACAGAAAAAAGGGGAGGTGGAAAGAATACAACTGTAGAGAAAAAAAAAACTGTTTGTCTTTTCAGTAAGCTCTGATAATAACGCCACGTGAGTCTCTGCTTAGTTTATTTACTCTCACAACTTTTGGCATACACTGACTTCAAGTTCACTGTATTGCACAAATTCACAGGGCTACATGTTAGCTTTTGTTAAACATGAGAATAAACACGTAATCCCAGCCTCTCTTTCTCTCACTCACAGATGGGAGGAGCCAGCTGTCATTGTGATGAAGAGGAGCCCATTGAGGCGTCCAGGTGGTTCCAGTTATTCTACCTGAGGGTGTCTGACAGAGAAAACAGGGCCAAAGCGTGAATAATTTTCTTGGCCAGGTAAGTTTCCAGTAAGCTCGACTTGGGTGGTGGTTCTCTTAGTGTGAAGTGACACAAAAAAGTCCAACGTTTAGAAGAGGGATTTAGCAAATGGTACAAGAGTTAATAAAGTGTGACTTTTACATTTGTTTCAGATGGGGGTAAGACATGTATGAATATAAAAGCATGTCCCAGGCAGCAGTAGACTTGGGCAAGTTACTTTGAAAAGATATTATATATTGTACTAGTTACAGAGAATTTTTTTTAGTATATTTGTATTACAATATATATGTTTGTGTTCATTTGTATGTGACGGTGTGTAGTAACGAACAGTAGGAGCTGTGAATACACCAGATCTTTTCCTCTGTAGTCCCACAGTCACACTCATTCAACCCTATGTTGAGTTACTCTGAGTTATTTTCAGTTAGGGAAAAAAAACATTTATACACATAATACATCTCTTTCTTTGATGTTTTGTGGAGTAAAATGCCCTTCTTATCGAATACATGGTACATTTAACTATAACTATACTATTTTAGCTTTACCCGAGTTGGAAATGGTGTCAATAGCTTTGCAGATGCACCGTGTTAGTTTCCAGGGTCATCCAGGGGCGGCACGGTGGCTGAGTGGATAGCACTCTCGCCTCTCAGCAAGAAGGTCCTGGGTTCAAATCCTGGTTGGACCAGGGCCTTTCTGAGTGGAGTTTGCATGTTCTCCCCGTGTCTGCGTAGGTTTCCTCCGGGTGCTCCGGTTTCCCCTACCACTAAAAATATGTACAATAGGTCTGACATGTGCCTCCTGTTCTGGCACCCCCACTCCCAAAAAATAACAATTGTAAACCGCTTTGAGACTCCGATGTGCAGTGAAAAGGCGGTATATAAATAAAGATTACTTACTTACTACTTACTACTATTTCAGTTTTATACATATTAAGGCATTTCAATTAGAAATGGATGTAACTTGAGCCTAAATTAGGGTCTGAAAGGGTCTAAATGACCCAGGGATGGTCAAGTTGGGAAAAAAACATCAAAATTCAGCTCATAGAGAATTATTTAAGGTATTTTTATCACTTTGGTAGGTCAAATTGACCCGAGAATAGCAAGAAACGGACACTGAGGAGGACTATCCCCTTCTCCAGTTTCAGTGCATCAAAACCAGTAATATAAATCGGATGTTTTTATTTGTCATAGTGAATATGGTAGCTTTGTTTGCATGGTAAAAACTCTGATTGTCAAATCTGTTCAATTTACAAACACTGGTCGACTCATCTGTCAGTCAAGATGAACCTCCCATGATCGCTGCACGAGTGGGCGGGATTTCCTTTGGGATTGCGTGGTTGGACAGCGGACTACAAGGCACTGTCTGCTTATTTGATAAGAAGTCTTCCATCAGAAAGAAAAATAAACAGTTGAGCGTGCAGTTGCTACTGCAGAGACCAGAGAAGAGCAGTTACTAGAGCACAACACAATATTTACACTGCGGTAAAGACTCATATCTCACACTCCGCTCCGCTCACCTGGACGTGTCCTGGATGAACAAACACTGGGTCAGTCTGCATTTGCACAAGTCATTACTGCTGCAAGAAGAGGGCAGTTGTGGGTTACCATTATACACACAATTTAAACATTCAACAAATATTGTTGGACATATGATATTTGTTTTAGGTCTGTAGTTTCCCTTTAATTGTGGTATGAAACAACAACACAATTTAATGTTTAAAATAGAGAATGTCTGAGATGATATGAAATACAGACAATTGTTTATGTTAAGTACTGTAAGCATCAAGTGCTTGTGCTAAGTTAGTGGTTGTTGCTTCTCTGCCTGTATGTGAGCAATGTCCCCTTGTTTATTTAGATAAGGAAGGAGGAGAGAGCCATGAGACCACAGGAGTCCTGACCTCCAGACTGTAAGATCCGCCCTCTGGCTGTGACGGACAGATAGCATCAATACCGCTTATCAGGCCTTGTGGGGTGGATACTGGGTAGGTACAGTCCACGGAAATAGGCATTTTATTCTCTTTTGTGATAATATCTATTACTGTAAACAACAGGGTTAATCTCCTTAATTTTATGTTGGTGAGTTTTGTTTTTTGAACAAACTAGTTCTATTTTCCCACAAGAGTATAGCTGCATAAAGGCTGGTTACAACCCGACATTTCCATGAGCATGCCTTATTGCTCTTGGATAGTGGGTCACTGTTGCATGTGTTGGAGAGCCTCTGTTAGTCATTTTCTGTGTTTTTGATGGGGTGAGATCATGACTCTGCCACTGACAGTGAGCATAAAGACGCATTGAGAGTAGGGGACTATAGGCCAAGTCTGGAGGTAAGGGGAAACGCACACACTTAGGGCAGCCAGTGTACAGGGCTCCCAAGGGCCTGGGGGACTATCGTTTTCTCCGTTAATTATGACCGTCTGGCAGACTTGGAGAGCAGGAAGTCAGGGAGAAGGGGAGAGTAGAAGAGAGAAAAGAGGGAGGGAGGAATGGATGGCAGATAGATGATAGCAAGGAAGCGGGTGTGGGGGCGAAAATAAGGGAGGAGAAGAAAAAGTTAAGATGGATGGCGGGAGGAGTAAAGGAAAAAATATGATGGGAGGATGGGGGAGTGATAGAGAGACAGATCCAAATAAAACCACATGCTCCGAATGATAAAACCAGGTGCTTGATAAAAGGTGGAATGTCAACATCTCTTTTTGCTCTGATCTCAGCTCAGCCATGTTTTTTTTGCTCTGTCTTCCCCGTCATGTTTTGCTTGACTTTTTCAAATACAATTGAGTCTCCATGCACTTTTGACCCCGTCTCAACAGTATGTGTACGTCCATAATTTAACTTTACAATGCACAGTCCGACTCCTGATGGGCCATTCTTCATGTGTCTCCCCGGAGAGCATGCAACGTGCTCGGCAGTATTTTCACGTTTTTTGTTTGTTGTCCAAAAGCGTTTAAGTGCTCAAAGGCCAGCGCTGGGCCAAGGAGCTGTAAGCGAGCAGAGCTGAGCAGAGCTGGGATTTAACTGGCTCCAGGTCCAATTAGGTTTGTCTGCTGCATCTGGACACGGTTAACGTTCAAATCAAAACTCACACTTCACTCCAACGGGGATGTAAAATCACAAGTTTTATGCTAGTGGCCCGTTAGGTTTTTAGTGCCTACCACAAAAGGCTGGACAATATTTACTGCCCAGTCATAACAGAGCAGCACTGATAAAAGCTGAAAGATGAGATGAAACTGCCTCTCTCCACTTAGCAAGAGTTTTTCCACGTTACAGAAGTTATGTTTGAGGCTTTCGCTGAGGGCAAACAATTACTGGAAAGATTGCAAGATCAAGATCTCAAGCATCTCACGACATGGCTCTAATATACTAGTTACCAGAGAGCAAACACAACACAGTAGGGGATTTTTACTTGTAGTTCTTGTGGTGGGAGCGTTTGTCAAATAATGCTTTGATTTACAATCGAAGAACAAAACTAGATATTGTATGTTTTCTTTTGTGAGCTCTGGATTGAAGTTTGTATTTCATACTTTTTTATACTTTACTTTTCTTAAATAACCAAAAAAAAATTAAACTTAAAGCAGAAGTATGCAATATTTTTGTGTTAATATAAGTCTTAAATAATTATATCTTCCAACAGCAATCACTTAGATATAGAGTGTTTGGACTGAAATAACTTAATATATAACACAATTAATATATATAATTTTTTGTGACATTTATTGCAAAGAAACCACCACTATTTATGTGTCTTCCAAAGCCTTGTTTAAAAATAATCTTAACATCTTTATTGGTATTATTCTTCCTCTTAGGGTTGGTGTTAGGGTTAGCCAACTTAACCAACAAATGGTTTAAACCCCCAATACATGCATACAGTATACTTTACACAGTTTATATGGCACATAAAACGTATAAAAACCCGTTTTAACTGTGACGGGCTTCTCCACAAATCTCACTCATACTTAACCTCTGTGGGACGAATAAAGGATCTAATATTTGAGGAAAAGATATTTCCCTTTGCTACAATCTTTCACCATATGGCACAAAACAAATATATATCAAAAGCAACTGTATCCATGTAATTATAGATTTGATTTTCCACCTTCAGAAAGTTACATTGCATTGAGGAAATTTTGGAAAATTATGGAAAGTCTTATGTCTTAACGGTGTAATTGCAGCTGGTAATTTTCAAAATTTGAAAACAGTTAAACAGATTCTAGCATAGGGAGTTACGGGCGGAAAGTATTTTCAACATATATTTCTAGATATTATTTCACATTCTAACATTACAGTCTATGATTCTAACACAGAAAACGACAAAGTATATTGTCTCATTATGATTTAATGGCCAAATGATAATTAATAATATTTGCTCTTTAAAGAAAGGGTTAGGGTTACACAACAAAAGTACCAGTTTAGTCTCAGTATAAAATGACCTCCTCAGATGAAACCAACATTTTCTAACTTAACTGAGCACTGCACATTCCTGAGGGTGACACGCTGGTTGTGCCCCGAGGCCTGACCCCACCTGAGCTCGTCCATCTCAACAACAGCACAATCACAGTGGAATGAGAGGCAATAACCCCGCATTACAGCCCTCATCCCGCCAAGATCCAGCTCACACACACTCACTGTTCACATCAGTAAGAGTGGAAAAGAACAATAAAATCTCCGGATATGAAAGAGTCCTGAGGCAACGACGCATAGAGAAGCCTCCTCCTTCAAGTGTGCGCTGCTAGACTTAAAAGGAAGACAGCTAAAATGAAAATATAGACCTATAAATCTCTGCACCTATGTTAACAAGGAATTTTGATTGAGTGTCTGATGTAAAGCCCCGGGCCGAATTCTTCTTCTCGTAGACAACTTTTCAACACTTGTGTTTAGCAATAGCCGGCGTCTCAGGTTTGTGCAAAAGTTGGTCAATCTTTGAGAATGCACAGATCCCACGTTGATAAGTTCACGAGTTTAGATGCTGCGTGATTTTTGTGTGAAGAATGCAAGGCTGTTTTTGTACGTC